TATACCGCATGACACGCGCACCGCATGACACGCTCAATCGACGGTCGCGGCGCGGCGAACGGAACAGAACCACGATTGCGGGAATGGGGGGCGAGCACGCATGACACGTGGCGTGTGGCGGTGAGCTTCACGGGGGAAAGGGAAGAAGGAGAAGGCCGATGGCACGCACGTCGTTGACGGTGGGGTTGTGGATGATCTCATTGGTCACCCAGATCTTCTGATCGGGGAACTGCTTGCGCGCCTCGTACGCCATCTGCACGGCGCGCTCCACACCCCAGCAGAAGCCGAGCGACTCGGCGAGCATCACGGTGACGTCGCCCCACGTGTACTCGTTGTTGTTCTCGCGCAGAGTCTTCACCACGTCGCCTGCACGCAGGGAGGGACGGGCCGTGTGAGGAGACACACACCTACAATCAGGAGGAGCTCCCCGCGCTGCTTGCAGGGCTCCACGGTTAAGAATTCAGAGAGAACCCAACACACCAAATCATTATCTTCGCAAATTCCGGCACCTTCAGTAGAAAAATATTTCCGAAACAAATGCAAAAATCCTTAATCCTAATGCTGATGCTTTCTGTGCGTGCAAGGCGGCCGCTTGCAGCGGGCATTGGGCTCACTCGTGTATTCCTGCTCCATCCGCTCCAGCATCTCCTTCTTGTACCCGAACCCGCTGCGGTTGTAGTTGTCGCTCTTATTCAACGCTCGGCGGAACGCGCGGCCATCGACGGCCGCCTCGCTCTCCTCGCCATGGCACCTGATTCCTGCTGGTAGGCGCTTCGCTCCAGCAGTACGGCTCGGCCTGTAAACAGGGCCTGCTGCAAAGCTTGATCGAGAAGAATAAGACGACGCAAGCACTGCCGATTGCATGGGAGCAGTAGCCATGGCGACGCGGGCAGTGGCGGCGGACGCGGCAACCATGGATTCGAGCACAGGTTCAGAGGTGGGGAAGGAGAAGAGCAGGGTGGAAGATGGAGTGAAGTTGGGTGTGCGAGGGTGGAAGAAGACCTCGGGAAGAGCGGGGGAAGGGTGGGGTTGTCTCGCACAACCACAGCCACAACCGTAGTTTCTAAGGACGCGCGTCTTATGGTAGATTGTCAAAGTTCGAGCCTAGTACCGCTTTGTAACGTGGCGACACGTTTCTCAATTTTATCCTACCGTGTACAACCTTTCTAGAAGCTCGAACTTTGGCAAAAGTTGGACCTCAAGCACCACGCGCCCTAAGGTCGGGTTCGCAAGTCCTTGCTGCGACCTGAGTTACCGCTAGCGAACGATTTGCGAAGTCGATTCTCTGGCAAGAAGGTGTATGCCTTATCATTTCGAAAAGGAATCGCTTTCGCGAATTGTGACTGGCCATTTCAGCCAAGAATGTGGAAGTAGAAACGGCCAGCCAATCGCAGTCTTGCTTAGGTGTTTCGGGAGCATGAATGTGGTCGCCCAAAACACTACTACAGCAATCTTCTCATTACTAGATAGGATATTGGTATTGTTCATCCTTGCTATGATTCAGGTTCACTCAGTTGTAATGAGAACAATGCCAAATCATTAGGAAAAGAAATAAGCAAGAAAATGCAAGAACATCAGTATGGGTATAGTATGTTTTGTGAGGAGTTGAGCCTACAAACATAATGAATCAGCATATGTATTGAAAATCCCCTGATAATGTTCTGAATCGGCATACAAAGTAAAAAATCCAGGACCATAGCTTGGAAAAATCCATGATACCTTTTTTTTTTCTAGGGTTGGCACATATGGGGGGTTATGGAAATGTGAGGCATAGGGTGCGCCATCGCATCACAACGGCCACAGCATGGAGCGGTCACCGTTCAAACGGTGCTTTGGTTGGGCCGACTTGAGTTGGCGCCTAGTCCATTCGCGAGGAAGGTCGAACGTGGCCGGAGTGCGTTGCCATTTCAATTCGCACAAATCGTTGCGACTCGATGCGAATGGGTGCGCAGGCTGGGTTGGGGGCATTGTGCCAGCTAGCGAGAGCTTGTGGGAGTTGAAAAGGGGGTGCAGCGAATTCCACAATGTGTGTTGCTCTGCAGAACCATCGCATTGCGACGAGGAATTACTTGTGCGACGAACGATATACTTGCGACCTGACTACTTGCTCTCTGTGCGCTACTATCGGAACTTCACGAACGACGAGAAATTCAGACTTGGAATCGAGGAGAAGTACGCGAATCGCATTTCACTGGCCTCTCCGAGTCAACGCTGTTGGCGCCGACCACTCACCCAACCCACCCACCCACGCTCCCTTCACTTCTGCTGCTTCTTTCGCTCAATTTCGCGCTTTTCTGTCTCCCTGTCGTGCAGTCCGTCTTTCGCTTGCTTCTTTGCTTGTTTGTTGTGGTGTCCCGGCCGTCCCCTCCCTGTCCCTTGTCTACGCAATCCCCCCACAGCGCCCCACCAAGCGCGTCATGGAGAAGTTCACGATGACCATCGACACGCCGCCGAGGGCCGTCCGCAGCACCATCGCGAGCGGCTCCAGCCATCAGAAGCGACACGGCCTCGGCACTCCCAATGCGGACCGCAGCACGCCCGCGTCCGTGAAGAGGTCGCTCAAGCTCTCCACCCCGCGCCGCACCCCCTCCCAGGTATTGCCCAACACCCAGCGTCCCGTCGGGCTCGATCCGTAGTCGCCGGCTGCCAGCCGGGCGCCGATCGCCCCAGCGAATGCAGTCAGCTTCGTTCCTCGCGTACTCCGAATGCGCTTCCTTCCTGCGTCGCGTCGTAATTGCGATCATAAGATACACATGAGCGCGAATTGCGGCTGACGATGCGTGGGTTACACGTGACAGGCGGACCGCTTCATCCCCAACCGCGGCGCCATGGACCTCGACATGGCTCGCTTCAACATGGCGCGTGACGTCACCACCAGCAGCGGCGCGAGGGAGAACGGCGCGTCGCACGAAGTCACATCGCCCAACGCGGTAAGTGTCGCCGCGCAGAACTGTCGCAAATGTCCTCGGTCGCCTGCATTCCTCATCGCGTACACCTTCTGCCCGTTCCCCGCCACTCCTCCCGGGCATCGATTCCCTCCGCATCCGCCCTCATTCCCCTTTCTCCCTCCCCGGCCGTCCCTGTCTCCATTCCCCCCAGGCGCAGTACCGGAAGCAGCTGGCGGAGAATCTCCTCCGCGACAGCCCTTCCGCCAACACCACCCCCTCCGCCCGCCCGCGCGGCTCCAAGATCCTCTCCTTCAAGCCCGCGGGCTCCCCTTCCTCCGACTCCTCCGACTTCCCGGCGCGAGGGGCGCTCTTCTCCCCCGCCGCTTCCGCCGGCGCGAGCTGCGGGAAGCGCAAGGCGTTCCGGTACGTGCCGCAGGCGGCGGAGCGCATTCTGGACGCGCCGGAGCTGGTGGACGACTACTACCTCAACCTGCTCGATTGGAGCTCCAGCAACGTCGTCGCCCTCGCGCTCGGCGCGTCTGTCTACCTCTGGGACGCCGCCACGGGCGCCATTGAGGAGCTGCTGCACGTGGGCGGCGAGGGCGCGGACGAGGGCGCGGGGAGCGCGGAGTACGTGAGCAGCGTGGCGTGGGCGGCGGACGGGAAGCACCTGGCGGTGGGGCTGAGCTCCTCGGAGGTGCAGGTGTGGGATAGCCACCGCCTCAAGCAGGTGCGCGCGCTCAAGGGCCACGCGGGGCGCGTCGGCGCCATGGACTGGAACGGCGCGACGCTCTCGACGGGCGGGCGCGACGGCGCGATTCTCAACCACGACGTGCGCATGCGGCACCACGTGACGTCACGCCTGGCGGGGCACGAGCTGGAGGTGTGCGGGCTCAAGTGGTCGCCTTCCGGGCGGCAACTCGCGAGCGGCGGAAACGACAACCTGCTGCACATCTGGGACGCCTCCGCCATGGCCTCCGCCTCCGCCGCCTCCGCCTTCTCCGCGTCCTCCGGGTCCTCCGCGCGCCTGGCGAACGGCAACGCGCCGTGGCTGCACCGGCTGGACCTCCACCAGGCCGCCGTGAAGGCGCTCGCGTGGTGCCCCTTCCAAGCCAACCTCCTCGCCTCGGGCGGAGGCTCGGCGGACCGAACCATCAAGTTCTGGAACACGCAAACGGGCGCGTGCGTGCGCAGCGTGGACACGGAGTCACAAGTATGCGCGCTGCAGTGGTCGCAGCACGACAAGGAGCTGCTGTCATCGCACGGGTACAGCCGCAACCAGCTGTGCCTGTGGCACTACCCCTCCATGGCCAAGCTCGCAGAGCTGTCGGGCCACTCGGCGCGCGTGCTGCACCTGGCGCAGAGCCCTGATGGCGCCACCGTCGCCTCTGCTGCGGCGGACGAGACGCTGCGGTTCTGGAAGGCGTTCGGCGGACCCAAGGGCGAGCAGGGCGGCAAGGCGGGCAGCAGGGCCGGCAGCGGCAGTGGGAGCCTTGAGCGCGGGTTCAGCAGCCGCAGCATGAGCCTCAGGTAATGGCGGTTCCTGTGGCATCAGTCAGTGGCATCAGTCAGTGGCAGCAGCAGCGTTGGCAGCACTTGACTGCTGGGAGGTTCATGCGCAGGCTTGTCCCGTGGGCATTGGTGGCCGCAATCACTTCACATGTTCAACCTCCATCGCCAACACACTCCATGCAGTGGCTACTTGCCATGCATTGTTGTAGAGTAGAGCCTTCATTGTGTTGTGGGGCAGGACGCCTCTCGCTGATCCTCCCCTCCCCTCCATTGTTGTGACATAATTGTACATACCGCACCTGTGACTTGAATGAGAGCTGCTCATAGAATTTGGTGCTGCACTGCAAGCAACTTGTCTGGAAAGCCAGAGCCCTGGACTGGAGGAATTCGTCTGATGGCGTTACCAGTGTGGCAATGAAGACTTGGGACAAGCCCTACACTTTCATCCGAGTAGCCACACAGTGTTTGGTACCGGTAGCGCTATCCCTCTGCTCCGCGGCTGTTAGGAAGTGACTCCAAGTTCATGACTGGCTGATGAACAGTACCTATGTGCCATTCAATTGCTTTTGCAAATCGTATTACGGTACTATTATCATAACTTTACAAATGGTTGTATTTGGAAGTGTAGTTGAGGGCCCACACAGGCACGCAGTAGACGAGCACGCCGCTGAGGAAGGAGGGGAGGATGGTGATGCAGTAGAGGTAGAAGTAGGGGCGCCAGCAGCGGCCGGTCTTGGCCTTGTGCAGCGCAAGCACCTCCACCATGAGCGTTGACACGGTGCTCAGTGACCCCAGAAACCCCAGCTGTAGGGCACCCACTGCCAGCACACTCACGTCGCTGTTGTACTGGTGGAGGGGGGAAGGGGGCATGGAGAGAGGGAGGGAGGATGGGAGTGGAAGGAGAATGACAATGCGGGGTTGGAAGGAGAATGACAATGCGGGGTTGGAAGGAGAATGACAATGCGGGGTTGGAAGGAGAATGACAATGCGGGGTTGGAAGGAGAATGACAATGCGGGGTTGGAAGGAGAATGACAATGCGGGGTTGGAAGGAGAATGACAATGCGGGGTTGGAAGGAGAATGACAATGCGGGGTTGGAAGGAGAATGACAATGCGGGGTTGGAAGGAGAATGACAATGCGGGGTTGGAAGGAGAATGACAATGCGGGGTTGGAAGGAGAATGACAATGCGGGGTTGGAAGGAGAATGACAATGCGGGGTTGGAAGGAGAATGACAATGCGGGGTTGGAAGGAGAATGACAATGCGGGGTTGGAAGGAGAATGACAATGCGGGGTTGGAAGGAGAATGACAATGCGGGGTTGGAAGGAGAATGACAATGCGGGGTTGGAAGGAGAATGACAATGCGGGGTTGGAAGGAGAATGACAATGCGGGGTTGGAAGGAGAATGACAATGCGGGGTTGGAAGGAGAATGACAATGCGGGGTTGGAAGGAGAATGACAATGCGGGGTTGGAAGGAGAATGACAATGCGGGGTTGGAAGGAGAATGACAATGCGGGGTTGGAAGGAGAATGACAATGCGGGGTTGGAAGGAGAATGACAATGCGGGGTTGGAAGGAGTGGGGATTGAGCATAAGACAGGCGCGTGAGCTCAAATACAGCGAGCGTGCTGCTACAGGTGCAAGCGTGCATGAGTGCATGTGCGTGTGTGGGACTCACAGCGAGCACGACGGTGGATAGAGCAGCCTCGAGCACGGACGCACTGACATTGGCAGCCACGGTGCCCACGGGCACCCACTGCCACCACCGCCCCTTGCCCACCGCCCCGCCATTCAACCACGACAGGTACCAGCGCAGCCACGCACCCGGCGCCGCCACCACACACGCATACCACAGGCGCCTCGTCTTGGACGACCAGTCGTCGAGCGCGGTGCCGATGGCGGCGGCCGTGACGAGAAAGACGGAGAGGCAGAAGAACAGGAGGAGGGACGCCCACCGCCGGTCAAAGTGGTCCGCACGTGGTGCACGCAGGGGCGGCTTGCCGCGCGCAGTGCGGCGGTCGTTGGCGCGCTTGATCTGCCACTTGATGCCGTCCGCCAAGTCGATCCCCGCCATCAGCGACACGAACGGCAGCGCCGCTCCTGCATGCCCGCGCCGGGGGAGCGGGGGGAGAGGGGGGATAAGGGAGAGCGTTGGCACAGGTTGGGCAATGGGGAGCAGTGGAGAGGAGAGCACACGGTGAGTGACTGACAGTGGCGGCAGAGCAGCACGCGCACAAATCGGCGCAACGGAGCGAAGAGGCACGCAGCGGGGAGGAGGAGGGCGCACGCACCGACGATGTAGCCGGCGAGCGCGCGCACCCAGAGGCCCTGCGCGAGGATGGCGAGCATGCGCTGGTTCCACGACGCGAAGGTGGTGATGCACCCGCACAGCCCCGTCGCCAGCCCGATCGCCAGGTGCTCCGAATACGCCGCTATGTGCCGCTTCGCCGCCACGCCCACCACTCCCATTATGAAACTGCCCGCCTGCCATGCGGCAGGGAGGGGAGGAAACGAGGAGGGCGCGGTGAGAGGGGGGAAGCGCGGAAAGGAGGGAAGACGGGAGGGTGGGTTCGGTTAGGGGAGGTGGGTGCGAGAGTGGGAGTGAAGCGCGGAGGGGGAGTAGGTGTGAAGGGGCGCGACTGACGATGTTAGCGGGCAGGTCGATGAAGACCGTCTGCTCGTCGTCCGTCACGTGCGCCATCTCGGGCCCAAACAGCACCTCCAGCCCGTACCGTATCAGCACCTGCGCACGCCGCCGCGCGGGAAGGGGGCGAGGGGAAAAGCAGGGGGGAGACCTACCGGTGAGGTGAATGCGCGAGGAGAAAGCGGGGATGATGCGGCAAGAACGCGAGCAGTTATGACGCGGTGCGGCGTGGATGGGATGACGAAGGCGAGCGCGGCGCGGCGGACGTACCCCGATGATGGCGAAGGTGGCGAGATGCACGAGCACGGACACGTGCGTTAGCCACGGCTCGAGCCGCTCGTCCTCCTCCGGCACCTGCTCGCGCACGCGCGCCCAGGGGAACGTTACAGGGGGGTGAGGAGAGGGGGACGGGGTGTGAATGGGGGGAAGCGGAGAAAGGCGACGGGGCACGGTGAGAAAAAGGCGGAGAGGCGAGATAGAAGACGCTCCAAGGGATCGCGCCGAGCTGCTATGCACCCTTGACAGGGTTGCGACTTAATTTGCGTCGCTGCCAGTGACAGAGGTCAGCTGCCAGTGACAGAGGTCAGCTGCCAGTGACAGAGGTCAGCTGCCTTTGTCAATCAACGCCAACAGAGGGGATAGAACCCGACTCGCCTGTATTTCGGATAGCGGCGGTTGAGCGGCAGTTGGCGCCGCGACGACAATGGCGGCGGGAGGTGACGAGGCAAGCCCGGAGGCGGGAGGCGCAATGTCCACTGCGGCGGCTTCCGCGGATGAGGAAAACACGGCGAGCTGCTGCGAGCGACTGGCGGCACTGTCGGACGCCATCGCGCTTAAGAATATAATAAGAGTAACTCTATCGAAGCTACAAACCAGGAGCCTTCTTGAGGGTCAAATCCGAAACCTAATATCTTGACTATCGGGGATCAGTCAACCTAACCAATCGATGGGTGTGAGAGCGGCGGGAGCGGTTTCATGACGTGCATCCACCACAGAAAACAGCACGCGAATCAGCTAGCGTAGGTCACGCCGGACGCTCGCGCCACGAGTACACCATGAGGCAGGCAGGGCGAGGTAGCGGGTGGGGAAGCTAGAGAAGAGAAACGACGAATATTGCAGAACAGTGCAGTGCTACGCATGAGAGATGAGCCCGACAGCCATGGCTGCCGGTAGGGCAGGTCGGGTGTAGGTGGAGCAAGCGGCAACCCGGGCGGAAAAAGAATGAGACGGGGGAAGGCACGGCTGCGGGGAGGCAGATTTGCTGCGCGTGGGGCGGAAAGAATGGTGTAGGCTTGCGAGGTGAAGGCAGGGAGGGATGGGGAGGGGGAGGTGCGGAGGGCGAGGGGGCAACCAGTGCGGGTGAGGCTACAGTGCCGGATGTGGGCGGGCCGTGGTTGGGGGCATGGCGCTTGCAGTTAGCGGCCAATCAGGTGGCGGTCCAACGAACCCAGCGAAACCCTAGAGGTCGTACCTTCACCTGATGCCCCTCCCTACCGCCACCGGGAAATGAGAGCTGCCCGTTCTCGCATGGAAAATACATGGACAATCTCACGAGTACGCAATTGCGAGTGCTAAAAATGTGCAGGTTCGTGTTTGCAATCGCAGTAGTCAGTATCGCGCAATTGCTATGATGTCAGAGTGCCAGCTTTCCCGCCACCACCCCATTCGCCAGCAGGATGAGATCCCAAGGAAAACAATGCGACACGGGCGTGATGGACAAAATGCCTGGCCGACATTCCTTTTGTTCACGGGAACCCTGAAATGCTCTTCTGGCAACCTCAACTAAACGCGGCAATCCCAGAATTATTTTGAGAAAGCATCTGGCTGTTGTATAGTAGTCATGGCGTGTCATGGCGTGGCATCTATTCATCGTGAAATAAACTAGAGGGCTAAGTCTAACCAGTCTCAATGTTTCTCCATTATAAGTTTTATGGTATATGTGAGTCAGACCTTGCAACCTTTGCCAAGTCGATGTGTTCAGCACCGTAAGCCTTTCGCTCGACGCGCCACCAACTCGCAGGCCCTTATGGCACGGCAACGCTGCAGCTTGACAGTCCTCGCCGTTCTCGTATTCGCGTTGTCCTTACATTCGGTAACGCGCTCGTCGGCGACCGAAAAATACGACGTGCTCTTTTACTCCGCCGGACCCTACACCCCGTGCGGCACGTCTGGTAACTTCTCCGCGGTCGGCGTGCAAGGCGCATTAGAGCCGTACAAGAGAGACGCCACATCGCTTAAAGGACAAGCGATATCGGGGCGAGTGACCGTTTACGATGACTGCTACTTCGCGCTCTCAGATCTCAGGTGCCTCTCTCCCGCTCGCCGCACCCTTCGCTCTTTCACTCATCGCAAGTCCAGCTCGCCGCAACCAGGGCGCTCCCAACTTTCGCACTTGATCCCTTACCATCCTCGTGTAACTCCTTAATCCCACACTACCCACCATAGCTCCTCTCTCGACTCTCACTTCCACCCATCCCCTCCTCTTAATCCCTTCACCCGGCCATCCGTTCCTTCCCTTTCCCACGCTCCACATGCAGCATCAGTGCAGCTGTGGACGCGCCGATATCCATCTGGGCGGGGCCCAAGGACGTCGACCCCTACTCGCACGCCGCGCCCGTCGACCCCTACGCCGCCTCCTCCTTCCCCGCCTCCGCCGCCTACTCCTTCGCACCGGCCAGCACCGCATTCAACCTCACGGCGACGTCGCTGATGGCGGTGTTCCTGCAGGCGGGCGGACTCACCTGGGACGAGGCGCAGGTGCTTTACCTCTGCGCGGGGTCCGCCTCCGCGGGAATCACGCGGATCTACGCGCAGTTTGCGGTCGGCGGGCGTGAGCACGCGGGCCCGCACGGCAAGACCGTGCGGTGGGTGCGGAAGGCGGTGGGGGCGGCCGCGAGGGAGCAGCGCCTGCTCTTGCCTTCGCCCCCCGCCCGCCCGCCCCCTCCCCCCCCCAAGCCACCTGCGCCGGGCAGCAGCGGGCCGTCCGTCGGGCTGACCAACTGCGTGGAGGCCGTGCCAGGGCGGCTGAACATGTGAGTGACGGGGACGGAGGCTTGGGTTGGGGGGAGAGGACGACGGGCAGGCGGCGGAGAGAGAGAAAGGCGAAGGGGCGAAAGCATGGGCGCTGGTCTCCCGACGGCCCTTGACTTCTTCACTCAACACACTCTCCCTCCGCCCTTCTTGCCCCCAACCTTCCCCTCCCCCTTTGACTCTGTGTGTGCGGTTTTGTGCGGTTGTGCACGGCGGGTGGCGGTACTGTGGTGTCGGCGGCGGCAGATACTGGACCGTGCATCACGGCGACGCGGACGCAGGTGCCGCGGGACCGCCGCAAGACGTCTCCGCAGTCACCGGGTCCTCGACCTCGCCCGGCAGCAGCAGCGCTGGCAACGGCGCCGGCGGCGGCGGCGGGGGGAAGGGGCCAGTGGTAGAGATGGGGATGGAGGCGCGCGTAGGCGAGGGATCGTGGGTGGCGGTGGGCGTGTCGCGCAACCAGACGCGCTTCGCCATGCTGCAGAGCGACGTGACGGTGGGCGGCGTGCTGGCGGGCGGCGGAGGGGTCTTCGCGCGCGACTATCACATCACCGCCAAGCAGACATGCCAGCAGGTCGCGGGCGGCTTCGTCGGCGTGTGCGAGGTGCGTGTGGGCGTGTACAAGTGTCGGTCCATCATCTCCCCATCTCTTTTCCCGCCATTCACTCACATTCCTCCTTCGCCTCCCCCTCAACACCCTTCTTTCCAAATTCGCCCTCGCCCGTGCCTTCCCCCTTTGCTTTCTCCGTTTCATCCCCCCTCTTCCGCTTCCCCGCCGCAGGACGCGCTGCTGGGCTCCTCCCCCACGTCCCTCAACGACGTCACCCTCGTCTCCGCCTCGCGCCGCGCTGACGTCACATTCATCCGCTTCACCAAGCCCGCCGCCACGGCGGACGACCGCTTCGACGCCAATCTGCTGCGCGCGCCGGGCCTCTCCGCGCTCTGGTGGGTCGTCTTCGCCGCGGGCCCGCTCGCCCCCGCGTCCACCGCCGCCGCGCCCACGCTGCTCTTCCACGACCCCGCGCTCGGGTATTTTTCCGGGGGCACGCGCATCCCCTTCGCGCCGCCCGCGCCCATCCGCACTTGCTCGCCTCTCTGGGGCACCAAGCCCGAGTACCACCCCCCGCTCCCCCCGTACGCGCCACCGCCCCCGCCCGGCGCGGCTGCGCCTCCCCCGCCTGGCGCGGACGCGGCGGGGGGCGTGGCGGGGATGCCGGGGCTGCGCGAGTGCAGCACCGCGGTGGGCGGGCAGGTGTACGCGTTCGACGCGTGCGACGCGCTGCCGGGCGGCTTCCTGCTCATGTGGTCGCTGGCGGGCATCACGCTGCGCGCCGCGTTCGTGGCGCAGGCCGTGCCGGACGGCGGGTACGCTGCGGTGGGCCTCTCGCCGTCCGGCGCCGTCGCCAACTCCAGCCTCCTCGTCGTCTCGTACGCGCAGGACGCGGGCGCGGGGTGGGGGAGTGGAGGGAAGGCCGCGGGCGCGGGGACAGGCGGGGCGGAGGTGGAGGTGGGGCAGGTGGTGGTGCGCGCAGGTGCACGGGGCGTGGGGGTGGAGGCGGAGGCGGGGGGCGATCTGACGGTGGTGAGCAGCGTGGGGCAGGCGCGGAACGGCGCTCTCACGCTGCTCTTCTCGCTGCTGCTGCTGCCCAACCAGACGGCCGCCGCGTACCTCGTGTGGACCAAGGGGCAGCGCGCGCAGCTCTCCCTGCCCGCCGCGGCTGCAGCCAACGAGACAGGGGGGGTGCTGTCGCTGGATGGGCTGGACTCGCTGATGACGTCAGCCATCAGCTTCGAACGCGGCGAGCCGAAAGACGAGTCCAACGACACCATCCGCCTCTGGAAGGTGCGCGCGTGCGCCCCCTCTGCTCCCCCGTTCTGCATTCCCCCCCCTCCCCACCCCCTCCAGCTCCCACATCTGCTTCCCCCTTCTGGTCCCTGCACGCTCCTTGCGTGCTGCTCGCCCTGCGTGCTGCTCGCCCTGCGTGCTGCTCGCCCTGCCTGCTGCTCCCTCCCACCTCGTGCCATCACGTGATCCCCACATCGCGCCATCCTACCCCCTCCCGCCTCCCTTTCCTTTCCATCAGTTCCACAGCATAATCAGCACAGTGGTGTGGGCGTTCCTCATGCCTCCATGTCATCCCCACGCCTCACCATCCTAACCCACACACACCCTCCCCCCCTTTCCCCCAATCAGATCCACGGCATCATCAGCACGGTGGCGTGGGCGTTCCTCATGCCACTGGGCGTGATGGCAGCGCGCTACCTGCGCCAGGTGTATGCGCGCTGGTTCCCCGTGCACCAGGCGCTGCACCTCGCCGCCACCTCGCTGGCCACCGTGGCATTCACCATGGCGCTCACCATGCCGCACGGCGCCATTGAGGGCCGTGCTGACAAGGCGTCAAGGGGGGCGTGCGTGGTGGCGCATACAGCCATGGGCATCACGCTCATGGTCATCTCTGCACTGCAGGTGGGGTGGGGAGGGCATTGGTTATGTGCTGTGCTGTGCTCTGCTCTGCTCTGCTCTGCTCTGCTCTGCTCTGCTCTGCTCTGCTCTGCTCTGCTCTGCTCTGCTCTGCTCTGCTCTGCTGTGCTGTGCTGTGCTGTGCTGTGCTGTGCTGTGCTGTGCTGTGCTGTGCTGTGCTGTGCTGTGCTCTGCTCTGCTCTGCTCTGCTGTGCTGTGCTGTGCTGTGCTGTGCTCTGCTCTGCTCTGCTCTGCTGTGCTGTGCTGTGCTGTGCTGCTGGGCATGTGCGCGTAACCTCTCTCTGCTGCTCCCAGTTGTCTGCATCCGCTTGTGCCCCTCGCCTTCTCGCCGCCTCCTCATATCCCTCTCTCGCTCCCTTCCCCCATCATTTTCCAACCGTCCTCACATGCCTCTCCCACCCCCTCCCCTCCCACCTCGTCCTTCCCACCACACCAGCTGTCAGCGCTGGTGTGGCGCCCACACGAGGACAGCAAGTGGCGCCCATACTGGCGGCGGGTGCACGCAGGGGGAGGCGCGGTGGCGCTGCTGCTGGGGCAGGCGCAGCTACTCGTTGGGCTATTCATCTCAGCGGCCCCTCTATTCTACACCGTGCTGCTGGCCGCGTGGCTCATCTTTGCTCTGCTCCTCACCACAGCCCTCGAGCTCCACTTCTTCCCCACCTTCTACCGCCTCGCCCACTGCTGGGACCGCCTTCTGGGCCGCAACGCTGACGTGGCGTCTGACGTGGACAGCCTGTGCGCCTCCAGTGAGAGGATGGCGGGCGGTGCGGGTAGAAAGGGGCCGGCGGCGGAGGGGGAGGGCGGCAATGGGGAGAAGGGTGCAGCGGAGGGATGGGTGGCGGCGGTGGTAGCAGTGCTGCGGCGCAGCAGGGGCGCTGGCATGCTGCCTGAACGGCCCAGGGGGCGAGGGAGGACGGCAAACGGGGGGAAAGGTGAGGGGAGGCAAAGGGGGAGAGGCGGGGTTGCGCAAAGGGGAGGGGGGGCGAGTGAGAGGGCGGGGAGAGGGGGCAGCGTGGGAGCGGGGCACAGCGGGTACATGAGCATGGCAGGCGCCAATGCTCTCACTGACCGCCGCTCCAAGGAGCTGCTGCCCCCTCACCCTCACCCACCCCCACCGCTGCCAGCCCCTGCCCTCCCAGCCCTGCCGCACTCGCAGGCACCTGCACCCCCCACCACTGGTGGCGCTGCTGCTGGTGGTGGTGGGGGGATTGGCAGAGAGGGGGCAGGAGCGGTAGGGGGGAGAGCGGAGGGGGTGGAGGCCAGGGCGGGGGCGTTTGGGCGAAGCCAGACAGTGGCAGAGGGGGGTGGCAGGGAGAGTGCCGGGGAGCACGGGAATGGGGCTACTGTACCAGCTGCTGGTGATGGTGGTGCTGGTAGTAGTTCAGAAGCCAGCAGCCAATCACGAGGCGTGTGGGCGGGTGGAATGGCAGCTTGGAAGGCAGAGGAGGCAGCGAGAGAGAGAGGGGGAGAGGGAGTGAGGGAGGGAGTGAGGGAGGGAGTGAGTGAGTACATCCGCACGGACAAGTACAACGTGCGGGCCACGGTGGTGCGGGCACCAGACCTGGCTCTCAGAGGGAGAGCGGCCCGACAGGATGGGGCAGGCGAGGGAGCAGCAGGGGCAGGGCCAGCAAGCACAGTGAGCAGGGCGGGAGGGTCAATGAAATAACTGGAGAGCCAGGAGGGGTGTGTTGATGCGACGAGTGTCTGGCATGGCAGGTAGCAGCACTGCTCTATTCCTGTGCTGCTCTATGCCCTCGTGTGAGGCAAGAGCACACCATGGTGTATGTAGTGTGGGTACTGTATGTGTGAGTCGCAGAGCCACACTCGCTCCTGGCTCCATTAGGATGTGGTTCGCCACACCACCAATGAAGACTCAGATCTCAGGGTCGCTCCTGTTGTCATGTGCTGGTGCACCCTTATTCCTGTGTGGACACAAGTGTCTCAATCACCCTGTGACACCCAAAACAGCATAAACTGTATTGTGTCCCAAATGAGAGTCTCCTTTCAGCGACCAGTGCTGTATTTTTCATTGGTCAGCGTGAAACGCGCTGACGTCGCTGACGAATTGCAAATGGACCCGTCATTGTTAAAAAATCGCACGCGACTTGAAATGTCCCACACGACTACATGCACCTGGACGTCCGACAATGCCAATTTCGCGCGGGAAAAAAATCCCGCGCATCGAAACCACGCCCCTGCCCGGCGGTTGAAGAAACGGGTGTACAGTCATTTGTGTCACCCAATCAAATGCGCACAACTGTACATTTTGCCATGTCGCCTAGTGTTGCAATACATTTAATTTTTGTGATGCGAGGTTGACAAAATGTTTCGACACGACTTGGGAAAAGGGGCATTGAGGCACTTGTGTCAACACAGGAATGTCCCCTTAGAGACAGGTTGCTTTATTAGGTCATACCGTCATCACCCGGATAGAAGATAGTGTTGAATTGAAGACATGGGTGTCTTTAATACGGGTGTTTTCTTATAAACGGAAGTTCCTTTTATAGGAGACTACATTACCGATATGGGATAAGACATGTATGTCTTATAAACGAAATATAAAAACTTCATGTTGAATCAGGTCATATCGCGTACGTTTTTGCCTGAGCGCGCGTGAATTCATTCACACGATGACTCAGATGATGGTGTATCTGAGTCACATGCTGCGTCAGCAGATTTTTCTCGTGATGTAGCGTATCCAGAAATGCCGGAGTCGTCCCAGCATTGGTTTCTGTGTGGAAGACTGGTTCGTGGGAGTTTATACAGTAGTATGTGAGAAATTGTTTATCTTAAAAGTTTCCCGTTTATAAGATTTATAAGATACCCATTACCTTCCTTTTACAAGATAAATCGCCAGTTTTTGAACCGATATCGGATAAGACCCATATGTCTTATATCCGGGCGATGACGGTATGGTAATCTCAGTAACTAAACACAGCGGAATGACTTGCATTGATTGAGTTGGGGTACAAGTACCTAACCCTAATTGTTTGTACCCCATATAGTATGACCCACTAAGGGCTATAACATTTGACACACCCCCATAGCCTAAGTGGGGAATGCCAAGTAACAGAACACAACCTAAGGTCACAAGACCAGTCACAAGCAAGCGAGAAAACAAAGCTCAGGGTGGATCTCAACGTCACCACACATTCTGAGCACAAACAAGTGGCCACAAGGCCAGTTCAAGAGTGTACAAGCTAATATATATATGGTACAAACAAGCAAGAGGCAAGAACTCACTACTGCAGTCTACTAGACCCAGTCTCAACAAGGCCTAACTGCAGACAAAACCGGCGGTGGTCACAAGGCTGAAGAGCCTTGGTGAAGATGTCTGCAGTGTTGGCCTCGGAGGCCACGAAGTCCAGACGTGCCTGTCCACGTCTCTGCAACTCTCGAAGGAGGAAGTACCTGACGTCGATATGCTTCACCCTGCTCTCCAGTCGAGGCTCACGACACAGGAGAATCATCGCCTTGTTGTCAGCAAACAAGGTCGGTGCAGAGCTCGGCCGCTCACCAAGGTCAGTGAGCAAGAAGGTCAACCAGCGTAGCTCCTGTGCAGCGAGGGCTCCAGCGTAGATCTCGGCCTCTGCGGTAGAAGTCGCAACAGAGGAGGACCGAGTAGACCTCCACGAAACAGCTCCAGAGCCCAGGCTGAAACAGTAACCCTGTGTAGACCTCTGTGACTCAACGTCGTCGGCGTAGGAGGAGTCGCAGTGACCGGTGAGTACAACTGGCTGTGTCCCTCCAAGTACAAGCCCCATGTCTGATGTCGCGCCGAGGTACTTCGCCACCCTCTTAGCTGCCGCCCAGTGAACAGGACGGTGTCTCCCTGTCGCAACAAAGCGAGAAAGGATGCTAAGAGGGAAGGCGAGGTCCGGGCGAGTGCACGTCATCAGGTACATGAGGCAGCCCACCAACTCTGCGTAGGGACCACTGGGCTCGAACGGCTCGTCAGGAAAAGGCCCAGTGAGTCTGTGGTCTACAGCAAGAGGGGTGGGAGGAGGAGAGGAGTGCTGAAGCCCGAACCGCTGAAGGACCTGCTGCACCATGTGTGACTGAGTCAGAGTGATGGTGCGAGCGGCTCTGTCCCTGGAGATCTGCAGGCCAAGGTAGCGGCGCAGTTCCCCAAGGTCAGTGCAGGTGTGTCTCTTCTGCAGTTCGGACTTCACCTCCGCCAGTGCAACTGTGTCGGCTGTGGCAAAAACCAGGTCGTCAACGTAGACAAGAACAAAGAAAGGTGTGCGCCCACGACGAACAAACAGCGACGGGTCGGCGGAAGACGGCTCAAACCCAAGGTCGGACAGAGTAGAGCGGAGAGTGTCGTGCCACTCACGGGGTGCCTGGCGGAGACTGTAGACCGGTCGTCTGAGGCTCCACTGGGTCCCAGGCGGGAAAGTGCCAGTGAAGCCCGGAGGACGACGCAGCCAGATCTCCTCGTGTAGGCTGCCCTGCAAGAAGGCAGTGGAGAAGTCGAGAGAGTGTAGCTCGTAGTCTCTCTGCGCTGCTACGTGCAGTAACACCCGAAGAGTGGTCATCTTCGGGGTGGGCGCAAAGGTCTGAAAGAAGTCAACTCCCTCATGCTGACTGAAACCTCTAGCCACGTAGCGTGCCTTGAAGACTGGAGGAGATCCCGGCGGCCGCTTCACCTTGAAGATCCACATGCCGTCAACAATGTTCGCCCCTGGGGGGGGAACCTCGTCAACGTAAGTGCCTGTGGACCTGTAGGAGGCCATCTCTGCGTCCATGGCAGCTCTCCACTGAGAGGCCCAAGGCCCTGACACTGCCTCAGCGTAAGTGCGAGGAGTAGGTATGTCAGGAGCGTCGGGGTCTCCCTCAGGAGCGAGCAGCATGGCACAGAGATGAGGTGAAGCGGCTGCCAGGAACTCTAGCTCAAACTGTCTATCCTCTAGGACGGCACAGCCAAGGGCAAACTCACCCCCGGCGGACAGAGGACGGACAGGAGGAGCCGCCACAACGCGAGTGGCGTAGTCAAGGCGACGCGTAGCAGTAAAGTCTGTGACAGCGGCAGTGAGGACCGCGACGGAGGAAGGAGAGGCACGAGGGTCTGTAACAAGAGAGGCGAGAACACGAGAGAGAGTGGGGCGGTACGTGCGGTAGTAGTCAGTGACCGGAGTGGACAGGGAGGCAGTGAGGGACGACTCAGGAGGACGAGGAAGAACAGACGGAGGAGAACGAGGAGGACTAGGACGAAACAACACGGTACGAAGGTCACGGACAGGTGACGAGGGACGAGCACGAGGAGGACGAGAGGCCCAAGTGTGGGAGAGAGGAGTGGGAGACGGAGCGGGAGACGGAGGAGACTGAGAACGAGGGAACACAGCCGGAGCTGAGTCCGGAGGAGGAAACGTCGGACCGAACACAGGAGGAGAGGAGGAGGGGAGACCAAGGGCCCGAAGGCCAGTAACAGAGGCCGGAGGCTGCTCCGGCTGCTGCGGCGGCTGCTGCTGCTGCTGCTGCTGCTCCCGCTGCAACTCCAGCCTCTCACGCTCCACCCGCTGCTGAACCTCCAACCTCTCACGCTCCAAACGCTGCTGCTCCTCACGCTCAAGACGAAGACGGGTCTGGTGTCGAGTCAGGTAGGGGTGAGGAGGAGGAGTGGTGTCAGGAGACGAAGAAGAAGAACCGGCTCCGCCCTCGACAGCACCCGGCTGAGAACCCCCAGAGCGTGTACCCCCTGCGGCAGCACGACTAGCACCTGTAGGAGGTGGACCCGCACCCCCAGTCGGGGTGCCTCCAGTGGCACCAGCACCAGCCTCAGACTCTCCAGCTCCAGAAACACCACCAGCTCCAGCACCACCACCAGCTCCAGCACCCTCGGAACGGGCAGCCGCGGCAGGTGCACGCTCAGCGCCAACGCCAACACCCCCAGAACGGGCGGCTCCTGTAGGTGCACGAACAGCTCCAACGCCAGCACCCCCAGAGCGAGCACCGCCAGAGCCCTCACCCCGAGCACCAACACCCTCAGAGTCCGCAGTGGCCGGTAAAGGAAGCGCTGACGGCTGCTGCGGAGGCTGTGAGGACGACTGTGGGGAAGGAGGAGAGACCTGAGGGGGGACCGAGGGGGGGGGGGTACCGAGGGGGGGGGAGTAGCGTGGGACACACCAGACGGAGCAGGACCAGGGGGGGGTACCGGAGGAACAGGGGCGGGAGGAGGAGGAGGTGGAGCCAGGAAGAGGGGGGGGGGGACCGGGAGACCTCGAGAGGGGTACCTGACGTAGTAGGGGACGGACTCGTCGAAACGGACGTCACGAGAGTCAAAGAACCGGTGGGAGGGTGGGTGGTAAAAGGTGAAGTCAGAGGAGCCCTCTGGGAAACCAAGGAAGACACAGGGGACGGCGCGAGGCGAGATCTTGTCCGCAGAGGTGTCGCGGACAAGAGCCAAGCAGCCCCAGACACTAAACCTCGACGCAACACCAGGGGACCCTGTCCAAAGACTGGTCGGTGAAGCCCCTGGCCGAGAGACGCGAGGCCAGAGGTTCAGCTGGTGAGCGGCGTACCGAGCCGCGTAGGGCCACAGAAAATGGGGCGCGCGGGCGTGGATCATGGAGGTGCGGGCGATCTCCATGACCAGGCCTAAGCGGCGCTCAGCAACCCCATTCTGCTGTGGAGAGTCTGGGAGAGTCCAGGACTGGGTGATGCCCTGCTCAGCACAGAAACTGGCGAGAATGCCGGAGCGAAACTCACCCCCACGGTCGGAGTGGAGACAACTGACACGACGACCACGAGTGCCCTCGGTGGCGAGGAGCCACCGGATCAGCGTAGAAGTCACGTCGGACTTCTTCGCCAAGGGGAACACGGTGGTGTACCGAGAGTAATCGTCAACGACCACCAGAAAGAAACTCTCCCGCTCAGGGCCAAGGCGGGAGGCGGGGCCCCAGACGTCTAAGTGGAGTGTCTGGAAGGGCTCGGTGGCCGGACGAAGGGAGGAGGAGTGGGGGGTGGCGCGAAGCCGACCCTGGACACAAGGACCACACGGAGGAGCTGGGGACGGCGGGAGTGGTGGGAGGACTCAAGGGAGGCCTAAGACAAGACGCTGACTGGACATGGCGCGCAGACGAGGAAGGGACGGGTGCCCCATCCGGTGGTGCCACAGAACGGTGGGGTGGGCAAGCGACCGACACGAGCACGACGCAGCAACTACACCTGACACAGCAACCTGACTGGACCCGGCTACCTGGTGGGACGGGGGAACCTGACGGGGGTCGGTGCGGAGGGTGTACAGACCAGAGCCCGGCTCCTGGCGGAAAGTGGCCAAGGGGGCGTACGTGTCACCGTCGACGCAGACTGCGGTGTCACCAGAAGGCTCAACCCAGACCCCGACGTGCTGTCTCGCCAGGGTGCCCACACCAACCAGGTTCCTAGAGAACGTAGGAACGTGGAGGCCGGTCAGGGAACCAGAAGGAGCAGCTGGGCACGGGAGTGTAGTGGCGTGAGTCGCAATGACCGGTCCCGAGGAGGGATCGGCCAGTGCTACAGGGACAGGTGCCGGTAGCGGAGAGAGAGTCGTGCAGTCGCGGAAGAAGCAGTGCGACGCTCCTGAGTCCAGTGTGAAGGAGAGAGACGCGTCCGCCGAGGGAGTACCTGTACTAGTAGCTAAACAAGATCCTACACTGGCACCTACTCTAGCAACAGGCAAGTACACAGATCCAGGAGCACTATAGTCAACATCAGCATACATGGCATAAGACCTAGCATCATCCATAGTCATATCAAAAACAGCAATGCCACGAGCAAGAAGCGTCCCCCAGCGTGGCGGCGGGGGAGCAGAGGGGCCGTGGTGCAAACGGTAGAGGTCGTCGAGACGACTGAAGCAGCGTGCAGCAGAGTGGTCGGGGCGGCCACAGTACGAGTCCCGTCGAGGACCCGTAAGGATCCAGTACTCACAGGGACCAACGTCGCGGCCGGCCGAGCGAGGTCCCCGACTGGAGGGGGCAGCACTGCGCCCAGTGCTCGGGGGACCCACAGACCTCCACTGCTGCTGAGGGCCCCACTGCTGCGGAGGCCCCCACTGCTGAGGCTGCTGCTGCGGTGGGCGCTGCTGCTGGCCCTGTCGCTGCTGCTGCGGTCCCTGCTGCTGCTGCTGTCCAAGCTGTGGCAGCTGCTGAGAAGTCGGCTGCTGCTGCTGCTGGAACCCCCCACCACCAGTGATAACTCCACCGTCGAGAGGAGGACCGTCAGGGCCCGAGCCACCCCCACTACCACTCCCACCACCCGCCCCACCGCCGCCAACACTACCCACACCACCCCCAGTACCCCCGCCCTTCCCTCCCTTCTTGCTAGCCTTGCCACGTTTCTGTCCGCCAGAGACAGAAACAGCCGCCGTCTCCTCAGAGGCAGAAGACGCGGGGATGGCAAGGGAGGCAGTGAAGGTGGGAAGCTGTGGTACCGCACACCCCTCAAAAAGACGAGGAGGAGGCGCGGAAGAGGCAGAGGCAACGGTGAGGAGGTTACTCTCGATCTTCGAGAGAGCGGTCTCAAGAAGATCGATGGTAAGCTCAGTGGGATGCTTCAGAAGAAGCGCGTCGCGGGCTGTGGCTAGGCGGTCAGGGAGGCGAGTGACTAGCCAGTGAATGGTGAGCCACATAGGGGGCGGGGCAAGGGCAAGCTGGTCCTCAGTGCAAGCAGCACGAAAGCGAGTGTCAAGGGAGCGCAGGTGGGCAGTGAGGTCAGAGACAGTCTCAAAGGAGGCGAGGTCAGGGTAGATAAAGGGGACGAGGAGGCGACTGAGTGAGGCAGAGGAGGGAGTGGAGTAGCGAGCAACAATAGCCTTATACAGATCTGCAGCGGACTCGACCTGAGTGAAGTGGACTGCCTCGGTCGGTGGGAGAAGGTCGGTCAGGGCGAGGCAGGCAGCGGCGTCACGAGACTCCCACACGTCGCGAGCAAGAAACTGGCGCTGGTACTCGGCCTCCTGCTCAGGAGTAGGCGACGGGGTGGTGGGCAGCGGCCTAGGCTGAGGAGGGGCGGTCTGAGTACCGGATGCGTGTGCGAACAGGTGCACGCCATCCTGCCGCTGGCTCTTAAGGTGGCGCTGCGCCTGCGTAAGCCACGTACTAAAATCAATCGGTCTCCCCTCAGGGTCAAATCGAAGTACTCTAGTGGTCGCCATAAGGGGCGAAAAACGAGAGAGCGCGGCTACCAGCCGCAGGAGGGTGAGACAGTCAGTGGCACGTGGGCAGGCGCGCAGGCAAGGAGGCGAGGAGGCAGTGTAAGAGGCGCACAGGGGGGCAGTACGGCGCGCTAGTCGGTGGGCGGCGCGGCGCGCTGGCCGGCGGGCGACGCGGCGCGCTGGCTGGCGGGCGGCGCAGCGCTGGCGGTGCGCTGGCGTGCGCGCTGGTGTGCGCGCTGGCATGGCGCGCTGGCGTGGCACGCTGGCGTGCGCGCTGGCGTGACGCGCTGGCGTGACACGCTGGCGTGCGCGCTTGGCGTGGCGCGCTGGCGTGCGCGCTGGCGTGGCGCGCTGGCGTGCGCGCTGGCACGGCGGCGCGCTGGCTAGGGCGCTGGCGTGCGCGCTGGCGGGCCTGCGGGCTAGTACGTATGGGGTAGACGGGCTAGGGCGACGGCGAAGGGGCAGGCTAGGTCGACGGCGAGGGCGCAGGCTAGTGGCGGCCTAAGACTAGGTACGGCGCAGGTTGTGGCCTAGGAACGGCGTACCTACTGCTGATACCACCTCAGTAACTAAACACAGCGGAATGACTTGCATTGATTGAGTTGGGGTTTAAGTACCTAACCCTAATTGTTTGTACCCCATATAGTATGACCCACTAAGGGCTATAACATTTGACAGGTAAGATTCTCATTGTGGCCCAGTAGATACTAGTACTTCTCATTTAGGTGTAGGACTAACTGTTGAGATAAGCGGTAGTCTTAGGAGCCATAGCTAGGAGAGTCCTAGCTAGGCAAGAGAGTTTAGGCGAAAGAGGGGGGTTGCACTAGCAAGAATGGGGATACAAATAGCAAACCCTAGAAGGGTTGTACTCGCTACAGAGCACCCCACTACAGGCTAGAGCATAATATTCTGACACACCCCCATAGCCAAAGTGGGGTGTAATCAGCAGAGCAAGCAAAGCAGTACAAGCTCAGGGTGGATCACAATGTCACCACACATTCTGAGCACAAGTTTAAGAAGCAATAGTTTAAAGTTCACAATTATGAGCAAAGCTAGTGGTAGTCACAACGGGGAAGTGAGGAGGAGGAGGGCTGGCGAGAGGAGAGTAGATGGGAGGCGACGACTGAAGCTGCAGTCACACGGGCAACAGACGGCTCTGGTGCGACACAGTGGCTACCGGGAGTGAGTGCCCCGGAGTACAGGAGTAACAGGCTCCGCGGCTAAGACGAGCAGCAGGAGCAACGGACCCACAGGCGACGGCGCAACCGGCTCTCTGAGCTACCGGGAGTGAGTGCCCCGGAGTACAGGCGCTGCGTACGACACGACGGCAACCTCCCCTCAACCTCCCCCAACAGTCCCACATCCCTCGACACACACCCGCTGCTACACCGCTAGCTCCACTCCCCCTTCACCCCCCCTTAGTACCACTCCGACGGCTCCAACAGGTCCACCCCCCTCAGCGGCAGCTGCAGCACAGGGAGACGGAGGAGGAGGAGGAGCAGGGAACGGCACACAGAAGCTGCACCCCCATACCCCCCAACCCCAAACCCTAATCCAGGAGAACGGGCAGAAGGAGGGGTGGGGCGCCTTCAGAAGCACGGGGGACAGCGGGGAGGACAGGGGCAGCGAAGAACGGGGCGCCCACGGGCCTGGCACAGCCTCCCGAACCGCGCGCAGGCGGTCCGAGCCGCGCGCGGGACTGGCGCAGCCCGTACGGGCCGCGCGCGTGCCTGGCGCAGCCCGTACGGGCCGCGCGCGGGCCTGGCGCAGCCCGTACGGGCCGCGCGCGGGCCTGGCGCAGCCCGTACGGGCCGCGCGCAGGCCTGGCGCAGCCCGTACGGGCCGCGCGCCGGGTGTACGGGCCGCGCGCAGGCCACGACGGGCGACGGGGGGCGACGCGCGGGTCCCCGTCGCCCGTCGCAGCGCCTCCCGGGGGCGACGTGCCGAGTGACGGGGCAGGAACCCGTCGCGCGCCTCGGGGCACACGGCGGGCAGAGAACCGCCGCGCGCCTCGGGGCGCACGGCGGGCAGAAAACCGCCGCGCGCCTCGGGGCGCACGGTGGGCTGAAAACCCTAGTTTCGACGCCGCGCACCACGGGGCGCGCGGCGGACAGGGAGTAGCAGTAGCAGCGGAAGCAGTGAAGTGGGCCCACAGGCCAGGAACGTTAAGCTCTGATACCATGTTGAGATAAGCGGTAGTCTTAGGAGCCATAGCTAGGAGAGTCCTAGCTAGGCAAGAGAGTTTAGGCGAAAGAGGGGGGTTGCACTAGCAAGAATGGGGATACAAATAGCAAACCCTAGAAGGGTTGTACTCGCTACAGAGCACCCCACTACAGGCTAGAGCATAATATTCTGACACTAACTATTCGTGGAGGATCACAATGCACTACAATTGCATTTCATCATAAGCTACACCTAACGTGCTGCTTTTTGCAGCAGATGGATACTGAGCAGGCGCAGAGCCTGCTACTACATTATACATGTGCCCTTCCTCCCCGTGCGCTGTGCCGCAGCTAGCAGAGCGAGGCAGCCCACCTACACACCACAGTGCCGCAAGCCACACGCCAGTCAGCATCAGGGCAGGCAGGGATGGTTCACACGGAGGTGCCGACGTGATTGTAGAGAGAGTCAAAGCCGTTGAGCCAGCAGGGCAGCGAGTAGATGAGCAGGCCGAGGGCGAAGGAGGGTGCGATGGTGAGCAGCGCGTACGCATACGCCTTGGCGGGCGAGCGCAGCGTGTAGTGCAGGTAGAGGGCTTCTAGTGAGGGCATGGACACGGTGCTGAGACACGCCAGGAAGCCCAGCTGCATCGCCCCCACCGCCACCTTGCTCGTCGTGCTCTGGTACTGCACACACGGGGGTGGGGAGGACGGGGGAAAGAGGGGAATGAGGGAGGGGGGGGGAGTGGGAGAGCGACGAGAGTGGTGTGGGTATGTGAGGAGGTGGGTGAGGGGGGAAAGAGGGAGGGAGGGAGTGCGCGAGTGGAATGGGGGGATGGGGAATGAGGAGGAAAGAGACGTAGAGGGCGCGCGAGTGAGGGGCAGCAGGGGCGCACCTTGAGGTAGAGGATGGAAATGGCGGCTTCCACCACCGCCGCCCCCACGTTCGCCATCCACGTGCCCCACGGCGTCCACTCCCATGCGCCCCCGCCCTCCCCCGCTTCCGCCAGCAGCGCCGTTTCCGACCCAGAGCGGGAGGAGCGGGCGCAGGGGAGGAAGGGGAGGCGGAGGGGGAAAGGACCGCCGTTAAAGCGCAGGAGGAGGAAGCGGAGGTGGGTGCCCAGGGGGGCGAGGAGGCACGCGCAAGCCAGCATGCGCCACTTCTGCGAAGTGGGGGGGACCAGCAGCGCGCCGAGCCCCGCCAGCAGCAGCATGGCGGCGGAGAGGAGGAGCATCGGGAGCATGTGGCGGCGGTGGTGGGGAGGATCCGTTGGCGGAGCAGGCGCGGGGAGCTTTGCGCCTGGAAGCGTGCGGGGCAAGAGGGAGGAGGCGGGGGAGGAGCGCGCGCTGGCGGAGGAGTGGCGGATAGCGGTCCCCGCGTCGACGCCCGCGACGAGCGAAACGAGGGGGATCGCGGAGCCGGTGAAATAGCCGAAGGCGGCGCGCGCCCACAGCCCCGCTGTGGCGATGGACACCATGCGCTGGTTCCACGTGGCGAACGTTGATATGCTGCCGCACAGCCCGACGACGACGGCGATGGCGAGGTGGCGCGAGCGCGCGAGCAGCGCGGGGAGGAGAGCGACGGCGGAAACGCCGAGCAGGAATGCGCCGAGCATGTTGGCCGGCAGGTCGACGAAGACCGTCAGCGCGTCGTTTGTCACGTGCGCAACGTTCGGGCCGAATAGCTCGTCCAATAGAAACTGAATGCACACCTGCGCCCACGCAGGGAAAGGGGGGAGCGGAACGGGGGATAAAGGGTAGGGCTGAAGGGGGTTAGAAGGGGAGCGGGAGAGTTCCGAAGGGGCGTGGATGCGTGGTGGGAGTTGATGCGGGAGAGAGCGGTTGGGGGGAGTGCAAGCGCGTGCGGGGGAGGGGGGGCGACACGCACCCCGACGATGGCGAACGGCGTGATGTGCGCCACGAGGCTCGCGCCGTCCATCCACCGCTCCCACCGCTCCGCGCGCTCGATTTCGTCTGCGGAATCCGCGCGCGCGCAGACGCACGACGGTGGCGCGTCAAAGAACCCGACGTGGCTGGCGTAGCAGTAGTCGGACCCCGTCACCTGCCGCGCGCGCGCAGCATGGGGGAACAGCGGAAGGCATGGGGGCAAAGGGGGGCATGCAAGTGAGACGGGGGAGACGGAGACGAGGGTCTGAAAGCCCACAGTGTACGGAAAGAATGAGCTAAGCACCCCCCACCGTCTCCGCTCCTTATCTCGCGCCTCCGTCCTACCGAGCCTCTCAACCCTGCCTTACAACTGACCGCCTCACCTCGTCCGCGGATGTAAGCGGAAGGGCGCACTTCCGCCGGGGACGGCTGGCGCGGCAGATACAACTTGTAGCCGCGCCGCTGTCTTTTTCCGTCGCCAGTATGACGTCATCCCCCCCAGCGACGGCATCCGCGCTCGCCGTCGATGCGCTGCCGCGGCAACTGATGCTTTCCGATCCCACGTCGATCTGACTCGCGAGTTCGGCGCGTTGCTGTCCAGTAGCACTAGCATTGGGCTCCGAGGCGCACGGTGCACAAGCAGCGGCTTCAACGAGCGGCAACCGTTGACCCGCTTGAGCGTTTCTAGTGCTGCTCCTAGGCTCAGAGGCCGTGGCGCCCGCTCGACTCGACTTTCTACTCTTATCCGAACCATCTGCTGCTGCTACTGCTGGTGCGCCACTCGACGAAGATTCGCCTCTTCCCTGGCTCCCCGTGTCGCGGTGGCCCGCACCTGTCGTGGCGGGGCTCGCGAGGACAGCAGCACCCTGGATGCCTCGCGACGGACGAGCCACGTCAGCTGCGGGCAATGAAAGCGTGGGTCGCTGGTCGCTCATTGTTTCAGCTGCGAAACGATTGTGGAAGGAAAGGTACGGTGGAACCGCAAGAAATTGCACGTGCCCCTATCAGAGTCAGCAGACAGCGGTGCGCGCATCAACGAATCCAGAGCTAACGGAGGCCGGACATCACGGAACTTCTCGTGGAGATCGGTAGTGAGAAGGTTGAAGAGGAGAGAACGCGCCGCTGACAGATAAGTGAGACTGGAGATGTTCTGTAGTGGAAAGAATATTCTCTAGTAGTTTGGCACGAGCGCGTGGATGCAGTCCGAGTTCAAATACGCAATGGTCAAGCAAGTGCTAAGTCGCAGATTAACTCGGTGGAGGTTGACTTGGGGGTGGGTTGTGCCTTGGCTTGTCAATCAAGAGAGGGAGGTATTTGGCTGGTGTAGGCATTGTAGGGGGAGGTACATGCGAGCGCCGTTTTGCTTGCAGGGGGGAGGCGAGACACTCTCTGATGATGCTGGCTGAAGGGGGGGTGGGGGTTGGTTTGTTACAGCACGCGCGCACCATGGCGTTGTGTTGTCGCTGTGGCTCGCACAGGCAGGGACGGGCTGCACGTTGTGCTGCCAATCGAGGGTAACAGGGGAATGCCGTTGGTTGGTTTGGGTGTTTGGGATGGATCGTGGATGGGATGGGGGGAATCCCCATTGCGAAAGGACGAGGAGGGGCTTGCGCAAATGCAGCTGAACATACAACAGCGGAGCCTGTCACGCTCCACCGAGCCAATCCCTTCTGCAGGGATTGCACACCGCACCAGATCATTGCCCTCAAGGGAACGAGAGGCTGGCAGCTGGGGGGTGGGGCAAGGGACGAGAGCGGAGCGGAGTGAAAGAGGGCTGTTGAGAACTTCGAGGAGGCGGAAGGATGCAGCCTCGAATGCTAGCCATGGTGGGAAGGGTGGAGAGCGCTGGTTTGGACCCTCCGTCAGCCGCAGCAGCCAGCCAATAGAATTGGAAGGTGAGGTTTGGTCTGTAGTGGTGCAGGAGGAACTTATAGGTTCAGCCGTTCAGTCAGCGTGCGCCACGTCGGCAATGTCACAAGTCCGTGGAACAGTGACACACCCACAGATGATACCTGCACAGCCAGAAACTGCCTGAGATCTTAACGGATGTCGCGTTTCGATACAAAACGATTTCTTTTTCATCCCGCCCAAAACTTACAAACTAAGCAAACCAGCTCAAACCGCATCGAAGTCCTTCTGAACAATAGAGTGTACAGAATTATACAATCAGCCAGACTCAACTAGTGCACAGTTATGATAAACACTTATGGCCGTGTTAGGAACATGTTGTAGCAATTCGTTCATAACAATTGCGCTTATTAATTGGCAAAGGACCGGAACCGACACTATGGTACCATATAACAATACCGAACAATACATGAGGCGTCTTCAGCCAACACAACCCCCTCGATCATCTTGTACGGCGTATGAGTACCAATCGAGGGGAAAGGGGCCGATTGATGCTTCGATGCTCCCAGCACACCCAAGAGTCAGCAGGTAGAGACGCTGCCACCTCCACAACAGCGTCATACTCCTCCCTTGGGCAAATTTATAGGCATTCCGAAGCAGAGAGGGGGGGAGAGAATGGCTGAATGAGAAGGTTGAAGATGCGGCATAACGTATTCCATCAGTGCCAGGGGATGCGCACAACATGTGAATAGAGTCCACATTGTTTTGAAGCATGATCACCTTGCACCCCTGTCAGATCTATTGCCCCTCCACACCCTGCGCTCTCACCTGCCCCCTGGGTGGCCCACATAGGCCATGACACTGACCACGCCACCCACCGCTGTGGCTGCCACTGCTGCCTGCAGCGCTGCCACCGTGCTGCCCGGCTGCGTCGTGATGCCCTCAGGGCCGGTGGCAGGAGAGGGGGCGTGGTGGGCCTGAGGCAGGTAACCGAGGTTGAACACCACCAGACTGGTTCGGTCCAGGTGGGAGGTGGAAGGGGGTGCGGGGGGGGGGGGGGAGTGTGCAAGGTTGTTGGGGAGTAGTGGGCATGGAGTGGGAAATGGAAGGTATTGTGGAAGGTGAGTGGAAGAATGGAAGACCTGAGGAGGGTGATTGAATACTGCATAATGCATGGTGTGTGGTTGAATGGGGCGTGGTACGAGAGTGAGCATGTTTCGTGAATAAGTGTGGCGTTGAAGGGTACCGTGCAGAGGCCGGAGCAACATGTTGGAGCAGCGTGGAGTGGCATGCACACACCGTGTGCACGTGAGCCATCTGCCCCATGGGAAAGGGGGGAGGCGGGGGGAAGGGGAAGGGAATTTTTGGTAGGAGCAGTAGCACCAACGCTTATGCGCGAACACATGCACACGTGCAGCTGGTCACAAAGGCACGAAGTCCTGTGCCCACACGGGCACTGCCCACACATGAAATGATGCCGTGTGCCTCGCACCTGCGCGTCTGACAGCCCAGCTGCCAGCAGGCGACGGGTTCTGCTGACGGCCTCCTCCTGTATGTCCATCGCCACCACTCGCCCCGCCACCTCCTCCCCTGTGCTCCCTGCATCGCCTGCCCAGCCAACCCAACCCATGCCCCCACAAATCCACCATCCACACGAAGCCATGGAGGGGCACACAGAGGCTTGGCATCTGGCAGGGCAGGGCAGGGCAGGGCAGGGCAGGGAGGGAAGGGCGTTGCTTGCGAGCAGTGCGGGGCGACGCCTCACCATGGCTGGGTGGCGCGGGGGCGAGGGCGAGAGCAGCCATGGCCATGGTGTCGTAACCGTTGCCGCACGTCGCGTCGACCACCGTGTCGCCGCGCCGCACCACGCCTCTCCACAGCCTGAACCGCGCGCACAAAAACACGGCGGGCGGAAGGAGGGGGGATAGGATGAGGGCGGCGGAGGATGAGTGGCGGCACACGGGAAGCACGGGGTTTGGGGGAGGGGGAAGGGGAGTGGAGGGGGAGGGAGAGGGGGGGAAGAGGAGCGCGCCTTACTGGTGAGCGACGGCGGTGAGTTTGCGGCCGTGGAGCAGCGATTCAGCGAGGTCGGGCTCGCTGGGCTCCGCTCGCGACGAGGCCGCTGGTGCCGCCATTTCCTGCGCCGCTTGGCATGAGAACGAATATCGTCGTTGCGAGACGCTAGCCGTCGTGAATATTGATGTCGCCGTCTCAATTCTCGTTGATAGCTCGCTGGAACCGGGCCGCCTCAGCCTGCCGCCGCACACCTGTCCTGTGGGAGTGTTTGAATGAAACACATCCTTCCAGTAATTCCATGAAATCCCTATCGCTCGAAACCTATTTGCACCTACAGGGGTTCCTAATGAAGAGAGCATGGTGGGTGGGCGCGCCGCAAGTGGCGCTGATGGATTCATGTCGTGTGAACGGGGCTCATGTGAGCGAATGCCAAGATTCTGGGGAGTGCTGATTCAACATTGTGTGAGCTGAAATTTCTATAACACGAAATTGCGGAGTCCATTTTGTGGCAATTCACGCAATGATTTATTTCTCAAACAAATCAAGCCGATTCTCTCAGCCCATGGCCTCAACCATACCGATTACCCTTCGATGTTGTCACTGCGCGGTTCTGACAACAATCCCCAAGATACCGCAAGCAGCCCACCCCGCTGCACACATCCAAGCTCCGCCTGACACATTTCTGACGACCGAACCGCTCAGAATCGAAACGAACTCATCAGAAGCACTTTGGTGCCTCTTGACTGGAATGTCACTGACATGCCATGGGTGTGATGAGCTGGAGAACCCAAGGCCACCAGAATTCGGCTGAACATCGAATTTCAGGACTAAATCTCGCTGAATTCTTTCTCATCAGCGTCTTAGCATCCTTATATCTCCATCTCCGCATCCTCCGTTCTCCTCAGCATCTCTCCCGTTCGTTTTTTACGCCGCATCTCGTTGTCGCCGGGTGCTTCGTCCTCCTAGCGTACGTCGCAGCCATGGCCACCACCACGGAGCCGTCTGTGCAGCAGACGATTGACCGTCTGAGACTGGAGACGGCGACGCTCGACGAGATTAGGTCAGTCCGTGGACTGCACGTGCAGCCGTTTGAATCTCTCCGAACACCGTCAGGCAGATCATTAGTTTGCTCGTGCACCATCTCAATAGCATGCTGATCCTCCGTCTTCTTGTCCAATCGCAGCGCCCAAGAACGGAGCGGATTCCTGTCCCTTTTTGAGCGCTACTTGCAGTAAGTATTGGAGCCGATGGGCTAGTAATCGCTGAGCTATCTCGTCGGCTTCAGGGAGGCTTGTTTCTCCACATCTGACGCGTGGCGTGGGGTGTGCAGGGAGAAGGCGAATGTGATCCAGTGGGACAAGATCAAGTCGCCCACTGACCAGGAGGTCGTGCCGTACGATGACCTTCCCGAAGTGCCTCAAGGTAACCGCGTCGAACGCACTTTCTTAACATTCAATCAGGCCAGCCTTCGTCCGTTCCTGGTTTCGGATTCTCCTGTTGAAGGCCTGTGTGGGCACACGGTGTGACGGTGTTGCTGGGTGGTGGGTGGTGGGTGGTGGTGGCAGATCCAGCGGTGGTGAAGGAGCTGCTGAGCAAGCTGGCGGTGATGAAGCTCAACGGCGGGCTGGGCACCACCATGGGGTGCACGGGACCCAAGTGAGTCGCACCATCTGCGCCTGAATCCCGCTTCCTGCTCCTACTGCATGTCCACTTACCGCGCTCCGTTCTAACGGCACTATGTGTGGCATGTCAGGTCTGTGATCGAGGTTCGGAACGGTCAGACATTCCTGGACTTGATTTTGAAGCAAATCGAGGTACGTCTGTCCCTTGGAAGGTCATTCCGAGCCTGTATCCCCAGTTGCGATCGCGCGCGGACCTGACGCTGACGGTGCGACGCTGTCCTGGCAGACGTTGAATGCCAAGTACGGATCTAACGTGCCGCTGGTGCTCATGGACTCGTTCAACACGCACGACGACACTCTCAAGGTGCGCTCGCTCCCTCGCCCACCGTGCCGCTCGCTCCGTTCCCTTTACGATCCTTGACTCCTTTAGGTTCGTGTGTCGGCCTTTCTGACGGCGACCCGTGTGCGTGGTGGCAGATTCTCGAGAAATACACGGATTCGGCGGTGAAGATTAAATACTTCAACCAGGTCAGCCCTCCTCTCCGTGCTCTCCGCTTATGTGCTGTCGACTGTGGCTTTCTTCCCTCCATCTCCTGCTGCCGCATTTGATTGTCTACTTGCACAAATCGTTCCCGCCATCACTCCCTCGTCCGCTGCGCTGTTTTGATTCAAACGCTCTCGTCGGGTTCCGCATCTGCTGTGGCGTTCACCTGCGTCGCGCCCTTCTCGCGCGCCTACGTTGTGCTGGCAGCACTCACCACTCGCCCTCCCTCGTGCACTCCCGCGTGTGTTGTGCGTGTGTGTATGAGAGCAGAGCCAGTATCCGCGGGTGGTGGCGGAGGACAACACGCCGTGGCCTGCCAAGGGTCGCAAGGACAAGGCCGCTTGGTCAGTCCGCCCGCCTCTGCCTCCCCCCCCCTTCCCAACCCGCCACGCCAACCCCCTGCCCCCTGCCTATTTTCCGTTGCAGTCCCCCTCGCCGTCTTTCCCGCATCCTCCGTCCGTCGCCCTGTTCTAGCCATCTTTTTTCGACAATTCGTTTGATCACAGGCGTTCCTTGCGCCGGTGCATGTGTGTGACGGCCCGTGCGCGCGGCACTGCAGGTACCCTCCCGGGCACGGCGACGTGTTCCCCGCGCTGTGCAACAGCGGTGTGCTGGACCAGCTGCTCGCCGAGGTACGCCCCCCGCGGGAGTGGGCTGTCCGGACGGTTGATGTAGCGGGATGACGGAGATGATAAGACGTGTAGCGGGAGTATGTAGTCGCGTGGCGGAGACTGTTGAGAAGATTATTCTGTAGGCGCCCAAGGGTACTAATGCAGAGGATAGGGGTATCTGAGTTCATGCATGTACGAACATGCATGGATAGGGGACGGGTGTACGTGCACTGATTATGTGTGTGTGTGGCGTGCATGGCAGGGCATCGAGTACGTGTTCCTGGCGAACGCAGACAACCTTGGTGCAACGGTGGATCTGCGCATTCTCAACTTCATTGTACAGAACAACAACGAGTACTGCCTGGAGGTGAGTGCGACTCTATAACGAGTATGTATCGAAGTCCGTGTTGCCACCACATGGTGTGGATTCACATGCTTTTTCTGTGTCTCCCATTGTGCCCTTCCATCCCCATCCGTTCCCTCTCCCATCCCATTCCTTCCCAACCCTTCCCACTCTCATCCCTTCCACCCTCGCCCTTTCCTCCTGCCTGCCTGCCTGCCTGCCTGCCTGCCTGCCTGCCTGCCTGCCCGCCTGCCCGCCCGCCTGCCTGGATGGCGTGTGTTTGTGCGTGCGTGTCCGCCTGCCTGGCAGGTGACGCCAAAGACGTTGGCGGACGTGAAGGGCGGCACCATTATCAACTACGACGGCAAGCTGCAGGTATCCACCCGCTCCACCCCCCCTTAAGCCACATCACCCCTCCCGGCAAACCATCCCCTCGCCACAGCACCCCCTTATGCACCACCCCTTTGCTGTACTCTTTTCTTGATTGCACTCTCCTCCACTGCGCTCTCTTCTCTTTTCTTTTTTGTCGATACATGCGCCATGCGGCCGTTGCCTTCTCGTTCTGTCTTAACAGCCTTTCCTCCTCTTTCCTCTGCTCCGCTATCCTCCTCCCCCCCCTTTCCTCTGTTCCTACGCGCGTCCCGTGCAGCTATTGGAGATCGCCCAAGTGCCGCCTGAGCATGTGAGTGGCAGCAGAGTGCGAGTGGCAGCAGAATGTGAGTGCCAGCAGAGTGTGAGTGGCAGCAGAGTGTGTGGGAGGTGTCAAAGTCAAGAGTTGTGAGTGTGTATTGCTGCCGCCATGCAAGGCTCTCATCCACGGGCGAAGGGCCTGGGGCTGCATGATCAAAGCCTCTTTGCCTGTCCCTACCTCCTGCTGCTGCTGCTGCTGCTGCTGCTGCTGTGGGGTGCTGTTGGGTTCTGCGGATGGGGGGGGGTGCTATGGGGTGGTGTGCGGTGGTGCAGGTATCGGAGTTCAAGTCCATTGAGAAGTTCAAGATCTTCAACACCAATAACATGTGCGTCGCCACGCCACCCCATGCCGTGCCACGCCACGCCATGCCACTATGCCATGCCATGCGATTTGCACACCTCAACTGCTGCTAGTAAATTGTTCAAGCATGCAAGCATGCAATTAACCAAGCGAGTGCGTGTGTGCATGGGTGCATGTGTGTATGGGTGCTTGCGTGCATCATGTGTGCATGGGTGCACATACGCATGGGCGCATGCGTGCATCTGTGCATGGGTGTCTGGGTGCATGGGTGCATGCGTGCATGGGTGCATGGGTGCATGGGTGCATGGGTGCATGCGTGCATGGGTGCATGGGTGCATGGGTGCATGGGTGCATGGGTGCATGCGTGCATGGGTGCATGGGTGCATGGGTGCATGGGTGCATGGGTGCATGGGTGCATGGGTGCATGTGAGCAGATGGCTGAACCTGGCGGCCATCAAGAGGCTGGTGGAGTCAGACGCCCTCAAGCTCGACATCATCCCCAACCCCAAGGTGCAAACCCCTGCTCCCTCCCCTTACCCCCTCCCCTGGCTCCTCCCCTGCTCTCTCCGCCTAACTCTGGTGCTTCCATACGCCGCTTTCCATCCTCTCTCATCTCGTCCGCGCCATTGCTCGCCTGCGAATCCTGCCACCTCTGCCACCTCTGCCACTCTTGTCCACCGCTTGTCACTGCCGGTAACTCACCCTAAACTTCTCCATCATACCCGTGCGTGCATGGCTGCATTCCTCCCGTGTACATGTGTGCATGCTCCACGTATGCTCCATGTGTGCTCCACGTGTGCTTCACGTGTGCTTCACGCATGCATGTGTGCATGGGAGCAGGAGGTGGACGGGGTGAAGGTGCTGCAGCTCGAGACGGCTGCGGGTGCCGCCATGAAGGTCAGCCTCTTGCACTCTCACCACGCCTCCCTGCATTTCTCCCACTCACACTTGTCTCCTCTCGCACCTTTCTCCAGTGCCCATGCTCCCACCCCTTCCTTCTTTCCATCTCGCTGCCCTATCCTTCTCATCCGCTACCCTCGCAAAAACTCCACTTCATTCCTCCCCCCCAAATCACCCCCCCCCCCTCCACACACATGGTTGCAGTTCTTTGACCGGGCCATCGGGGTGAACGTGCCTCGCTCGCGCTTCCTGCCCGTCAAGGCCACCTCCGACCTTCTCCTCGTCCAGGTGCTTCCCCCCACCTGCTCGCCATGAGCTGCTCGGCCGACTTACCCTCGCTCGCCCCTCTAGTCGCTATTCAGAGAATTGCTTGCCGACTTGCACCAATCATCTACCCAACTCTTACCTCTTCACACACCACGTGTCTGCAATGCATTCACCACCCTTCTCTTCCCGCTCTGCACCTCCCCCCCTGCATCTCTCTGCAGTCGGATCTGTACACGGTGCAGGATGGGCTCGTCACGCGCAACCCTGCCAGAACCGCTGCCGCCAACCCCACCATTGACCTGGGGCCCGAGTTCAAGAAGGTGCGCTCCTCACGCAGGGTGCTCTCAGAGTGGTGTGCTTCCTGTGCCGTGTTGCCAGTGCTGTGCTGGTTCTGATGCACTAGCTGTGGGCTACACGTTCAAGGCAGTGCGCCTGCATCGTTTCCCTGTGCTGCGTGCACGCACATGCTCCACTGTTTTTTCTCCATTGGCTACATGAACCTCACAACGGTCACGTGTTGGCCCTTGTTGTGACATGCGGTGCTGCCAAACCAGGTGGCTGATTTCCAGAAGCGGTTCAAGGCCATCCCCAGCATCATAGAGCTGGACAGCCTCAAGGTGTCGGGCGACGTGTGCTTCGGAGGAAACATCACCCTCAAGGTGCCTGCCGTGCCTCCCACCCGCTCTCGCTCACCGCTGCTCTCTCCAAGGACCTCTGTGGAATTGGTGCCCATTTTCCACTCCCCTCCATGCCACCACCTGCTCTCATCCATCCTATTCTGCCATCCACCGTGTGTGTATCCATGGTTGTGTGCGGTGGTGCTTGCAGGGCAAGGTGGCGATAGAGGCGCCCAAGGATGACAAGATTGTGGTGGCTGACGGCACTGTGCTGGAGGGATAGGCGTGCAGGGAAGATGCCGTTACACCAGCTGACGCGGAGGTAGCAGCAGGGTGTCCTGCTTCCATGTCAGCAATATACGAGATGTAGGCGCAATGTTTGAAATATGTGGTCGTAGTCAGTTGAGGATCACTTGTGTTGTGGAGTCACATTTTTTAAGCGATACCAGAGCTGGTTGATGCTGGATGAGATTGGCCAGGTATAAATCAGCAGAATCAAATGGCTATATAGATACTGTGTGGCCTGCTTGACATGAGACGATGCTGCTGCAGCAAGCTTTCTGAAGAACCAGCTGAATATCACCCGTTCAATAACTGTGTGGGACATGAGCAATGCTTTTCATGGTAGCTCCGTGCTTGCAGGGAGGCACATTGTCACGCGGAGGGCAGCAGCTTGTAGGGGTTGAGGATGCCATTGGGGTCAAAGAGGGCCTTCACCCTCTTCATCACTGCCACCTGCCATGCCATGTATACCCATGTATACCCATGCACACCCATGCACACCCATGCACACCCATGCACACCCATGCACACCCATGCACACCCATGCACACCCATGCACACCCATGCACACCCATGCACACCCATGCACACCCATGCACACCCATACACAAGACACACAGGGCGGGTTAATGCAAGAGGCTACGATGTATAGCCCAGGCAGGGGGGCGCTGAGAAGAGAGAGCCGCACCAAGGAGATGAGCTGCATGGAAGCAGCAACAGAGACAAGGTGAGCTGAGTACCAGGTGTGCCCCGGCAATTGCATGTGCAGGCTGCATGGCTGCATGCTTGCGCTGCTGCATGGCATGGTACCAGCATACTGTGCGAGCACTCGAGAAGCAGAGCTAGGGAGAAGTGGGCAGAGAGACAGCAGCGTACCGCTTGGGGGTCCTTGCTGTAGTGGATGGCGTTGGCCTTCATGAGCCCCAGCCCATGCTCCGCACTCACACTGCCCTGCCGCCCCGCCACCCACTCGTACACATACGGCTCTATCCGCTCCAACAACTGCCAGGACAGGGTGGTGGGTGTGGCAGGGGCACGCACACAGAGAGGCACGCACACAGAGGGGCACGCACACAGAGGGGCACGCACACAGAGGGGCACGCACACAGAGGGGCACGCACACAGAGGGGCACGCACACAGAGGGGCACGCACACATGAGAGCACAACGTGGGATGGAGAAGGGAGGAGAGAAGAGAAGCGTACAGAAGAGGATCAAACACGTGGGTCATGGTCTCACTCTTGAAAGAGTGAAGTGGTGTTGCTGGGACGCCAGTACATGCACTGGAGCTGCTGTTTGATTTACACCAGGTGCTGGGGACAGTGAAGAGAAGTCGAGGAGGAGTGGTAGCAAAAGCAGAGCGGAGCGGAGCGGACCTTGTCGTCATACGAGGGAGCGGAGACGTTGAGGTGCAGATTGCCATCGCCCAGATGCCCGTATCCCACCACCTGCGCTGCACTGCCCTCTGCTCCCCCCCAAGGTGGACACGCACAGGCGACAGAGAGACAGGTGACGGGGAAGATGGAAGAGGAGGTGCAGACGAATGAAGGTAGAGCGACCAGGTGGCATCACAAGGAGACATGAATTAAGCACCTACCAAACCGCCCCCCTCACCTAGCCGTGTGCGCATCTCATCCACAAGGCCGTAGAGCTGTGAGACGGGTACCGACAGATCGTACTTGTACACTGCCCCCGCTCTCTGTAGCGCCTCCGCCACACCCTGATGAGGGGGGGAGAGGGCAGCAGCGGAAAGAGGGGTGAAGAAGCGGGGAGGGCATGGTTAGCGTGTAGAGCTGCGAGACCAACTTTGACAGGTCCCACTTGTACCTGCCCCCGATCGCCTCCCCCACGCCCTCCATGAGGGCGGCAAGCAGGGGCATAGAGGGGTGCAAAGATTGAAAGATCTACTTCTTGCAGTCGCCGACCACCTCCCTGTCCCTGCAATCTCACCCCCGCCTCCTCGAGGGGAGAGCGCCACTCATGTGTTCCCAGTCGCCTGGTATCTCACCTTGCGCACGTGCCAGAGGGCGGCGGCCTGCGTGGAGTCACGAGCAATGGTGCCCGCCCGCCTCCATCACCCCCTCCAGATGCATGTTAGAGTGCCGTGCCATGTACGTCACTGCATTGCATCTCGCCTCGCGCAGCCTGCGTGGAGTCGTGAGCCACGCTGCCGTCCTCCACAGCACCCTTCAGAAACACGTTGGCAGGTGCCATCTCACCACATCTCACCTCGCGCAGGTGCCAGATGGCAGCGGCCTGTGTGGAGTCGTGAGCCACGGTACCATCCTCCACCGCGCCCTCCTCCATCACCCCCTCCAGAAACGTGTCTAGCTTTGCCCTGCACCGCCGCTCATAGGGATGTGGGGCGTGGGCGGGGGGAAGTAGAAGGGGTGGTTGGTGGGAGGGTGTGGTTTGTCTCAAGGCATGCTGCGTGGTGCCAGGGCCCACGGGGCCGAACCTCTGTGCATGGAATTTCAGAGACAAATTTGGGCCTTTGTATGCATGTCGCACCCACGCATTGGTAATGCTCTGCTGAGTGCGCGTGCATGCCACACCCACCGGTCGTGCTCAGGGTTGCTGCCAGACGTCTCAATGAGGACATAGAAGGGATACTCCCCGTCTGGTAGCGGGTCCCTCGTGCCCTCGTTGTGCTTCAACACCTGCTCACATGGACAGGTAGAGAACAGTGGAGCACGGGCGTGGCAGGGGAGGCGATGTGATGTGAGCACACATCAGAACGTTGTGCTGTGCTCGTATCATGATGCCACTTCCAAGCTACCATTTGCAGGGGCGTTACCATTTGAAGGGGCGTTACCATTTGAAGGGGCGTTACCATTTGCAGGGAGCTGCGGTCGAAGAACTCAGCGGCAGATAGCACCTCCCCCAGGTGACGCCTACTGGCGCAGAACACCTGCTGCACGGCGTCGAAGGAGGAGCACCCCAGCAGCGCCACGTGCACTGAGGGCGAGCGCGGGGGCGCCAGCAGCACCACCCTCGTCACCACCCCTAGCGTGCCCTCCGCTCCTGAATGGCAGGGCATGGATTGGACGGGCGAGGGGTGATGTGGAGTAGAGGAGTGGGTGACACAGAAGCTAAACTCCATCACCATCTGACATGCACCATCCTCACTTGACATCATGTGACATCATGTGACATCATGTGGCATCATGTGACATCATGTGGCATCATGAGTCATCTCATCTCGTGTCATTATAAACCATCACATGCCCTCTTATGCTGATGTTCCAATATATCAATGTCCCCATACGTACCGATGAAGAGCTGCTTGAGGTCGTAGCCCGTGTTGTCCTTCCTGAGCGCCCTCGTCATGTCCACCACCGTGCCGTCCGCCATCACCACCTCCAACCCTGCCCGTGCACCCATGGACCAAGGGAGGGGCCGCAGGGAGATGAGATGCACGTGGGGAGGAGAGACGAGGGGCAGGGGAAACAGGGTCGAGCAGGAAATGGATGGACTAAACGGTCCGCTTGGACACACAGATGTGTGTGCTGACTGACTGGGCTCAACGCTCTCTGACCCACAGGGCTTTCAGGTAGTTGACTCACCCAGCATGGAGCCGTGCACAGGCATGCGACAAGTGAGCAAGTGAGCAGTCAAGTGAGTTTGCAGTACGTGAGCAAGGATGTGAGCAGGCAGGGTGACGCACCGAGCACGGAGCCATGCAGGGAGCCGTATCGCAGCAGGCGGATGCCACCCGCGTTGGTGGACACGTTGCCACCAATCTGGCAGCTGCCCTTGGCGCCCAGATCCAACGGCATCGCAAACCTTGCGGGGCAGAGGGAAGGTGCAGAGGGCTGGGCCATGTGGTGAGGCGCACGTGGGAGAGAGGCAGCACAGCACTGGTGTGCGCGGTGCACTTGTTGGTGCGTGTATTAGGCTTGGCGGCTAGGCAAGAGACGGGATGTGGGTGTGGTGTGTGTGTGCGTGCGTGCACGTGGGCGCACACAAGTGGCTCACCCTTTGTCGGCCAAAAAGGTGTCGAGGGACTCGAGGATGCACCCCGCCTCGCAGTCCAGGATGCCGCTCACCTGGTGGGCGCACACATGGCGTGCCGTGCATGGCGCGCACGCACAGTGCCCCGAGAAGTGGGGGCAGGGGTAGTGGGGACGGGGGTTGGGGAAGAGGAAAACAGGTACTGCTGGTATGTGTGTTGATCACGCGTGCACGGGAGGTTTGGTGTAATGGGCTTGTGCGTGGATTAATGGGAAAGGGTTCAGTTGATAAGCAAGGGATGGTGCAGAGTGGCATGTGAAAGCCACATGGCACGCGGCAGCGTGGATGTGATTGGTAGGTGGGATGGGGTGTGGAGGAGCATGAGAAAACAAGAGGCGTACCTCGTCAAATGAGATAATCTTGTTCATTCCTGCAAGGCTCAGAATAATCTGTCATGCCATGCCGTTCCACGCCGCCATGCCATGCCATTCCATGCCATGCCATGCCATGCCATGCCACGCCATGCCATGCCATATCATCACCACAAGAACGTCACAAGCATGCAGCAGGGCGGGTAGCAAAGGAGAGACAGTAAGGTGGAGGAAAATACATTGATTGACATTGACACTGTTGGCAACAATTGGCACTCCACAGATCCAATTCTTGCAAGCCAACCTCGTTCACCTCCTTGTGCCACTCGGGACAGCCACACCTCATGTCGACCGCACTCACCTCATGTCGACCACACTCACCTCATCTCGACCGCACTCACCTCATGTCGCCCGCACTCACCTCATGTCGACCACACTCACCTCATCTCGACCGAACTCACCTCATGTCGCCCGCACTCACCTCATCTCGACCGCACTCACCTCATGTCGCCCGCACTCACCTCATCTCGACCGCACTCACCTCATGTCGACCGCACTCACCTCATGTCGACCGCACTCACCTCATGTCGACCGCACTCACCTCATGTCGACCGCACTCACCTCATGTCGACCGCACTCACCTCATGTCGACCGCACTCACCTCATGTCGACCGCACTTACCTCATGTCGACCGCACTCACCTCATGTCGACCGCACTCACCTCATGTCGACCGCACTCACCTCATGTCGACCGCACTCACCTCATGTCGACCGCACTCACCTCATGTCGACCGCACTCACCTCATGTCGACCGCACTCACCTCATGTCGACCGCACTCACCTCATCGAACACAGGCACACTGCCGCCCACCAGCCCCGTGTTGCCGCCCTGAGGCACCACAGCCAACCGCCTCTCATTGCAGTATTTCAGAACGTCCGCCACGTGGCTTGTTGTGGTTGGCCGCAGCAACAGCTTGCTATACCCCTTGTACTTGCCCATCCAGTCCACGTTGGCTGCTGCCACGGCGTCAGGGTCCGTGATCACGCCACGTTCGCCTAGAATCCCCTTGAAATGTTCCACGTCAGCATCCTCCAACGTGGCAAATTGCGGGTCTCTGGAAACGGCCACCGTGGCGTACGCTGCCCGTGCCGTGGCGCCAGAGGGGAGGGACTCAGGACCGGGAGACAGAAGCGCGCGCAAACCAACCAGTGCAGAGGAAACTGCGGAAATGCAAGTGGTGGCTGAGGGGGTTTGGTGGATTGGAAGGGCGGCGGACATTGCGGGGAGAAATCGCAGATTCGGCGGAGCAGTGCGGGGAGACGTTGAGAGCAGTGGGGCTGGATGGATCGCGGGGCTGGGAGAGGCACGGGGAAGAAGGCCAGCTTGGCGGAACAAGGCGGAGGTTGCGCGGATGGCGCGGCCACGTTGAGAGGACGCCATGGTGCGCCGCACCGGTACGATCTCCTGACGTCTCGAGACCAGGCGAGCAACAGTGACAGACGCGGCTGCTGAGGGCGAAAAGAAGCGCTCAGACGAGCACTGACGGCAGTCGCGTGACTTGAACGAGAAACTGACTTGACGGAACACTGGTAACGGTGAAAGTTCTTTCAGTTATGGCGGTTTGGCGGCTCTGCAATCGCTGTGACCAGTCGAATGGTGGGTGCGGCGGAAGAGCGAACGGCGCGGACGGCAAGACGGACTTAGCACGAGCGGTCTAATTGCACGCGATGGTAGAAGCGGAACTCGCGGTTCTACGGTAGATAAAAATCTACGAACGTGGTCGCTTCTTGGTTGGAAGGAGGACAGGTGGCAGTAGAACGAGCGGACAGGCTCTGGTCTGGTGTTGTCCTGCGCATTGCTGAAAATTGAACATGCTAGTCTCGTCGAAGAGTTGTTTTCCTGACTGACTGACTGATGGTGGTTGGTGGCAGGAACCACCATGGCTTCAGCAAGGTGGTAAACTTGACCTCACTCCAGCGCTGCATCATATTTGCGGTGAGCAATTCTTGAGGTGCTGGCGAGAGCCGCGCATTGGTGCTCCCTGCCCCTCGAGAACTGCGGCGACGAGTGCGGCCCATTCGCATGCTTTTCTACGCATCCCCGCTGGCGTCACACATATTGACGATTTTGCCAAAATGGATGTGTACTAGTTTTATCAGGATAAAAGTAATAATCACGCCACCTGGTTATATGTACCCCTGTATGTACCTTATCACGCAATTCTTGTACCCCCATCCCCGGTAATAGCCGCATTTGCTGATGTGGTGCCACATGTGCCTCTGGATGAGGTCTGTCAAATTTTGTGCATCGTCTCCACTCCCACTCGCGCAGATCGACTCCCACTAACGCTCTGACGCGTGGAACCGAAATGTCCTGCTTTTCTGTACAACCATAGCCAGTCAGGGGTAACCGTAATCTTTCGCCAATTCAAATGTGTTGAGACGAGAGCAACCTCCAGGCCGACGATTCGGGGTCTCGCGAACATTCAACGGCCCGATGCGTTCGGAATTTCGTCCAAGCAGTGTGGAATTCCCCAGGGCTGCCTAACTTGGCATCTGGCAGGGAGGTATGGAAAAGTGATCAGGTGGGTGACACTTGGCTTGGAGTCCCTTTCACCTGCATCTCGGACCAGCCTGGTCTGGTCTAGAGCCTAGACTTGCCGCCATGGCTAAGGATGATGTTCCGCAAAAGGCGGCGCCTTCGCAGCTAGTCTCTAAGAAATCTCCTGCGCAGGAGCCGCAGAAGAAGATGACTCCAGCGGAGGAGATGGAGAGCGAGTGGCAGCAGATAGTGGATTACTATGACCCGGCCAATGTGGAGAAGCGCGCGGAGGAGGCGAGGAAGAAGGAGCTGCAGGCTCTTCAGTCCGCCATGGAGGCGAATCGTGAGCAGGAACAGGTTAGAACTAATATGCACACGAGCTTTTGGAATGAGGACGTAACCGATCCTGGTTCCTGGTCAGCATGTAGCAGTTCTCGCGATTCAGGGGTTTGATCTGATTGGTGCTTAAGGCTTGTTTTCTTAAGCGCGCCTTAATGCGTCGAGTTGATGTTAGATACGCAACCGATCCAACGTGCTACAGTGGTCGTGTCAGATCCTATTCGGAATGTAGCCAGTATCAAGAACGGGACACGGGTAGACTCAGAATCTAAAGTGGTGAGTCGTCTAGGGTTTCTCCCGTTTCTGACAGAGTCGTATTGCACTGAGACTACATTGTTCTATGCCTACATGGAATAGAGTCGTTAACCTTGTGCCCAGTTACGTCAACTCAATCTACCTCCTTTCGTCATCCTTTCTTCTCGACCACAGTCCCTTAGCGTGCCTGGTGTGTTATTCTTGTGCCGCATATATTATGTTTCCACGTGAATCATGACCTCCTTCGTTCCCCACTCTCCCCCCACGCGCCTTTACCACCTTCCGCCCGTCGCGCCGTAGATTCTGGAGGAGTTCTACGGCATCAAGCCGCGGCCGAAGCAGTCGCTCGAGGAGCTTGAGATGGCGGCGGCGGAGGTGGCGGAGGAGGAGGAGTGGAACTTCCCGCAGGACCCGGACAAGTGGACGGAGGCGGATCTCGGCGAGGAGTGGGCGGACGCGCCCGCCGACGCCAAGGTGCCCTTCTACGACCCGCTCCTCGGGCTCTCCGCGCTCGACGCCGCCGATGATGACGCCGACGCCGACGACGGCCGCCGCAGGTGAGAATACTCCCCGAGGGTCTTCCCCTTCGCACGAAATCCGGACGCTGTGTGTCATCACTTTGCACGCCTCTCGCGCTGCGCATTCCCATAATTTGCTCCGTTTCCCCTCCCCCTACTCCCCTCCTCCGGCCTCACCCCCACTCAGGCGCAAGGCTCCGCGCAAGCAGCAGCGCGCGAAGCTGCCGCATTCGGAGGACCGGTATGTGCCGTACCGGCAGGGGCTGCCGCCGGTGAACGAGATGGAGGACGGCAGCTCGGGCGCGCTGAGGGCGCTGGAGGAACTCGAGATGGAGGAGGAGTTCCTTCAGTGGGCCTCCTACGTCTTCCGCGACGGCGCCACGTGAGTGCTGGCCCCTGCTTGAGTGCTTCCCGCCGCATGAGTTATAACACAGTATGATGAAGAGTGCTCCGCTCTGCTGTGCTGGCTGATGCGTCCTTTTCGCGTCCAACCACGGATCAGCATAGTCATCGACAGATGTACAACCTTCAGCTTCCTCTTCTCTTTTCACTCCCTTTTCCTCCATCCCTGCTTCCGTTACCCACTCTCTTCCTTTTCTTCCTGCTTCCCACCGTACTCGCTGTTCTGTGTGGGTGTGGGGGCGGCAGATACGAGGGCACGGTGTGGAACGACATGGCGCAGGGCAAGGGAGTCTACACCACGCCGCTCGAACTCTGCAAGTGAGTGCTGCTTGCCGCTCGAGCTCTGCAAATGGGTGCGCCCTGTCAATAACGAGTACAACAACCCACACCACACCAAGCGTAAAACAAAGTCCGTCGCCCCTTCCACCCTCACGCGCGCACCTCCTTGTCCTCCCACTCTTCTCGCTTCTCCCCCATTCCCTCCCGTCTGTCCACCACTGCGTGTGCACATCTATCCGTGCGTGCGTGCGTGCGTGCGTGCGTGCGTGCGTGCATGTGGGGTGGGAGCAGGTACGAGGGCGAGTGGGTGCAGAACATGATGCAGGGCCATGGCGTCGTCTCCGTCGACGTCCCTGCGCGCCTCCCGCCGCCAGACTCCGAGTAAGCCATCTCGCAACCCCATGTGCTCTTGTTTCCCTACTTCCCGTGCTGCTTTTCCCCACTCACCTCCCTATTGTTCTTGTTAAACCCTCAACCCCCGCACACGATTGCTGTCCCCTTCCCCTCCACACACCTCGCCCCTCTCCATACGCCTCCCCTTCCTTTTTTCGACCCTCCCACCCGGCGCCGTCCCCCTTGTCCCCGCCTACGTGCGTGCTATGCGCGCGGGGCAGGGCGTGGCGGAAGCTGAAGGCGGAGGGTAAGGTATTTGAGGACGCGGAGATGAGCGCAGAGGACCGCGAGTGGCTGCGCATGGAGCTGGAGGACCTGTCGCAGCAGGAGAGCGAGGCGAAGAAGGCGCAGGGGGGCGCGGGCGGGGAGGGCGGGGGGGCGGTGGAGGACCCCACTGACGCCGTGCCCTTCGAGGACCACCCCGGCTGGCTCAAGGTCTTCGGCCGCAAGCCGTGAGTGCTCTCTGCTCTCTTCTCAGGGGGCTGGATGCCAGTGCTTTGCTTAGAGTCCACAGCAGTAAAATACACACATGAAGAGGAGAGGTGTGTGATTGACGCGCACCCTTGCGCCTCCCCCTGTGGTCACGTGTGTGCAGGGAGAAGGGGCACTACGAGTATGCGGGGCAGATGAAGCAGAACAAGTTCCATGGCTGTGGTGTCTTCACTCTCAACGGCAAAATGCACTTCGTGAGTCTCCGAACATCACATTAACTTTTTAGTAGCACTATCTCGCCCTCCCTCATTCTACACACTGCCTGCATCTCAATGCGCCATGCCTGTGCTCTCCTGCTATTTCTATCGTGCTGCATTCCATGCCACCACCCTATGCCATCTCATTCCACCCCACGCCATGTGTCATGCCGCATCACCGACAGGGCAAGTTCCGTTTTGGCGAGTTTCTGCGCAACAAGGACGAGTGCGACGCCCACACCTCCGGGGTGAGTGCACCCAGGGGCGCAGCGCTGAAGGCGGTTGCAGGAACGTGAGCAGTGCAGTGGAGAGAGTGGAGAGAAGGGGGCGAGGAGAGGGGGTAAGAGTGAGTGGACATTTGCACTCGTTTTGCTTTGCTGTGGACGTTTCCTGTCAGTGCCACTGCTGTTTGCATGGCTTGCCACTTGGCTTCGTCCCCCTCCACCAAGCGTGCTCGTTCTGCCATTGCTCTCCCTCGTGTTTGCACCTGCACACACACATGATGCCTACCCTCTCCCTCCCTACCTGCCAACCCTGACAATCTTTCCCCCCTGCCCTCCCCCGGCCAGTTCCATGCGGGCATGGCGCGGGTGGCAGCAGCCAAGGCGCGCATGTTTGTCAACAAGCCTGATGGCAGTAAGTCCCTTTCACCCCACCCCCCTGCTCGCCGCTCCTTTCGCTCGCCCTGCTCCATCCCGCTGTCCGCTTTTTCCTGCCCTTGCACCGTCTAGCGTCCCTACTTACAACGAATGCTCGCCTCTTTATGCGAACTCAGCAGGGCCTCCCCCCCATTCAACTGCAAGCCCTGCCGTGATGCTGCCACTCTCCTCTCCTTCTCCCGTGCCCCCCATCACCTCAACCAACTCGTTGACCACTCCCGCCCGTCCCCCTTCCGTGCACGTTCATTAACGAGTTCCACTCTCCCATCCCATCCCATCCCATCCCATCCCATCCCATCCCATCCCATCCCATCTCCCCCCCATGCGTGTGTGTGCAGTGGTGCGGGAGGTGAAGGGCCCGTACAACGAGCCATCACACCCGTACCTGTATGACGACGACGACATGTGGCAGGCGCCGGGGTTCATCCACGAGTTCCACGATGTGCCCGCCGTGTGGCGCAAGTATGCGGAGGAGGTGGACGGCGAGCGTCAGCTGTGGCTCAACTCGTTCAAGAAGGCGCCCCTGCGCCTCCCCTCGCCCTCCGAACTCTCCTACCTCTGGGACCAGCGTGAGTGCCGCGCCATTGGGACCAGCGTGAGTGCCGGCGCCATTGGGACCACAGTGAGTGCTCTGTCAGAGTAGGTCCAGTCTAGAGTGAGTTGAAGTGTAAACAGACGAGATTGATGGGGTGGATGAGAGTGGGATTGTGTAACACGAGCTCTCTATCATCGCTGTGGCATGCTTTCCCCCATGGCACCCGCTGCCTCTTTCTCGCCTTGGCACTGCATGTCACATGGCTGCCACGTGCCCAGGACGTGCTGCTTCTTGAGTATCACACCCCCCCCACTAGGTCCGATCCCTTAGCTCACCTCGCTTTCACGCCTCCCTCCCGCCCCCCCCTCCCTGCCCTGTCCGCGCACAGAGGAGGAGTTTGTGGTGCTGCGCAACTCGCCGCGGCTGCCGGAGCGGGTGGGGGAGAGTGCGGAGGAGGCGGAGATGAGGCGGGCGGACATGCAGGGGCAGGTGCTGGTGCACGTGCCATCGAGGCAGATTATCAACTGGACCACGGATGACGAGGGCAAACTGCGCCTCTTCGTGCAACCCTTCACCAAGTGAGCTGCCTCCCACGGACGGGGCATGGCATGGCATGACATGGGGTCTGATGATATGCCATGATATGATATTGGATGGCATGGGATGGCATGCCGTGGCCAGGCATAGAGTGTGTCCACCTAAACCCGTATTTCCATTGTAGCCGCGCCCCTCTCCCGTGCACCCATGCACTCATACACTTTGCCTCGCGTGACCTCACCATCATCTTCCATCCCTCTCCCCCCACGCACCCCAGGGATGGCAAGGTGGACCCATCCAAGGCACGCCCGCTGCCGCTGGGCTTTGACGAATTCATCAAGGGCGAGGAGATGGAGCAGGAGGAGGAGGACGAGGAGGAGGAGGAGGAGGAGGAGGCACGGCGCCTCAAGACCCCCGAGCAGCTGCAGCGCGACGCAGAGCGCCGCCGGGCCAAGGCCGCGGAGGCGAGGCGGCGGCGCGTGGCGCGGTGGGAGCGGGCGCTGCGCAATAAGGTGGCGTCGCGGCGCGAGCAGCGCGAGGAGGAGTGGGCGCGGCAGGACGCGGAGGAGGAGGAGCTGCGGCGGCTGGAGGAGGAGGAGTGGCAGCGCGAGGGGGACCTCATGGACGCCGAGTTTGAGGCCCGGCTTGATGCTGCCGAGGGGATCCTGCCCGCAGGGGAGGAGGAGGAGGACGAGGAGGGGGCGCAGCAGGGACAGGAGGAGGATGCGGCTGGCAAGGCGGTTGTGAAGGGCGCTGCTGCAATTGGCAAGGCTGCTGCTGGTGGCTCTGGGGCGGGGGAGGAGGAGGGGTCGGAGAGCGAGAGTGAGGGTGAGAGTGATGATGAGGACGAGGATGAGGAGGACAGGAAGCCGCGGAGCTTTGGAACGGTGGCCATGGCGGTGGGAGGGGGCGAGGGCAGGGAGGAGAGCAGGGCAGGGGAAGGGTGGGTAAGGGGGCCAGCTGCAGCAGACAGCACCACAGTCTTTGCGTCCATCTCGCTCTCCTCTCAGGTGCGTGCACCTGCTTCTTCTTCTCAGCTCACTCGAGAGTTGCCTCTCTCTGCTGTCCGCACAGATAGGTGCACATGCTTGTTCTGGGCACATCTGAACACCGTCGTACTTGTACCAATTTTTCTTTGCACTGATGCCACTCTACCTGCCTTCCTTTCTTCCCTCTCACCACCCCTCGTCCCCTTTCACCACCCCTCGTCCCTCTCACCACCCCTCGTCCCTCTCACCATCCCTCGTCCCTCTCGCCACTCCTCTCTCCCCCACTCATGTCCCTCCCGCCAGGTGGCACTGCAGCAAGCCCTCCATCACGCCGCACGCTCCATCTCCTCCCTCCGCCGCCTCCTCCCTTCACCCTCCCCTTCCACCCCCGTTGCGTCTCTCTCCCCCGCCGCCGCCCCCTTAGCCTCCCCTTCCCTGCCTCCCGCACTTGCACGAACGGTGCGCATGCCTGCCGTGCTGCCTCTCGCGCCGTGCCTGCGTGCATCAGCCGTGTCCAGCGCTGCCCGCCGCGCACCCGTTGCCAAGAGCAGCTCGCGTGGTGTTGCTGCTAGAGCCACCCACGCCCGCCAGCAGCAGCATCCCCAGGAGCTTGCGGTGGGGGCCATTCTCTCCCTTGCCCTTCCCCTGCCTGCCACTCCCTCCCTTGCCTAGTCTGTGTGACGTGCTGCTGACAAGGTGGTGCAACTTGGCAACTCAAGACTAGACCTGCAATAGGCTTGCCAGACCACAGGTTTGAGAGACCTTCAGAAATTATTAAACACCCAATGCAAGTTGGACCACGAGCTGTTGCTTTATACCAGTATTCGGCAAAAGACATGTAGTACAGCTTGGTTGCATTTGATTGGGTATTTTGGTGTTGCCACTGAGTCTGGACCCACACTTCGGTAATTTGTGGCTGTGGATCAGAAGGATTAGCGAACCACTGCAGCAACACTGTTGCCCAGATAATCAACCTGGCCACTGCAATGGGTCCCCCAGACCCAGACACACTATGAGTGTTCCAACTTGCAAGAAGAAGTGTGATGTTTCACTGCCTGAGTGTGATTTGCACACAAACTTCCATATTGCACTATTGTGTAGTGGAATCAAGTGTTCTGCATAAGATCCATTACCCAACAAAGCATCCACACATACCGTACGTACATCAATACTTTATTCCTACACGCATGCCTTCACATGTGTCCTTCCTTGCCTAACCATCAACTACCAGCAACACAACCCGTCCACCCCGACCGCAGTCAGGTCTCTCCTCTCCAACCCCCCAACCAGCGCGGTTCTGCCTAACAACCCCCCGCCCTGCACATGTGCACGTGTGTGGCACAAGGGCATGCGTGTGTGTGTGACAGTGCACCCGGCAGCAGGCAGCGGCGAGTGGTTACTGCTTTTCATCCCAGGCCCAGGAGCGCCAGTTGTTGCCGATGTAAGGCGGCTCGGGGTTCCAGTTCCAGGGCCGCCCGTTGACCTTACCGCCGGCTGGCACATAGCCGTTGCCCACGAAGAGCTCCTTGTAACGCCCGCGGATGTTGGGGATGTAGCACAGCTGCCGCCCGTTGCCGCGGTACGGCTGGCGCGCGCAGCGCATGAGCTCGTCGACCCAGTTGACGTACCCCACCGACTCCAACCACTTGTTGCCAAACGCCATGCGCCCGAACACAGCCAGGTTGGCGCCCGGGCACGTCACACCCACCGACTTGTTGAATTTCGGCTCCCAGTAGTAGCCCCTCTCCGTCTCGGTCATGCCCAGGCACGCGCACGAGTACCGGTACCACAAGCCGTAGTCGCTGTTCTTGTCGCAGTAGTACGGCCTCGTCAGGTCATTGCCCGCGGCCGCCTCCGCGCCCAGCTTCCCCCGCCGAGGCTGAGCGCCACCACCGCGCACAGCAGCGCCACGCGCGTGCTCAACAGCCACATAATTCTGGCTAATCAGCTAAGGAGTTTGTTGAAAACGGAGTGAATGCACAGAGGATATGGGATACCGTCGAGAAGAGATGCTGTGCTGTGTTCCCATTGATAATACTGGCCTTGCCCCGAGCCTTTTTATGCATCCTTGGTCTCAATAGGGTCGCCGAATCGTGCTCAGCGCGGCTCGCTCAGGCCAAGAATGGAGATGCGATTTCATGTGAATTGGCGACTCGGGAAGGCTGCGAGTGGAGCAGGCGGAGGTTGCGGCAGAAAGGGACGGTTGATCTCCTTGCAAGAGGTTGGCAACCGCTGTTCCTCATAAAGTTGGTTTCGAGTTCCGACATCCTCAAAATCGGGGTACACTATTTATGGTGAAGAAATATGTGTCGTCGTAAAGTTTGGAATGCTTCCAGATCTTTTTTCTGTGTGGTAGAAATGCTTTCCATGCCTGCGTGGCATGATGTATGGTAACCAGCAAAAGACCCTCTCGTGGCGACATTCGTCAAAGAGCCCACTCCAGATGGCAAGATCTCAGAGCTGGTTTCTTCTTACGTGGCTTTGTGGCGGATAGGGCTCCGCGTCCCGCACACCACCCTCCGCCACAAACGATTATTTCAAACGCCTTCCAGCTGGTGGCTTTCGGCAACTTCAGGGGCTTCAGCGCATTCCCCGCGCATTGCACTTCCGCTTTCCCGACTTCTCGCCTGCCAGCTTTCACCTTCCCGCACCCCAAGCATCTCCGATCCCGCCCACCACCCCCACCCAGCGCCTCTGTCTCCCTGGGGATCTCCCCCCCCCCATCGGTCGTCCCCTGCCTTCCCTTCCCTCCCACCACCACTGCTGCTACTGCTCTCACCTCAACCTTCTCCTGCTGTAGTCCCGCAGGCATCGCTCTTCGCTCCTAGTCTCCACGCCTGACTAGGTGATTCGCTGCAATGGCTGCCGTCGCTTCCACCATGGCCACCAGCCTCTCCGCGAGGAGCTTGAACACCGCCTTTGTTGGCGGAAAGAGCCTTCGTTCGGCTGCGAAGCTTCCGTCAGTCGTGAGCGCCGCTAGGTTGGTCGCGGAGGCCAGGCAGGAGAAGGCCGTCAGCAGCTCTTCCGTCGCGTCCGCCGCGTCGTCCGTCGTCGAGGGTATCTTCGGCGAGAAGGCGACGAGGCAGATGCACCACGCTGCGATCATTGCGATGAATGCGATGATCGCCATGCCAGCGTTCGCCGAAGAGGAGAAGGGAAAGATCTTCGACTTTAACCTGACCCTCCCCATTATCGTCGTCCAGTTCCTCCTGCTTATGGTTGCTCTCGATAACATCTGGTTCAAGCCGGTTTCAACGGTCATGGATTCCCGCGACGAGGAGATCAGGAAGAAGCTCATCGGCGTGAGGGACAACTCGGGCGAGATCAAGGAGCTGCAGAGCCAGGCCGAGGCGTTGATCAAGGCGGCTCGCGCGGAGGCGTCAGGGCAAATGAACAAGATGAAGAAGGAGGTGGCTGCTGAGCTGGACGCGAAGCTGCAGGCGTACCGGGCGCGCATCGAGAAGGAGCTCGAGTCGTCGCTGGCGAACCTCGAGACGCAGAAGGAGGCGACCCTCAAGAGCCTCGACTCGCAGGTGTCGGCTCTCAGCGACGAGATCGTCAACAAGGTCATTCCCTTCAAGGCGTGATCCGTGCCGCACGGTTGTACTTGAGATAAGCTCCTATTATAAAGCCCACATTTTTTATAACCGCGTATGCTTGTTCGTTTGCAAGACCGGGATGCGAGGGTCAGACTTGGCACACCGGGCTGTGAGCAGCGGGGTGCTATCTCTACAGACGCCTGTGCACAGGCATCCCCTCTTCGAAGAGCTGAACTTACTCACACACTCATGATCACTTACATCATACTCACTCCCTCAAACAATCACTCACTCACAGAACTGGACACTCATAATCAGGCACTCGTTCACAGGGCTGTGTGAGCAGCAGGTTGCTGTCAGGACAGGCATATCTAAGCGCCTTGTGGGATGGTGTAGGCCTCAGAGAGGGAATAACGAAAGAGTAACCTACTGGATCGATGGATTGTCCTTGCTGCCTAATGGAGAGAAATAAATGCATCCATTAATATCTAAGGTCCAGCAACATGTCAGTCTGATACGTACCGTAGCACTGTTGGCTCTATCTGGTGGTGGCATGATGCTGGGCAGTGTGGAAACAGCAATGCTCTGTCTGCCAGCATGCAATGCAAGGCATATCTGTGCACTTCTTGGTTTGGTACCATTCTATGGTTGGAGGAACAATAAACGCTGAATGTAAAAATGCTTCAGTATGAAGCTCTCAGTCTTGGTTGTGTGCTGCAGTGGAATATAGGAATGCCTGCCAGATTTATCAGGCCAATTTTTACAAAAGCTTGGTGTAGTACCAGTGCATCTGCCAATGTACCAATCTGGGGCATGTCTGTCTGCATCACCTACAGCTCATCCTTCACCTCCTGTGAGGACCCTGCTACCTCCTCCCCTCTTCCACCCTCTCCCTCTGAGTCCCTTCTCAGCTCCTCCTCCTCTGCCCTCACTGTCACATCTTCCACCACCACATTCCCTCCAGCTGCTGCACCAGCACCAGCCTCCCCACTAGCAGCAGCCTCCCCGCTGGCAGCTGACTCAGCACCCCCTTGCTTCCTGTCCAACTCCCCTCTCTCCCCCTCCACCCCCTCACCCCCCTCGCCCTCTCGCACCACGCACGCATCCCACGCCGCACGGCCGGCGCTCTCAGCATCCTTGCGGGGGGTCTGCCAGGTGGCATGCACCGACATCTTGTGCGGCGGCTTTGAGTACGACGCTATCAGCTGCAGCTCCTCCTTGCCATCGTTCACAATCTGACCACCACACGGGTGGAGGGTTGGGGGGGAATGAGAGGGGCGAACGTGTGTGGGCGGAAGCTAGCAGGGCGGCATGTGAACGGCTTACAGGAGGAGAGGTCAAAAAGGAATTGTGAGAAGCAGATTGCATACGGTAGCTTATGAGTACAAAAAATCTCTCCCGCAGCATTCACCCGGTGCAGAGCGCTCAGCGTACCTGGTGCAGGGCCTTGGGTTGGAAGGTGACGGTGGTGTTGCGCTTGACTGCATGCGATGACGGCTCTGTCTTCTTCTCCTCCACCACCAACACCTTGCCCTCCCCGCGCGTGAACACCACCACCTCCTCCTGCCACCGTCACGCAATGAGAGGCATGCGGCCAGCAAGCAAAGTCACATCACATGTACATCCCATAGATGCTGGTCAGCCACACAACCATGCCGTGCTTGCAAGCGAGGAATTGAAGCAGAGTGGAACGAATAAAGAGCGAATGCAGCACTTAGTGGCCGTGGGAGCACATGGGGTGTGTGAGTGTATGAGGGTCACGAATCATGGGTGAAAGTGAATGGAAGTCACGACTCACCTGCGGGTGCGAGTGAATGGGGGTCTTGGCACCAGGTGCGAACGTCATCATGAACACCTCCACGTGTTTCAGCCCGTGCTGCACCTTGCCGCCCAGCGTGATCACCGCTACGCCATCCATGCCGTAGCTGTCCTGGTACAGCGTTCGAATCTCGCGCACCAACGGGCCGCGCGACAGGTCCTCGCAGTACGGCTCGGGATCCGCCGCCACTGCCGCTTCCGACGCCGCTTCCGCTCTTGAGCCCGCTGGTGTTTCTGCTGCTGCGCCGGTTGCGCCTGCTGCCTCCGCTTCCGCTGGTTGCGCTGCTGCGGAAGCTGATTCCGCTGTTTCCGCGGGTGAATGCTGTGTCCCGTCAGCCGCTGACGCGTCAGCGGCGACCATGATAGGCGATGCCGCGAGCGATAGCGCAAGAAGCAGCGCGACGACAAGGAATTGTCGCACGGCGACGCGAACAGAGTCGCAGGCGACGATCGGAGCCATGACGGGCACACTACCACTCGCGAGAGGTTAGAGGACCGGTATATGGACCGCGGCGCTGAATGTTTCGGGTACGCATGAGCTTTGTTTCGACCAAGGGTGGAAATCGGAAAGGCGGACGAACATGTTCGTTGTGGCGCTGAAAGGAAGCTTCAAGAAATCTCTCCTCTAGACTCGGAATACTGCAATTGATAGCGAAACGCTGGGAACAATCCTGCACTGAGGCAAGAAATACTGTTAGGTATATAGCAAACATCAAATTCTAAACAATTAAATGACCTACTGGCTGGCTTTTTGTCACATGCCGTACGACTGTGCATGCAAGAGGAAAAGCGGGTCACACCACAGCACATCCTTCCTATCCCGCTCCCCAGCACCATCATGATTAACATGATCAGCATTCGCCTGCATCACATCTGAGAGCACACTCTGCAGGATGGGATTCACAGGCATCTCCTGCAGCTTCCTCGCAGCTGCCTGGATCAGCTTCCTTGTCCTCTGCACATCCTTGCCTGCTGCTTGCAATGCACTTGCTGCTGCCGCGCACTCACTCCCATCCCCACTGCTGCTCTCAGAGAACAGCTTTTCGCTCTCCGCTCGGCTCTTATTTCTCCAACCCAGTGGGAGACACTCAACACGCCCAGCTCCTGAGAACGACACTTTGCTAAGCACCCACAACCCCAGCAGCGGGCGGATCAGGGCAGAAAAAGAGTCCTGGTGAAACGTCGGCCCGCCCACCCATTTCATCGACTTGCACAGCCGGGCAGCTTGGGCAGCCTCGGTGAAAAACCTTCTTGCAAATACCAGTTTCCAGGTGGTGATTGTTATGAGGAGCGCGGGGGAGGGCGGGCAGAGCTGCAGCGCGTGGTGCAGGTGCAGGCAGCAGAGGTGAGCGAGCAGCAGCGGCTCCTCATGGTGGTTATCCACCTCTCTGTCAAACAGCTTGCGCACAAACCCTGGCACCGCCCGCACTGCTCTTGCTGCTCCTCCTGTTGCTGCTGCTGTTTCTGCACTTGTTCTTGTTTCCCCATACCTCCTCTCACTCTCCGCTGCACTCTCCTCCACATGCTCCTCCTCCTCATCCTCATCAACCTCACCCACCGACTCATCTTCCAGGCGATCCAATGCAGTGAGGCGCTGAAAGCCCGAGGGGGAGACCAAGTCCGGGTGCAGCACCCAGGCCGCCAGGTGTGCGGGCAGCAGGGAGGGCGGGCAGGTGCGCAGGCAGACAGACACGTGCGCCAGTGCTGCCTCCACTGCCCGCTCCACCTGCGCCGGCACAAAGGCCGACAATACTGCTGCTGTAGGGGATGGTGCGTGTGAGTGTGCGGCAGTGGTGGCGGTGATGGTGAGGACGGCAGTAGCGAGGGACTTGCGGAGCGTCTCGTCCTCATCCTCCATCACTCGAATCACTGTCAGCCATGCGCGTAGCACCACCCTCGCATACTCCATCACCGCACCCTCCCCTCCGTCCCCACCCTCCCCTCCGTCCGCACCCTCCCCTCCGTCCGCACCCTCCCCTCCGTCCGCACCCTCCCCTCCGTCCGCACCCTCCCCTCCGTCCGCACCCTCCCCTCCGTCCGCACCCTCCTCTCCTTCGTCTCCCTCCACACCCGTTGCTTCACAGCGCAGCACGTGCCCCACTCCACCCACCTCCAGCAGCAGTCCTGACGACACCACTGCCTCTGCTGCCGCCCGCCGCACACTTACCGGCCGGTGCGCCGCGCTCTGCTCGCCAATCAGCTGCAGCCACGTGGCAGCAAGCTGCAGCAGGTTCCCCGTACCCCTGCCCTGGCCCAGCGAGAAGTGTCCTGAAGTCAACACCCGCTCCATTGACCTCTTTGCGTCCTGCTGCTGCTGCTGCTGCTGCTGGGAGAGCAGCAGGCGGAAGCAGCGCCCCAGGCACCTCAGCGCCACCTCCCTCGTTTTCAGCACGCGCGCCGTCTCAAATACCTCCAGCACCACCGCCCACAGCTCCGCACACCCGCTCCCATCGCTGCCAACTCCAGTGCTGTCAGGCACATGGGGGGAGCCCCCGGGTTGTCTCGGCTCTGCTGTCCCTGCCAGTGCTGCTTCCGCAGGCAGCAAGGCTTGGGGCAGCAGGGCGTGGGGCAGCAGGGGCAGCAGCAGGGGCTGCAGGGAGGGCAGGGAGAGCGCTGGCAGCAGCACCTTGAGCAGCCGCCGACACCTCATCTCGTCCCGCCCCTTTGCCTGCCTCTCCTGCTGCACCCCCTGCACCACTGCCAGCAGCACTGCCTCCACTCCGCCGCTTCTGCCAGCAGCACTGCCAGCCTCGCTGCTGCTGCTGCCGCTGCGGTGTGACGCGGTGTGGAGTGGTGGCAGCAGCGGCGCGAGCAAGCGAGGGGAGGCGAGGAGGTGGGAGAGAGAGCGGAGAGCCGAGAGTTGCACGTCCCGACAGGGGTCTTGTACTGCTGCTAGCACCACCTCCCACAACACACCTGTACGGCTGCACACCCCTGCTTCTCCCCTCGTATCCCCCTCCACCGCACCCAGCCCCTCCCAAAGGCCTCGGCCCGCCAGGCACACAGCTTCTGGGGAGAGCAGCAGTGATGTGGCGGTTTGCCTGAGGGCGAGTGCTGTGGGGTCCTGGATGGTGAAGCGGAGAGGCGGGTGGAAGGAGAAGGCCCGCAGAGCAAGCGGCAGGAAGGCGGCTGCTGTGGCTCGAACCATTGGGGTGAGCGGGGGTGCGGAGGGGTGAGGGGCGGTGGGGAGAGGGGTGGAGAGGGGAGGGGAGGACAGGGAGGTGGAGGAGTGGAGGGCGGAGGAGAGGAGGGTGGAGAGGGGAGGGGAGGAGTGGAGGGCGGAGGAGAGGACGAGGTGGGAGACGGTGAGATACTCGGCGACCACTGTAGGGCAGCAGCAGGCGTAAGGGTCGCCCAACCACCGCCGCTGCTGCAGCGCCTGCACCACCTCTTGCATGTCTGCTGCCCTGCTGCTCCCCTCCCCTCCCCCCTGCTGCTGCTGCTGCTGCTGCTGCTGCTGCTGCTGCTGCTGCTGCTGCTGTTGCTGCTGCTGCTGCTGGTGCTGCCGACAACCCAGTAGGCAGCAAGCAGGTGGCGCATGTGCAGCAGCACACCATGAACCGCATTGTACCCCATACCTGCACCTAAAGCCCCTCCCTCACGTTCACCTCCCTTCTCAAAATCCTTCTCCTCTTCTTCGCTTCTCTTCTCACGTGCCTTGTCACTTGTTCCATCCGCAATTCCAATCATTCCAATCATCCCACCCATCCCACCCCTCCTTCCCCACTCCTCAGGCAGATTGCGAGCCAGCTTCAGCAGCATCCCGGAAACTTCCGTGGAGGCCACGATGGGCACGAGCGCGCGGGCGGCAAGCTCTCGGACGTGCATGCGGGGGTGGGCGGCGCAGAGCGAGACGGCCGGCACAAAGGCGGCGGGGGAAAGGAAGGAGGAGGGCGAGGGGGAGGTGAGGGTGGAGGGCTTGAGGCGCGACAGAAGGATGAGCGCGGGGGCCAGTGCAGGGTGCAGCGGCTGGGAGGAGGAAGAAGAAGCGGATGTGGCGGCGGTGGCACTGGCAGTGGCGGTGGCACTGGCAGTGGCGGTGGTACTGGCAGTGGCGGTGGAGGAGGGGGCATGGTCAGCAGGCGGGTGGGGTAGATCAGCAGGGGTCTGCCCAGCAGGGCAGTTGTGAGCAGGGAGGAGGAAGGCGGCTGAGGCCTCTCGGAGGTGTTGCAGGAAGAAGGCGTGCAGGTCAGGGTAGCGCAGGAAGAACTCCACCGCTGTCATGCTCTGCCGAGCTGTCTGCTTGCACACCACCTGCTCCCGAGCCCACGGCCGCCCGGCCCGGGGTACGTTCTTAAAGCCCAGCATGCGGTGCAGCAGCGCCACCAGGCACAGCCCGCCTGCGTTGCGCACCTCCCAGTGGGGGGAGCGCGCGGCGGCGACGGCGGCTTGGAGGGCGGGGGAGCAGAAGGCGGAGGTGTCGGCAGCGAGGTGCGTGTCGTGGAAGGCCAGGCGCAGCACGTTCCATGCGTGCACCGCTGCCACCACTCCCTCCTCGCGTGCTTTCAGGGATAGTGCCGGTGCTGTTGTTGCTGCTTGTACCCCTGGTGCTGATGTCGCTGCTGCTGCTCCTTGCTCGCCCACCTTGGAAATCAGCGCAGCACACACGTCTACTGCCTGCTCTGCTCGCCCACCTATCCACTCCTCTCCGCCACCCCCTCCTCCCCCTCCTCCATCCACGCCATCCCCCATCCCCTCCGCACCCCTCTCCGCGCCCTTCACCACCTCCAGCAGCCACGCCACAGCACGGGGCAGCAGCACCTTGGGCGCCCCCTGGGGCTCGCCCAGAAACAGACCCAGGAACGCAGCGGGCAGCCCGGCAGAGCGGCGGATGAGGTCCGTGAGGGTCTGGTGCGGTGCAGTGAGGCGGCGCTGCAGCGTGGCGAGCCAGAGGCGCGGGAGGGCGTTGAGGGCGGGCGAGGGGCAGCGCAGCAGACGGTCTGTGAGGGCTATGAAGCCGGCTCGCGTCTTGTCAACGGCCCCGTTGTGCTTCATGGCCAGGAGGAGGGAGACGAAGTGATCCCCCACTTGCTGCGATGAGGGAAGAGGGAGGGAGGGAGGAGGAAGAGTTGAACGAGGGGATGAGGAGGAGGAAGAGGGCAGTGAGAGGGTGAAGGGCGGGCATTAGGGAGATGGGTGTGTTACAAGGAGAGAAGAAGTGGTGGAACTATCACATGCACCTGCAAGCACATACACTGCACCGCACGCACAGACACTGCACCACACGCTCATACGCTGCACCACCCGCTCCAATGCTGCACCACCCGCTCATACGCTGCACTGCAAGCACATACACTTCCTTCCAGGTGCAGGCTCGCACATACCTTGAGCTGCGCAGCGTCCAGCAGTTCCCCCCCGCCCTCTACTTCCCCTCCCTCTCCCCTCCTCCCCGTCTCCCGCCCTCCCTCCTCCCCATCCACCTCCTCCTCGCCTGCCCCCACATGAGCCTGCAGCGGCACGGAGCGGGCGAGGGTGCCGAGGAGCAGAGAGACCTCCTTCATGGAGAGCCAGCACGCCACCATCACCATCTGCTCCACTGGCGCCAGCTGCTGCCCCCTGCCATCACCCACCTCCGCTCCCATCACATCATCCTCATCAGCAGCAGCATAGTCAGCAGCATCATCGTTATCAACAGCATGAGCATCACCGAGAGCACCATTGGCATCGCTGCCTTCTGCCTCCCCATCTTCACCTTCTTCCTCCTCTTCCTCGTCCCCCTCTCGCCCGTCACTGCATGCGACAGTGGTCCCTCCCTGTGCATCTTTGTCACTCACGCGCAGTCTGCCCCCCTCCCCCACGTCCACACGCAACCCATCTGCCGCCACCACCCACAGCGCCAGCCCCGTCACCCGCAGCACCAGCGCCAGGACCCGCGGCAGCACCCCCCGCATGCCCCCTGCTGCATCAGCATCACCACCATCAACATCAGCAGCAGCAGCAGCATGACACAGGGATGCTTCAGCCCAGTCAACTTCCTCCATCGTGTATCGCAGCAGCAGCAGCACGCCGTGCACGAGGCTGTGTCGGCACGCGCCTATCATGTCCCTCTCGCCCTCCTCCACTAGCGCTGCCAGCCACTCGCTCAGCGACTCAAGGTACCCCACCACTGCCCCTTGCCCGCTGCTGCTGCTGCCCCCAGACTCAATAGCACAGTCAGTGGCAGCAGCAGAAGCAGCAGCAGCAGGAGGAGGAGCAGGAGGCGTGACAGTAACAGCAGGGAACACCCTCACCTGCCACCCCAGTTCCATGACATACTTTTTAAATACCAGCTTCAGCACGAGCGCACCCGCATCACTCTCCCTCACCCGCGGGCTCATCACAAGCCCACACGCCCACTCCACCACCTCCGCCACCTGCCCTGCACTCTCCAACCCTGGCAGCGGAGCAGGGTACTTGAGCAGCACCCCCAGCGCCGCCTCCCTCAGCCGGTCCCAGCTGTCCACCGCTGCTGCCAGCAGCAGGTGCGTGCTGCCAGGGGCCAGCGCACCAGGTGGGTAGGGGGAGAAGGTTGGGAGGTGTGGGGTGGTGAGAGGGGGCGGTGTAGAGGCAGTGTGCGGGGGGAGGAAGTGATGCGGGCTCCACACGTCCATGAGGGCGGAGAGAGTGTCCAGCGCCATGCTCTTGCGCTCGTACGGCGCGGAGGGGTACAGCGACGAGAAGAGCAGCGCCGTCAGCCACTGCATGAACGCCTGTACCTCGCCCACGCTCGCCCCCTCCTCCCTCTCCACCTCTTCGCCCTCCTCCATTTCCCCGTCCTCCTGCTCCTCACCTCCTCCCCGAGCATCGCCTCCTTTCCCTGCTTCACCTCCCCCCAGCGCAACCATTCTCTGGCGGCGGGTGACGGCAGCCATCCTCTCCTGCCGTTCCACAGCAGCGCGCACGCGGGAGAAGAAGCGGCGGACGATGGAGCACCAGCGCATGCGCAGGTTGGGGGAGGAGCAGCGCAGGTTGAGGGGGAACGCCAGCCCCAGCAGGTGCAGCTCGGGGGGGGACGGCATGGCCGTGGTGCGGAACGAGATGCACAGCAGCTCTGCCACGTCCACCCGCACCGCCTCGTCAGCGTGCCACGTCGCCCGCTCCAGCATCCACGTCAGCACGGTCTGCGGCCCGCCGGACCAATCCCTCCTCGCCACCTCCTCTCCACCCCTCCTCCCTGTCTCGCCATCCCCACTCTCCTCCTCCTCCCCCTCATCCCCGTCTCCCACCCTCCGCGCCTTCACGTCCCTGCGTGCACCTACCCCCCTACCAGCGTCCTCCAGAGGCCCATCTAACACACCCATGCCTCGCCCCATGCGCAGCAGCGCCACCACCGCCCCCACCCGCGCGTCCACACTCGCCCCCCACGGGTACTCCCCATGCGGCCACCCCCTCGCGTCCGCCAGCTCGGGCCACTGCTCCCACACTGCCATTGCGCCGCCATCTCTGCTATCTCTACACTCAATACCCTCACTTCCCTCGCTGCCTGGGGGCAGGGCGGTGAGGAAGGAGAGGAGGGGCCAGAGGGAGGCGGAGTCGAGGGAGAGCAGCACGGGGAGGGCGTACGTGGCCACGTTGGTGCGATGCAGTGATGGGCCCGCCACCAGTCCACACAGCACCGCCGGCATCCACACCCTCCGCCACGCCACATCGCCTCCCCCCTCCCCTCCGCGCTCCCATCCCTCCCGTCCCTCTCCCATTCCCGCTGTGCCGGCCCAGCACTCCTCACGGAGGCGGGAGAGGAAGGGGGAGAGGAAGGAGGCAACAGCGCAGCACACACCCTCATCGCCCATGGCTGCCAGGGCGTCGCCCAACACACCCACCGGAAACCTCACGGCCCTTGCTGCTCCGTCCATACCCGCCGCTGCTCCCTCCCTCTCATCCCTCTCATTCCCCTCGCTCCTCTCACCCTCATCCCCCTCCGAGCGCCCCTGTTTGCTCATGAGCAGCAGCCGGGCAGCGCCCAGACGAAGGGCAAGGGACGCCAGGGGCACGTACCGCCCCTTCCTGTGCGCCCCCGTCGCCAGCACCTCCCGAGCCAACTGCTCCGCAAACCGCCGAAACTCGCCGCCCACGCGGGACACACCCTCCCCATACCCAACCTCCTGGTCCGTCCCTTCCCCTGCCACTGCGTCAGCAAGGGTTGCTGCTGCATCAGCAACTGGCCTTGCCTCTGCTATGCCATTCTGCTTGGCCTCTTCCTTCTGTTCTCGCTCCCCCTCCTCCCCCTCTCCCTGCTCTTCCGCCATCATAAATCCCAGCCCCTCCACCACATCATCCTCCTCCTCCTCTTCCGCTTCCCTCCGCCTCTCCTGCCCCTCCCCCTCCTCGTGCACACTCGTACTTATGAAACTAACAGTCTCCTCTCCCCTCCCATCCTCTCCCCGACTCTTCTCTTCCTCCATCACACCATCGCCCCCAACCCCCTTCCCACCCGTCCCACCTTTCTCCAGGCACTCCACGACATCTAGCAGCAAGTCCAGTGCCACATGGGCCTGCCTAGCTGTCTGAGTCAGCGGGTCCTCCCAGTGGCCCCACACCGCACCCAGGATCCTATCCACACTGCCACGTGGCATCTCCTCATACGCTGGCACACTGCCATCCTCCATCAACTTTTCCACCAATAGGCAAAGAGAAATTTTATCAGCCTCCTGACCTCCTCTCACTGCTGCTGCTGCTGCTGACTCCTCCGCTCCGCCAATCCCTGCTCGCCACGTGGCACGAATTCGAGCCACCTGGCGGGTGAACAGTGCACGGGAGGCAGCGCAGGTGCCGTCCAGCAGGCTTGTCTTGATCTGGTGGAGGCTTATCTGGAGGGCGGTGAGCGCGTGGAACTTGGTGTGTGCGTCGGAGGAAGCTTCACAGAAGGAGAGGACACGGGGCAGCAGGCCATCAAAGAGCAGCGACCAGCAGTGCACCTCCACTGCCTGGTGGTTTGGCAATCCCGCTGCTGCTGCTGCACCTGCTGCGTCTTGTGCAGGCACGGGCACGGGCATGGGCAGCAGCAGGAGGTGAGTGAGGGCTTGTCGGGGAACAGCTGTGAGCATGCCTCGGATGCAGCACAGTTGGCTGAACAGAGGAAACCTCCCCATCCCTGTATCCATCCACGTGCCCGATTGCCCTGCTGCAAGCCCCTGTCTCGCTATAAGCGCATCCAGTACTGTCAATGGGTCCACAAACTCCCTTGCAGCCGCTGCTATGCCTGCTGCTGGCGCTGCAGACACAGAGGGAGTGGGACTCGCGGCAGCAGCTGATGGCAGCACAGAAAAAGGGGCGGAGGAGTCAGGAGAGGGAGGAGAGGCAAAGAAGGAGCGTGCTAGAGCCACAGCCAACCGCCCTTCCTTCCGCTCCTCTTCTTCCTGTTCGCCCTTCTCTTCCCCTGCTGTTGCACCCGAGCTCGTTTTTGATTGGACGAGAGGCAGCAGGGCGCACAGAGCTACAGCAGCTGCTACAGTGGCGTCTCTAGAAAGCACCCCCGTTTGCAGCACTCTCACTACAGCGCCGTGCACTGACAGCAGCTCCTCACACACGCCCTTGCCCTCAACACTACCGTTGCTCTCACTGCTCTCACTGCTCTCAACGCTCCCATTCCTCTCGCCGCCTTGACTTCTCAGCTCGCCTTGCCCTTGGGTGCTGGAAGGGCGCGAAGCAAACTGTTGAGGGTAGCGCTGCAGCAGGTAGTAGAGCGTGGACAGCGCCTCCTGACACAGCTCCATCATTGCTGGTACCACGTGCCCGCCCCCTTCCGAACTTGCTCCAGAACCTGCTCCCAAACCTGCTTCCGAGGCTTCTTCAGCAGCTGTTTGCCCGACGTCAGCCATGCCAGCAGCATCAGAGACCCCCTCATTATCATCGCATGTGCTGCTCCTGCTCCCCATTAGCAACCTGTCCCCACTGCTGCCACGTGGCTGCATGTGGTCCACCACTGCTGCCACGTCTGCACTCAGCACGTGCGCCAGCTGTCGCGCCACAAGGCGACATGAGCTGTCAAAGGGTGCCTGGAGGGAAGGGAAGGGGGACGGCGGTGCATGGGGGCGGATGGCATGAGTGGCTAGCATACGAGATGGTGTGGCATGGAGGGTGACAGACGCCGTGGGTTGAAAGCAAGAAAGGGTTAAAGGTTCAGGGCGCGGGAGGAGAAAGGAGGAGGGGCGTTGGAGAGGAACGAGTAGAGTGCCATGAATGTGAGTAGGAGTGAGAGGGCGAGAGGGGGAGGGGCGGCAAGCACAGACCTGGAACTGGGCGGCAAGCACAGACCTGGAACTGGGCGGCAGTAATGGAAGCCCCTGCTGCAGCTGCAGCGAACTGCCGCCTCTTGGAGCCACCAACGCCGTACTCGTTACAGCACAACGCGATAACACTCTCCACTATCGCCCTCGCTTTCCTTTCAACACTGCCCCCATCCTCCTCCCAGCGTCCCCTCCTCACTCCTCCGTTTCCAAACCCCCTCTCTGCCTCGCTACCCCCCGCACTTGCACCTCTCTCTTCCCGTTCACCCCTTCGTTTCTTTTTCTTCCCCTCCGTTTTCCCCTTCCGCGCTCCACCTCCTCCGCCTCCGCCCTTCCCCTTGCCCCGCCCCGATGCGCCATCACCGCGGAGAGAGAAGATGCGCACGAGCGCGGAGAGCAGCGCGCGGTGCAGCGGGCGGGAGTTCTCGAGGAACAGAATTTCCAGGTACAGGCGCGTGGCTGGGGGGTTGGCGGGGAGGGGGGAGAGGAAGTCGGTTGATGAAGAGAGGGAAGGCGTGGGATCAGCTGTAAGGAGGAGGGGATCAAGGAAATTAACGGGCGCGAAGCGGGTCGGGCGCAGCAGTCGGCTCGCATACGCTCGGGATTTAGCGGGTGAGGCAAAGCAGAACACGGGTTTTAGCGGGTGAGGCAAAGCAGAACACGGGTTTTAGCGGGTGAGGCAAAGCAGAACACGGGTTTAAGCGGGTGAGGCAAAGCAGAACACGGGTTTTAGCGGGTGAGGCAAAGCAGAACACGGGTTTTAGCGGGTGAGGCAAAGCAGAACACGGGTTTTAGCGGGTGAGGCAAAGCAGAACACGGGTTTTAGCGGGTGAGGCAAAGCAGAACACGGGTTTTAGCGGGTGAGGCAAAGCAGAACACGGGTTTTAGCGGGTGAGGCAAAGCAGAACACGGGTTTTAGCGGGTGAGGCAAAGCAGAACACGGGTTTTAGCGGGGTACAAAGGAGGTTCTAGCAGGAAGCAGACTAATCGCTTCCCGCACGAGTCACCTAAAAGCTAGACTCAACCAGTGTTCGGAAAATCCGCATGCCAATCGACCTTCTGCACCACACTCCCCACCTGCTCGTCGCACGCCTACCTGCTACAAGCTCCCGCTCCACTGCTGAGCCGTCACTGCTGGCGGAACCAGGCGCGACGCCACTGATCGCATCGCGCCACCGAACGAACAAACCATCTAGCGAATCAGAAAGCTCCTTGATATGCGGGATCTCGGCGAATGTCGATCTGAACCTGGTCAGCTGCAGCAGTGCGCTGCCGAACCGCCTTAGCTCCGCCGAACCAGGTATGGCACTCGGAGGAAATACGTCTGGATCTCGTCGCAATGCTACCCCGCCGGGATTTCTAAGCGAGTCAGCTTGTAGCGAATACAATCTATTAGAAAGCTCCGGCTCGTCTGGCAATTCTCCAAGCGAAAGAGCTGTGGCTCGCGAAACGTAGCTTGGCGGGAATGCCGTTCCCGCGTCGGACCATCGCTTCCGCTGCTGCTGGCGACGGAACTTAGACGCCATTGCCTACGAGGAACGCGATTCGACGCATGCGATTTTGAATTACTAGAACTGATAGCAGCAGAGTGGTCAAGAAGTCCTGAGACTTGCGTTCCTGTTATTGATCACTGGGCTGCTGATGTGGGTGGGTTGAGTCGAGAATACCAGTATAAACTTGATATTGATACGGTACAAACATGTCACAAGTTTGTTGTGCTGGACCTACAAAACCCCCACTACAAAAAATCAGTGTCACAGATACGTTCTCAACCGCCCTCTCACCTTCGCCTCTCCCACCCCCCAATATTGTTAAAGCATGAGATAGTGGTGCTCTATCACCACACATAAATTATTCCCCCACAAAAAGGAAAAAAAAAAGGAAAAAAAAAAAACCGTAAATGTCAGAAAGGTGGCACGCCTTCACTACCCTTTGGCACCAGATGGGCTGCCCCTTATTGGGCTTTCATACCCCTTGATGTTCTTCTTGGCATCTGCATGTGAGGCCACAAATTGCCGGCCACCAAGATCGCATGCCGTGATACCCTTCTGCAGAGGACCCTTGTGGTACACAATGTTCTTGATATTTGTCTCTGCTTCCTTCTCCTGGAAAAACTTCTTCGACTGCAGCAGCAGATTGATGAATCACAAGGGCAGAGGATGGAAAAAAAGGTGAGCGCTGAGCAGCCTTAAAAATTTGAGCCAATACCAGAAACAAAGAAACAAAGCACAAGCAGCACCAAGCGGAAACGATAATCCATCGAGTAAAGAATCCTGTGAGGTCTGGCCTCAGTACTGAAAATGAATGATGGGAGGATCACAATGTTCCCTAATGTCCCGTACCAAGGACTTGTAGCTGTCGGCGTTGCCGGCTTGCACGCCCATGCGGATGTTGCCCATGTCGTAGTTGGCACCGCCCGCCATCTTGAGCGTGTCGTCGATATCCTTCTCCAGCCCCGCCAGGGCCTCCCTCTCGTACACCTGCTTCTCAATGTGGAAGCCCTGACCGTGGGGGAGATAACGCGGGAAGAGGGGTTGCCAGTGAGTGGGAGGAGATAATTAGTTGCGAGTGAGGAGAAAACAGGAGGTAATTTGATGAAGAAACTGCAATTTGCAGTTTCTGATGTTGCAAATCCGCCTAAGCTTCTCTGAGCTGAATTGTAGGATGGTTCGCATAAGTTTTGGAATGTGTCTGAAGGGAGTGTCGAATGGCATGTGTCAGTGTGTGTCAGAGGCACGTATCAGTAGTGTATGTTAAATGGCATGTGTGACGTGTCAGTAATGTGTGCCAGAGACAAGTGTCAGTAACGTTTGTCAGAGAGGTATGTGTGCGATGACAGGTGCGATGGCAGCACGAGCTTGCCTTCAACAACAATCTACATAATGACGCCGCATTGTTCAGTACGAGCCACGAGTGGTAAAAAGTCGTGACATCGCACAGCCCTCAAACGAGACCTTCTCAAACAGCTGTCCCCTATCCGCAACGCGCTTACCATTCCAACCGTTCGGAACCAAATTGTTTGCTCCAAACGCCTTATCGATTCTGGACTAAGCGCCAAGCATCAACTCCTTAGCGTATGCACCCTCTATTGTGCGAATTTCCCGTGGGGCGCACCTTAAATAGAGTCGCGCAGTCCTTCTTGTGAAGAGCGACCTTCCCCTTCTTGAGCGGCGACGCGCTCTCGCCGACCCACGTGATGAAGACAAACTTCACGCGCTTCGAGTCGCCGCCGTCGTCCATCTTGACCAATCGTAGCAAACCGTACAGAATGTTGTTGTCTTCGCACTGCGGATGTACAGTGCGCGCCGATCGAGGGAGAAGGAAAACGTGTCGAAAACAAGAGCAATTGGTTTATCAATTAGGTTCTTCTGCCCCGATTGGGCTAAGACCGTACTCTAACGACGATGGCTAGGCCACGGGATGCCAGAAACGGCCACATGTGGAAAGCAATTGAAATGAGAGAGACAATGCAGGAAGCTAGTTATGAGAAACCATTGACGAAATCAGAGATGGAGTTCTCTAGGGAGGTCAACAGCAATTTCACCTTTTTAACCATGTCGTTGACGTCGCCAGTGCCAGTCCCCATCGGGACGAGAGAGTTGCCCTCGTAGCCTAGCCAGCACCATGTTTCAGGCGTATCGTCTGAAAACACGGCAAGATAGGCCTCCGAGCATCCCGGCTTGAACAACGACGCCATCAACCGAAGAAGGTCAGCAGACGAGGGACAACACGAGAACCAAGCGCGGAGAATGCAATGGCGGGAAGCACTTTTGCAAACTGAGCGATGCGATTTGTCCAGGTAATTTGTGCACGGTTGCAGGTGAATGATCAGGGAGTCTAGGAGAAATGGCAGTATGCCAGACAGAACTAGCTGGTGGGGGGGAGTGAACCAGGGGTGGATTCAGTGAGGAGTATGTGGATAGGAGAATGAATGAGCGCTATGGCTGGCGGGGCTTCTCATACCACCAAGCCAGACTGCTGGAGTGGAGGGACTGGGGTGGGGGGGGGGGGAGGGGATGATGAATTCCGGTTTGCGCGGAGCGGGAGAGAGCGGAAATCTCGAGAACGCCCAAGCACGGCCCTTGGGGGAGGTGCGGTCAGCCTGTGATTGGATGGGGCGATAGGAGATGCGCAGAATGTCCCCGAGAATGGGACGGGTTGTTGGGATTGGAGAGGTTATTGGGCGAATGCTAGGGCTTTTGGCGAGGACGTAGCGACGGTCTAACAGCGAATTCATATTTTCAACCTCAGTAACGTTACAAGGCCATCAAAATTCAGGTGAGTCTAAGGATAGTAACCTCCAACACTCAGTAATGTTTAGTTGTTCTTTGCTCTCATGAACTTAGCTGTGGTTTTCCAGCTTCATTCGATTATATAAGGTTACTCACTGTCGTTCTTTCAAGACAGTCATTTTGCTGGTTGATTATAGCCCCTTTCGCTATCAGATTACTTCAAATCATTGACAGGATCGCTTCTATCTACAATAGATTGGGCAAACCACTTGCACAGGTTAAAGACTGTTTATCGTTTGGCATCATTGGCAGGGAACCGCAGGAGCATCTCCAGCAACCAGCTGGGACTGACACCGCTGTGTTTGTTGCAGCTCCTTCTTCTCCTGCTCCTTCTTGGCAGCCCACATTGCGCATAGATAGCGACCTGACCCCATGTCGACAATTGACATGAGCACGGCCCAAATGTGCGCCCAGATGGTCTTGCTCTGATGACAGAATGTCAGGGAAGGGTGTACAAACAAAATCACAGATAAAATAAGCTGATCTTGCAGAGAGAACTTTGAAAAGTGAAAATTAGGGTTGAGCGTTAGGAGCCCACCGCCTTGCATTCCAAGGAACGCGAGAAAACGCGGGAAACAAACGGCGACGCTTAGTACAAACCATTCCAGGTGAAGATAAAGCCGCTTACCTTCTTGCTTTTACCCCGGCCCGACCGAACAAGAGGTTCCGACAACATCGCTGCATCCGACTCCGAGCTTCCGTCGCCGTACGCGAAACAGCTCTCAGACGACTCGGAAGAGCGAAGGCAGTCGACGTCATCAACGCTCTTCCATGACCGCCACGTCATGTAACCCGCGATGAACGCTGAGACCACCACGAGCACGACCCTCATCGGACACACCATCTTGTCAGCCTGTGCTCCTGGTATTACGCTCAGATGATTCTGTACCGCTAGAGAGCGTGCCCTGAGCTAAGACCGAGTGGAAGGCGAAGAACAGCTATTATAGGTGGTAGTTTGTGAGCTGACGAAGAGTGTTTCAACAAATGGAGCGGAGCGTGCTCAAGCAGCCTTCGCTCTGGCCGCGTCCTAAAAACGAAAGCAAATAGTTGTCTTGTCAAAGTGCGAGGACGCGACCAACCAATACTGTCCTAGCTTTCAGAGTAGTCGTCAATATTCCTTCCCAGCAATTGGCAAATATTACAGGCGGTGTTGCAAGAGGGGTGCCACGGAGATTGGGTTGGGTTGGGGTTCGGGTGAAATCGGTTGGGAAGAAAGTGGACTCAGGAAGGAGGGGGTTGGCTTTCTCAGTTGACGGTAACTTCGAAGGAGTGCGACAAGCAGCGAACTGTCACCAGGGCATCGCACGAATCGAATGAGACGAAGGTTCTGCTGAGGATGAGCGCAGGGCCTGCTTGGATGCAGGAGCTGACGCTGCTGCGCAAGCACAGAGAAGTCGGGGGTCGTGCGGTGCGGCGGTGTGCGACGTGGACTGCCAGCAAGAAAGAAGGTTTTGGCAGACCAGCTTGGGCCAGAAGCAAGCTCCTGCTCATGGAAAACTGACGACTGGATATGGGCAAGTTGAGCAGAGATAAACTGCCCGTATTGAAAGTTCCTGACGAACCCGAAGCCATATGTGTGGCATCGGTGAGCTGCAAAGCTTGACATGGGTCATCGAGATTCGTGAATCGTGATTGCAGCCAATTTTCCACACCGACATGGTGTGCTGTGCGCACACAAAAGGCGCGTGGTCGATTCAAGATGAGGTGACGTGGCAAGTTCTGACTTATGGCGGGTACATTACAACGCTGTCGGGATTGACCGATGACCTTTCATCCATGTATCAACATACATGGCTGTTTGCCTCCACAACTTATGGGTTATGTACCACGTAAAGCAGTTCCGGTTGTAAGATCTGATGATTGCGCCCTGGAAAAACTTAGATTAGAATCTCAGATGTCAGAATCGTGTAACTGGATTAAGACAGATGATGTGTTTCTCTTTGCCTCAATCCCCCAATACCCTCCTAGTTGGCAGTGGCAATGTGCTGCACGCACAAGGGTGGGAGTGGGATGGGATCGGAATTTGCATAACAGGATGCAAATGCGGGATGGAATCAGAATTGTGTCAACATTGACACAAAAGAAGTCTTCCCCACACAAAAAAGCTGCTGTAGGATGGCAAGTGCTGCTCCGCCTTTGAATGGCATCACTCACATTCTCCCCATACCCGTGGTTGGCCCGCTGCGCATATGTTTCAGTCTGGGGTCCAGTAAGGGCGAACAAAGCCATCTCCTCCAGCCCAGCTTCCCGGTACAGCCCTGCCAGCTGCTCACACGTCTCGTCCCACGTGCCCTCTGCTGCTGCCACGTCCAGCAGAAAGGCTGCCTGGTCCAATGCCACCTTCAGTCGTGTGGTAGGGTCACCTGCTTCCCGCTGCTGCACCCACCTGGTACGAGCCCCCCAGCCCAGCGCTCTCCTCCTCTCGCCCCCGCGTTTCCCGCCACACGCGCTGAATACATGGTTATGGCACCCGTGCAGCCATCGCCCTCCTTCCCAGGACTAGCTTGGAGTCATCTTACCCTCTGTGCGCTGGGCTGCACTGTCGCAGACGAGCACATTGCACGCAGGCATGTCGCAGACGAGCACATTGCGTGCAGGCATGTCGCAGACGAGCACATTGCACGCAGGCATGTCGCAGACGAGCACATTGCATGCAGGCATGTCGCATACGAGCACATTGCATGCAGGCATGTCGCAGACGAGCACATTGCATGCAGGCATGTCGCAGACGAGCACATTGCACGCAGGCATGTCGCAGACGAGCACATTGCATGCAGGCATGTCGCAGACGAGCACATTGCATGCAGGCATGTCGCAGACGAGCACATTGCATGCAGGCATGTCGTAAACGAGCACATTGCATGCAGGCATGTCGCAGACGAGCACATTGCATGCAGGCATGTCGCAGACGAGCACATTGCATGCAGGCATGTCGCAGACGAGCACATTGCATGCAGGCATGTCGCAGACGAGCACATTGCATGCAGGCATGTCGCAGACGAGCACATTGCATGCAGGCATGTCGCAGACGAGCACATTGCATGCAGGCATGTCGCAGACGAGCACATTGCATGCAGTCATGTCGCAGACGAGCACATTGCATGCAGGCATGTCGCAGACGAGCACATTGCATGCAGGCATGTCGCAGACGAGCACATTGCATGCAAGCACAGGATTGTGTGTGAAAAGAGTTGTCATCGGGCGGGGGGGAGGAAAGAAGGAGGAAATTTGTGAGAACAAACAAACAAACAAACAAGCAAGCAAACAAACTTATCAACTCATCCCTGCGAAACCATCACGTACAGTGTGGGTTTACTGTAGCAGCTGAGGGGGTACAGATGAGGGCGAGCAGGTGGGCGGGGGTGTGAGGGAAACAGGTGATCTGTACCACACCATTATCCCTATCACCTCCCTCTTCTCCTGTCACGGCGCGCACGCCGCATGCGCTCTGACAGCTGCAATTCGGGTTGGTTGTGCGCGGGGGAAGAGGAGCAGGAGGCGTCGGGGAGGGGGAGTGGGCTCCAGCCCCTGACCTCGAGCTCCAGCCCCTGACCTCGAGCTCCAGACCCTGAGCGCCCCTAACTTATCGCGCATGCACTTGTACGTGACATCGTTGGCCAGCTTCCCTATCCTCACAGGAGCGTCCAGTCCCTCCCCATCACGCGCAACACCACCCTCTGCACCCACATCTCCCACCCTACTCAGCACCCACCTCCCCCAGAGTCACATCGTCCGCATGTGCTTACCCGGATAAGCGCTGCCCCAAGCCTGCCCACTGTCCCCACGTCCACATCCCCCAGGGTGGGGGATGAAAAGGGTGTGGAAGGGAGGGGAGGAGGGAGGGGAGGAGGGAGGGGAGGAGGGAGGGGAGGAGGGAGGGGAGGAGGGAGGGGAGGAGTGAGGGGAGGATGGAGGGGAGGAGGGAGTCAGAGCAGCGCAGGTGGCACAGCACTCGCCCCTTGGCCTGCGCTGACGCTAGAGAGCGCGTGGATGCTGCCTCTTCTGCTAGTGCCACCTCTGCGTCCTGTGGGGGGTAAAGGCGGAAGGGAGAAGGGTTGGAATGGGGAGAAATGTTGTGAAATGTGAAAAAGCGAGGGAACGAGGACTCAGAGCAGCAGGTGGGTGAGCACACAACCCCACCCAACCTGAGTAGACGCAGCGTGGGGGAGGGGCGCGTCTCACCTTCTCAAGGTCCAGCAGTGGCCGCATCCTCTCCACAAACACGCGCGCTGCAGTCACGCGCGTCCCTTCCCTTTGAAACGATGCCATTGGTTGAGCGCGGTTCTCATACCACAGACCCCCACTCTTCAGGGAACCCCCTTCAGGTGCAGGTAACCCTCTCAAGTGCAGGTCCCCCCTTCAGGTGCAGGTTCCCTTGGCGTCTGTGGCGTGTGGCCTTGCCTCATCCTGTGGCCCTCCCTTTCTCTTCCAGTTTTGGCAGTTTCCGTTCTTTGGCTTGTGTTGTGCCCATGCCTTGCATACTGACCACCGGCGTGTGTGTGCATTGCAGGTGGAGGGGAGGGGCGTGGGGGTCAACACCGACGCTTACCCACGCCCCTCCCCTGTGGCCGTGCAGGGACTCGTGGGGACGGGAGGGAGGCAGCACTGCAGCATGGCAATCCCACTGCAGCAAGGGAGAGTATCGGGATGGGCTTGGCCTCTCAAGGTAAGCCTCGTACCTCTCTTTCCCGCTGCACTGGTTTTCTGCTAACTTGCCCTCGCGCTCGTCCCTTTGATTCGCCCTTGCCTGTTTCAAGGCCTGCACTCACTCCCCCCCTGGCCTTCCCTTCCGTTCTGCCCCCCTCCAGGTCACTCGCAATGCAGCAGAGACAGCTGACGGGACCAGTTGTAGCAGCATCAGCAGTGGGGAGCACTGATGCAGCAGGGGAGGGGAGGGGAGGGAGGGGGACATAAGGCGGCATCTCTCGGCGCTTCTTCAGCAGCCAGCTAAGTGCTTTCGCCTCCCTGGACTCACTCTTGCCTGCTGCTCACTGCTCATGCTGAATTACTCTTGTCGTTTTTGCATGGCCTTCTGTGTTGTATCCCTGAAATCTTGCCGCTGGTTGGGGGCCCGGTTCAAAAGCCACAGACCTTCCCTTATTCTTGGCAAACCCCTCAGGTTAAGCCCTCCCTAGACTTTTACGGCCCAATCAGGTACAACCGCTACAGCAGGTTAATCCCCCCAGGTTCCCTCAAGGTCTGTGGCTTGTGCTCTCGCCTTCACCAGTGGCCCCTCCCCTCGCATGTGCTGCTTTCAAACTCACAGCTGCCAAGTCAGAATCATTCCATGATTGCAACACTCAGCTCTGTGCGTGCTCGTTGCAGGTGGAGGGGAGGGGCGCTGGGGTCAACACCGACGCTTCCCCACGCCTCTCCCCGGTGGCGGGGCAGGAGGGAGGGAGGGAGGCAGCACTGGGAGGGGACGGGAGGGAGGCAACACTGCAGCATGGCAACCCCACTGCTTTATGGGAGAGTATGGGCTTGGGCCTTCCAAGGTAAGGCTCTCTCCAGCTCTTTTCTGCCACACTCACTTGTTGCTGTGGGTCTTTGGCGCTGCCTGCTGCTTATCCTTGTGCTTCGCCCGTGCTTACCCCACGACCTTCACTCACTCGCCTCCTGTCCTTCCTTCCATCTGCCCCCTTCCAATTCCCTCTCAATGCAGCACAGGCAGCTCAGTGGCAGCAGCAGCAGCAGCAGCAGCAGCAGCAATGGCGGCGGCAGCAGCAGTGGCGGCGGCTGTAGCAGCAGGAGGGGAGGGGAGGGAAGGAGTCAACATCTTCAGCTGCCAGTTAAGTGCCTTCTCTTCCCTGGTATCACCCTTGCTTGCTGCTCATTCCTCTCATTGCTGCCTGCATCATTTTCGCATGTGCCTCCGCGCTTTCTCCCTAAACAAGTCGCTACTGGTTAAGGCCCGGTTTGCAAGCCACAGACCCTCCCCCTTAGCTCCTAAGCCCCTCAGGTCAAGCCCTCCCCAGGCCTTACACCCCCCCTCAGGTTACCCCCTACTTCCAGGTCATTTTTCAGGTTCAGATTTTCAGGTTCCCTTGATGGTCTGTGGCTTGTGATTCTTCCCTCCGCCAGTGGTCCCTTCCCTCCACTTCCCTGCGTTTGTAGTCTCAGCTGCCATGCCAGCCTTGTGTTATGATTGCACACTCACTATCTCAGTGTGTGCCTTGCAGGTGGAGGGGAGGGGCGCATGGGTCAACACCGACACTCTCCCACGCCCCTCCCCTGTGGCCGTGCAGGTACCCACGCACGGGGATGGGAGGGCGGCAGCACTGCAGCAGCTTGCAGTTGATGCCACGAGGGAGAGTATCGGGGTGGGCTGGCCTCTCAAGGTGTGTTACCTCCCTCCTTCAAGTTCATTTGTTGCTGCAGTTCTCTCTTCATTGTTCCCTTGTTTCCTTTGTCAGCTTCTGCATTTTCCTGTTGACTTTAGTGTTTCTGTTCACGTCACATCACTAACCTTCTGCCCTTTCTCTCCTGTCCCCCTCCCCCTTCTCTGCCCGCCACCAGGTCACTTGGCATCAAGAGAAGAGTGCAGCAGAGGAAGCAGAGTAGCAGACCGGCAGCAGCAGTTGCAGCAGCAGAAGCAGCAGCGCAGCAGCAGTGGGGGGGTGGGGGGCTGGGCAGGAGATTAGGCTAGGCATGGTGTGAGCGAGGTGTGGTAAAAGGTTTGGTATGGTAACAGGTGAGGTGTGGTGATCTGATGCCCTCCCCTCTCTCTCTCCCTCCCTTTCTCTCCTGCAGGCTGAAGGTGGGAGCACTGGAGCAAGGGCGGGAGAGTGGAGTCCACCCTCTCACTCACCTCCTCCTCTCTCCCTTTTCCCTTCCCTCCCAGCAGCACCCTGCCTGGACCACAGAGGAGTCTCTCCCTCCCCCAATCCCCCCTTCTCTCTCCACTTCCCAGCAGCCTCAGCATCATGGCGCTCTGCACGGCTGTGGTAGGTACAGGTGAGCAGGCATGGGGGTGAAGTGTGGGGTGGGAGGGTGGGTGGGGGCATGGGAGCAAGCGGGGAGTTCACTGCCTTAGGGGCAGCATCTCCTGGAGTTGTGTCTTGTGGTGGTGGGGTGTGGTGGGTGGAATCTGCGCGGCACGGCACTCGGTGCTCAAGTAACCGATCTGGCGTTCAAGGCCTAATGGACACCGTCAGAGCCGACCGGCCGGCGGCTCTGGTTCGCGTCAGCTCTGGCTACGTCAGGGGTGTGATTCGAGTCTTGGGCTGGAAGCAATTCTCCACTGCCACACCTCGATCCACAAGGCACAGCTTCAGGGGTTGCTGTTTCCTAAAGGAAGTGGGCTCTCTGCTGCTCCTACTGCTGGCAGGTAAAGGTGGGGATGGGCTGGGTGATTGAGTGGGAGAGAAGGGGGACTGAACCCCCTTGGGTGGTGATTGGGAAAGAAGGGGGACTGAAACCCCCTTGGGTGGTGAGTGGGAGAGAAGGGGGACTGAACCCCCTTGGGTGGTGACTGGGAGAGAAGGGGGACTGAACCCCCTTGGGTGGTGAGTGGGAAAGAAGGGGGACTGAACCCCCTTGGGTGGTGAGTGGGAGAGAAGGGGGACTGAACCCCCTTGGGTGGTGAGTGGGAGAGAAGGGGGACTGAATATAAGGAAAGGGGCCTGAATCCCCTCGAGTGGTTGAGTATAAGAGTGGGTGATTACAAGGGTGGGTGAGTATAAGAGGGGGTGAGAATAAGGGAAGCGGCCTGCATCCCCTTGGGTGGGTGAGTATAAGAGCAGGCGAGTATAAGGGAAGGGGACTGAATCCCCTTGGGTGGGAGAGTATGAGGGAAGGGGCCTGAATCCCCTTGGGTGGGTGAGTATAAGAGGGGGTGAGAATAAGGGAAGCGGCCTGCATCCCCTTGGGTGGGTGAGTATAAGAGCGGGTGAGTAAAAGGGAAGGGGCTGAATCCCCTTGGGTGGGTGACTGTAAGAGCGGGTGAGAATAAGGGAAGGGGGCTGAATCCCCTTGGGTGAGTGAGTATAAGAGCGGGTGAGTATAAGGGAAGGGGGCTGAATCCCGTTGGGTGGGTGAGTAGGTGGATAATTTTGAGGGCTGAATTCCCTGCTCCTACTGCTGGCAGGTGATGCTGGGAATGGGCTGGCTGAGTGGGTGGGTGGATTGTTGGAGGATGGGTGATGGGTTGGGTGTATGGCTGGATACGTGGGTGGGTAAGTGGGTGGTTGAAAAGATGGTTTGGTCGTTGGTCGCTAGTTGGCTGGGTAGGTAAGTAAGCGGGTGGGTGGGTAGGTGGGTGGGTGGGTGGGTGGGTGGGTGGGTGGGTGGGTGGGTGGGTGGGTGAGTGGCTGGATGTATGGGTGTCTGGTTTGGTGGGTAGTTGGGTGGTTGGTAGGTGGTGGGTGGGTGATGGTTGGATGACTGGATTGGTAGCTGGCTGACTGGGTGGGTAGCGGGTGAACGGGTGGGTAGTTGTGTGGGTAGGTGGACGAATGGGTGGGTGGGTTATGGGTTGTTGGGTGATTATTTGGGCTAGTTGGTGGTTGGGTGGGTGGGTGTTGGGTGGTGAGCAGGTGGGTTAGTGGGTAGGTGGGGTGGGTGTCTAATAGGGTGGGTAGGTGGTGGGTGATGCGTTTGGTGGTTGGGTGTGTCTGTGATTGGTTGGCTGGCTGAGTCGGTGGGTAGGTGGGTGATGGGTAGGTTGTGGTTACGTTGGTGGTGGGTAGGTGGGCGGCGGCACAGCGGGTTGGCCATGGTGTGTTGTGATTAGGGTGGTGTGGCTGGTCAAGTAAGAGGTGGGTAGGTGGTGACTGGTGAGATAGTGAAGAGACATGAGGGTGGTGTAGGTGAGGGATTGAGGATTGGGCACAGGGTGGGTGATTTAAGGGGGAATGCGGGAGTATGGCTGAGACAGTGACGGGATTGATGTATTTCGGGACTCGGGAGGCTTGGTATGAGGCAGGCTGGGCTGGATAGGGTTGAATGAGGACACTGTGAAATGGGAGAGGGCAGGTTGGGTTGGGTGATAAATTTGTGAGGTAGTGAAGGATGGGTGTGATATGGGTGCATTGGGGATCAGGGAGATGAGGTCTTTGGGTGGGATTTGTAGGGGGTGGGATGAGGCAGGTTGGACTAGAGATGGGCTGGGTCGTTTGAGGCAGAATGGGTGAGAATGGTTGGGGTTTGGGTAGAATGGATAGGAATGGTTGAGACTGAGTAAGATTGAGAATTATGGGATGGCTTGAGACAATGGGTGAAAGAAGGTAGGATGAGAGGATGGCAAAGTGGTAGTGTATGCTGATTTCAGAACGTGATTGAATTGTGTGTGGCAGAACGTGGATAGTAGTGGTGAGCTAGGCCACTAGAATTATGTTAATAACTTCGTCTTTTTGCTTTGCAATAATGGAGTTAATTTGTAGCAATTTATAAGAAACTTATCTAGAAAAGTTTTACTGTACACACATGTATACGGCGACACACTCAAATCAGGTGGGAGATACTGTACTGCAAGTTATCCCAAAACTTCTTCTTTCCGAACCTCAGTCTGACATCGCACCAAACCACCAGTTTCCCTCCGATTTTTTCAAAGTTTTGCTCTGACTAATCCGGCAGCTGCCTCGGTCACCAATTGCCACTACACCTTGTTCTCGATTATTTTACACCCCTTGATTTTACGCCCCGACTCGGGATCACCAGCAAAGGCTTTGGGCTGCCTAGCTGGCGAACCGTGAGGGATCATTGAAGCGAGATGTGCAGAAATGATCGGCTTTATATACTGTCAGCAAGCCAGAGAAGTGGGGAAGCTCGGGTCTGTTCGGGTCGCGTTCAAAAGTGTGAAACAAGACGGTTTCAATATTTGGTGCAACTCTTGAAGTTATAACGACTGGACTGGATTTGCTATAAACACGTGTTACTTTGGGAAAGTCGCGCATGTGTCGAAATTAAACCTGATTGTGAATCACTCCTCAATTTTGGGAGCTCAAAATTAGATTCGAATTTGTGGTCAGGGTTACGATAAACGCAATCCTGACGTGACTGTTTTTCATTGGATGCAAAGATTTTTCAAGATCGTCAACACTCTCTGGGTCTATTCAAGTCATGTTTCATTCCCTGCCAGCACAGCTGTACCGCGCCTCGATGGTGAAATTATCAGGGACAATAATTGCCGTCTTAATTTCACACCCTCTCGGGCAAAGGAAATCGCGGTTCGGGATTTGGGGCCGTGAAATTATCGAGAACAGGGTGTACTCTCCAATGATCCGAACCTCATCCCTTATCAGCTCCTGCTCCCTCACTTCGAAAAGCTTGGAATGTAGCGGCCAGAATTCAGCCGTTCTGCCACCACCATGAAGCAAGCAAGGGATTCCCAAGGCATCTCCTCACCTCCTTTCTTCGCTTCCATAGCTTCACCAGCAGTTCTTTCAGGCTTCGCTCCTAACTCCAGGTCCACCTACGTGAGCTGCTGGTCGCACTAGCCCTAACTTCACTCGCATGCCTGCACAAACCTAGGGATTGCTCTTAGTATAGTTGACGCGACTCGGCCTGACAATCTTAAACTTTATTTGTTGACAAAATTCTAAGCCGAATTTTGTTGGACGTTGTGAAGTCGCTAAGCTGATACCGAGTTAAGGCTAATACGGCGCTAAGCTGCTAGATCAGGCGTTATTCAGCGTCGCTGCAGTTCGCTAAAACGACGTACCCGTTATATTTACCAGAAAATGGCGTCGTCACTGCTATAGCAATCGAAGTTTAGCTGCTGCTTCTGCAGTCGCTGTTGTTGCTGAAGTTATAACAACTTCAACTACTGTTCCGGCGCCCAAAGCAACTATTAGGGTGTAGTTGTTTGAAGCTTCTTTCGTCGTCAAGCCAACGTTGATGCCATTTCCGCGAACAAAGCGACGTCCCTGCTGCTTTCGCTGTAAACACAACGATACTGTCGTTACCGCCGTCAGAGCGGCGTTGCTGCTGTTTCCGTCGTCAAAGCGACGTTGCTCTGACCGCAACGAGACGAGAGCAACGACATGCACCAGCAGCAGCTGCAGCAGCAGCATGAGCAGCGACGGACCAACCTGGAACACGGGAAGCAGCAGCATGCTGCTTTGAACGAAAGGCGTGGCACAGCAGCAACCGAGCAAACTGGAGCAACGAGCGTCAGAGGCAACGACGCAGTGCTGGTCACGACGGGAGCAACGACCGAGCAGCCAGGCGTGACGCTTCAAGTGAAAGCGTGGCGCAGGAGCGAAAGAGCGGTTTCGGGGAGCGACGGGCACATGGTACGTGCCAGGGAAGCTTGCTGGGGGGAAGTGTAGTCAGTCCTAGAGGGTCGCCGCGCAGAGGCAAGAGTCGTGTCTCTTGCCCTTGCCTCCACCGCTCGCCTCTTGCTGTTTCTAACCCTGTCTTGTTGCATGGTTTCTGTGCGGCTGTCTTTCTCCCCATGCATGTGTGTGCCTCGCAGCCTTCGAGACGGACGGGAATGGCAGCGAGTGGACGGGGAATGGACGGGCTTCCGATTCTGGCGACCCAGCGAGGAGAAGCGGAAGCGTGGCACAGCAGCAACTGAGCAACCAGGAGCAGCACGCCTGAAGTGAAACCGTGGCGCAGGAGCGGCAGACCGGCAAACGGATCATGGTACGTGCCAGGGGGTGCTTGCAGGGGGGCCGTGAAGTGTAGTGAGTCGCCGCGCAGAGGCAATAGTCGCGTCTCTTTCCCTTGCTTCCACCACTCGCCTCCTCTTCTGCTGATCCTAACCCTTCCTTTCGTGTGCGCGTTTCCTCTCCCCATGCTTTTGCGTGCCTCACGGCCTGCGGAATGGCGCGGAGTGGACGCGGAATGGCGCGGAGTGGACGCGGAATGGCGCGGAGTGGGCGCGGAGTGGACACGGAATGGCGAGGAGTGGACGCGGATTGGCTCGGAGTGGACGCGGAATGGCGCGGAGTGGACGCGGAATGGGGCGGAGTGGGCGCGGAATGGGGCGGAGTGGGCGCGGAATGGCGCGGAGTGGACGCGGAATGGGGCGGAGTGGGCGCGGAATGAGGCGGAGTGGGCGCGGAATGGCGCGGAATGGCGCGGAGTGGACGCGGAATGGCGCGGAGTGGACGCGGAATGGCGCGGAATGGCGCGGAGTGGACGCGGAATGGCGCGGAGTGGACGCGGAATGGCGCGGAGTGGACGCGGAATGGCGCGGAGTGGACGCGGAATGGCGCGGAGTGGACGCGGAATGGGGCGGAGTGGGCGCGGAATGGGGCGGAGTGGGCGCGGAATGGCTCGGAGTGGACGCGGAATGGCGCGGAATGGTGCGGAGTGGACGCGGAATGGCGCGGAATGGTGCGGAGTGGACGCGGAATGGCGCGGAATGGTGCGGAGTGGACGCGGAATGGCGCGGAATGGTGCGGAGTGGACGCGGAATGGCGCGGAATGGTGCGGAGTGGTGCGGAGTGGACGCGGATTGGCGCGGAGTGGACGCAGAATGGCGCGGGCGCGGAGTGGACGCAGAATGGCGCGGAGTGGACGCGGAATGGCGCGGAGTGGACGCGGAATGGACGGGACTTGAAGTATTGTAGGGCATCGTCGTTGCTGGCTTGCCTGAAGTGAAGGCGGGGCACATTAGTGGGAGAGTGGTGGATGGAGCATGGTACGTGCCAGGGGGTGCTTGCAGGGGGGCAGTGAAGTCTCGTAGGGAGTCGCCGCGCAGAGGCAAGAGTCGTCTATTTTCCTTGCCTTCACCATTCGTCTCCTTCCTCCTGCTTCTAACCCTCCCTTGTTGCGCCGTTTCTGTGTGCGTGTCTCTCTTCCCATGCGTGTGTGTACCTAACGGCCTGTGAGAGGGAGGCGAATGGCATGGAGTGGAATGGACGCGGAATTGCATGGAGTGGAGTGGACAGGGCTTCTGTTGCAGGCTCGCACGGGGGACAACCGTTGAGCGAGGAGAAGCGGCAGCAACGGCAATTGGCACGTCAAAGGCAGACACACGGCGGCGGTCGTGACGAGAGCAACGAGTGCAGCAGCAGCAGCAAGCGAGCAACCTGGAGCAGCACAGCTCAAGTGCATTGAGGGCGTGGCGCAGGAGCAGCAGAGTGGCGGGCGGAGCGTGGTACGTGCCAGGGAGTGCTTACAGGGGGGCATCAAAGAGAGTCGTAGGGTGTCGCCGCGCAGAGGCAAGAGTCGTGTCTGTTGCCTTGCCTCCACCACTCTCCTGTTGCTGCCTCTAACCCTTTCTGTCTGTGCCATTTCTGTGTTTGTGGCTGTCTCTCTCCCCATGCGTGTGCATGCCTCACGGCCTGCGAGTCGATAGGGAATGGACGGGCGTCCGTTGTGGCTCGCACGGGAGACGACCTGGACTGGAGCAGCACGTGTGAAGTGAAATCGTGGCGCAGTAATGGGAGAGCACTGGATGGAGCGGGGTACGTACCAGGGGGTGCTTGCAGGGGGGCAGTACAGTGACTCATAGAGCGTCGCCGCGCAGAGGCAAGAGTCGTGTCGTTCGTCCTTGCCTCCACCATTAGCCTCCTCTCCTGCTGCGTCTAACCCTCCGTTGTTGCGCTGTTTCTGTCTGCGTTCGTCTCGCCCCTCGCGCGTGTGTGCTTCTCTGCCTGCGAGACGGAGCGGAATAGCAGGGAGTGGACGGGGAGTGACAAGCTTGCAAAAGGCGGCTTCGTTCCTGGTAACTTTGTAGCAGCACTAGCAACGGCGCCCGAGACACAGCAGCAGCGCTGGTAACTTTGTAGCAGCACTAGCAACGGCGCCTTGAATTTTCAGCCAAGTATTTTCTCCTCCGAACGCTTTGCCTTTCATCATGCCAAGCGCTCATCACTTGTATTGCATGTGCTACACTGCTTTGTCCTCTGAACTCTTGCCAGGTTGCTTTTGGCCCAACTGACAAGCCACAGGCCCTTGTTATTGCAGGTATCAGCAGCAGTCGACAAGTAACCTGGAGCAGCACGCCTGAAGCCAGGAGCATGGGCAGCAGCAGGTGCTGCTTGGGGCGAATGTGTGGCGCAGGAGCGGCAGCCTCTGCCAAGGATGAGAAGTGGTAGGTGCCAGGGGGCGCTTGCAGGGGGGGGCCGTGAAGTGAGTCGTAGGCGTCGCCGCGCAGAGGCAAGAGTCGTGTCTGTTGCTTGCGGGTCCACCACTCGCCACCTGCTGCTTCTAACCCTCCTTTATTGCGCTGCTCTCTGTGTGTGTCTCTCTCGCCCCGTGTGTGTGTCTCTCTCTCTCCCCATGTGTGTGTGTCCCTGACTCTCCCCATGTGCGTGTGCCTCGTGGCTTGCGAGCCGGAGAAAATGGCAGCACGGGGACGCCTCAAGAGAAGGCGTGGCGCAAAACTGGGAGAGCAGCAGAGGCAAGAAGGGGGTACGTGCCAGGGGGTGCTTGCAGGGGGGCCGTGAAGTGAACTGTAGGGTGTCGCCGCGCAGAGGCAAGAGTCGTGTCTGTTGCCTTTGCCTCCGCCACTCGCCTCCTCTCCTGCTGCTCCTAACCCTCCCTTGTTGTGCCGCTTCTGTGTGTGTCTCTCTCTCCCCATGCGTGTGTGTGCCTCGTGTCCTGCGAGGCGGACGGGGGTGACAGCGAGTGGACGGGGAGGCAGCGAGTGGCTGCAGCGACTGCAGGATGATGGCGAGCATACAAGGGGTTGTGAGTGAATCAGGTCAAGCAGTTCACCACTTCACTTTTCACTTCTCACCATCTTCCTGCTTTCATTCATGCTCGGCCTCTCATCCACTCGCCTCTGCTCGGCCTCTCATCCACTCGCCTCTGCTCGGCCTCTCATCCACTCGCCTCTGCTCGGCCTCTCATCCACTCGCCTCTGCTCGGCCTCTCATCCACTCGCCTCTGCTCGGCCTCTCATCCACTCGCCTCTGCTCGGCCTCTCATCCACTCGCCTCTGCTCGGCCTCTCATCCACTCGCCTCTGCTCGGCCTCTCATCCACTCGCCTCTGCTCGGCCTCTCATCCACTCGCCTCTGCTCGGCCTCTCATCCACTCGCCTCTGCTCGGCCTCTCATCCACTCGCCTCTGCTCGGCCTCTCATCCACTCGCCTCTGCTCGGCCTCTCATCCACTCGCCTCTGCTCGGCCTCTCATCCACTCGCCTCTGCTCGGCCTCTCATCCACTCGCCTCTGCTCGGCCTCTCATCCACTCGCCTCTGCTCGGCCTCTCATCCACTCGCCTCTGCTCGGCCTCTCATCCACTCGCCTCTGCTCGGCCTCTCATCCACTCGCCTCTGCTCGGCCTCTCATCCACTCGCCTCTGCTCGGCCTCTCATACACTCGCCTCTGCTCGGCCTCTCATCCACTCGCCTCTGCTCGGCCTCTCATCCACTCGCCTCTGCTCGGCCTCTCATCCACTCGCCTCTGCTCGGCCTCTCATCCACTCGCCTCTGCTCGGCCTCTCATCCACTCGCCTCTGCTCGGCCTCTCATCCACTCGCCTCTGCTCGGCCTCTCATCCACTCGCCTCTGCTCGGCCTCTCATCCACTCGCTTGTCCTCTTCTTGCTCAGGCCTTGCTTCCTCTTCCTTGCCTTCCTTCCTCGCCTCACCTCCAGCACTCGAGGGGCAGTGATCACCGCCAGTGGCTGCAGCAACGCAGTGATCACCACCAGTGGCTGCACCAGCTGCGGGATAATGGCCAGCACACAAGGAGTTGTGAGTCCATCAGACCAACCGGTACAGCGCTTCTCCATTCTCTGTGTTGTTGCGTTCTCGTGTGCAGTTGGGTCATGTCTACCATCTCTGCATCGTCACCACATCTCTTTGCCAGATGTGTGTGTGTCTCTCTCCCCATGTGTGTGTGTCTCTCTCTCCATGTCTCTGTGTGCCTCGTGGCCTGCGAGACGGAGAGCAATGGCAGCACGTGGACGCCTCAAGGGAAGGCCTGGCGCAGAGCACCACGCCTCAAGTGAAGGCATGGCGCAGGAGTGGGCGAGCGGCAGAGGAGCGTGGTACGTGCCAGGGGGTGCTTGCAGGGGGGCCGTGAAGTGAGTCGTAGGGTGTCGCCGCGCAGAGGCAAGAGTCGTGTCTGTTGCTCTTGCTTCCGCCACTCGCCTCCTGCTGCTTCTAACCCTCTTGTTGTGCCGCTTCTGTGTGGCTGTCTCTCTCCCCATGTGTGTGTGTGCCTTTCTTCATGCGAGATGGACGGTGATGGCAGCGAGTGGACGGGGACTGTGCATGTGCGTGTGGGGGGAAGGGGGGAAGGGCGGAAGAGGGGGGGGGGGTGTGCATGTGTGCGTGTGCGGGTGTACATGCCTGTGAGTGTTCCTCTCAGCCTTCAAGCTCTGGAGTGTGGCGGATTTCCTGCACCAGCAGCATGGACAGCAGCAGTGGTGGTGGCAGCAGCAGTTGCAGCATCAACGGCCACTGCAGTGGTTGCAGCTGCAGCAATGGAGGAGTAATTACAGTCTACCCTATGCTTCCAAATTCCCTCTATATGTCTGTTGTTTAACATCGCTTGCATTCTTGTCTAGACTCCTGTACCTTACTCGTTTCCCGTCATCCTTCTCCTTGTAAGTGCCCTCGCCTCCCCGCCTCTCCCTTCATCCACGTCCTTGTATCCTGTTGTTGTTGCGACTTTTTGTTTCTCCCCTCTCCATGTCCCATTGCTGTTTCTGGCATTACCGTGGGGGGAGCAGTGGCAGCAACAGCACTGCTGCGTAATCTACATGGTGGGTGTGATGGGACATTCTGCAAGGGGGAGTTGCTGACCTTGTGATCGCACATTTCTCACTTGGTGCTCGTCTTTAAATAGGGATTTGACGTGAATACAATACACAGCTCTTCCTTGCCGTCTGGTCATCTTTACTTCTGCAGCTACTAAGTGGCTCCTCCCCTTTCTTTTTCTTCCTTCCATGTCCCATTGCTGTCCCGATGGCAGCTTCTCCTCGTGAGTGGCTCTTCTGTGGTGAAGTGCAGGGCGAGGTGGAGGAGAGGACATTGGGCTGCCGCTTGCTGGTGCCTCTTAGAGGACATGTGGGCTGCCGCTTACTACCAAGAGCTCAGAATGGACCACTGCTGTGCTGTGCTTTGCTTATCTGTCCTTAGGTGTGCCAAGGTTTTCTTAGGTGTGCTTAGGTTTGTTTAGGTGTGCTGTGCTGTGCTGGGATGGGAGGGATGGGATGAGCCTGCATGTTGTGGAACAGGTGGGTGGGGTGGGCAGCCTGGAAGGCGCCTAGGCAACACCCAAGCAGGACGGAGTTCCCTCTTTCAGGTGCCTGTGCCATGCCAGGCACCCTGTGCAGGGATGGGAGCGTGGAAATGAAGGGCACTGAATATGCGGTGCATGCAGCATGCATGCACATACAGAAAAAGCCACCACCAAGAAGCCATGAGACAAGCAGACCCCTCTCGCGTGAAAGTGTGGATGGCAGGGACTGACAGAAGGAAGCAGGGTTAACATGTCACAGATTGCGCAGGAACTGCAGTGCAGAAAGGGTCAGATGTCACGTAGCAAAGCAGCAAAGCAGCCAACCAGTTAACCTGCTAACCAGCCGACAAGCCATCTTTAAAGCAGCCTACCTATTCAGAAAACCATCACTCCAGCCAGCCCAACAGCCTACCCTAGATCCTTGCATCCTGACCTGAAGATACAGCATGGCATCTGTTCACTGGCAGTGGGTGGGCCCTACTGAGTTGTATATTCAAAATACACACTCCATGATGGCCCATGCAGCTGCCACAAACCAGTCACCAACCAATCCTCATGCCTAAAGGCTAAATACAGGACCAACCAGCATTATCCTTTCAGCACTTAGACAATTTCAACTGACAATGTAGATACAGTGTGTTGCTACCAGAACTGTCTGGTACGGTAAGAGCACATGTTGGATCGATCATGGCTTCCTGTTTGCTTGAATATGCTCGTTAATCATGCGGGAGCATGGAGCACAATGAAATCAATTGCTGCTCAGCCACCAATATTGGCCTTGATTTAACTGCCCTTGTAGAGAATAGTGCTGCCCTTCTCGCGTAAAGAACACGTGCTTCTTGGCATTTGATTTGACCGGGCTGCTTGCTCGCACTCTCTCTCCCTCCATGCGTGCCGGTGCCCATTTCTTCCAGCCTATGTTGAGGTTGGCGGTCCAGCAAGGACAAACGAGGCCATCTCCTCCAGCCCTGCTTCCCGGTACAGCCCTGCCAGCTGCTCACGTGTCTCATCCCACGTGCCCTCTGCTGCTGCCACGTCCAGCAGAAAGGCTGCCTGGTCCAATGCCACCTGCGGTCGCATGTCAGGGTAGAGACAGAAGGATGGACGGGCAGAAGCGGGGGGCAGGGAGGCGTTCAAGTAGACATTTATGAGCACTAGCAGCAGCTGACTCACGACTAAAGCATGTCACGATCATTTGCCACTGCAATAACAGTAACACTGCTGCACTGTGCCTTTGTGCTTCTTACAACAGCAGTTCACGCATCTTTCATGAAACATCCCTGACCTGTGCCTCGGCCTTGCCCTTGTTGACGTCCTCCTTCCTGCCCTCCTCTGTCAGCCGCTCCAACGCATACTCCAGCTGCGAGTCCCCGTACCCCGCCAGCTCTGCCACCTCCTGCTCGCACACAGCACATCAAAGGAGTTGGACGGACTGAATACAGAAGCACAAGGGGGACACCAGATGGTGCTGTCTGGTCGGCAGTGCCTGCTGTGCTCACCTGGTACGAGGCCCCCAGGGTCCACCAGGGGGACTTGAGTGCAATGCGCGCTGCATCCCTCGCCTCTGTTGGCCTCCCCACTCTGAGCACCGGGAAGAAGGGAGGAGCGATGGAGGGACGGAGGCAGATGGAGGGGCGACGGGAGACAGAAGGACAAGGAGGTGAGAGGAAGCTTCAGCAGTGAGAAGCATTGGTAAGAGCTTTACCTCCCCCAGCGAGTCACACATTCTTCCTAACAACCTTTCTCAAAACATAGTGACCCTGACAACCAAAATCAGCAGTCGGGTGCGCTCACCTGAGCAGCAGCTGTGCGTTGAAGGTGAAGGGATGTGCAAAGCCGGGGAAGTGCTTGCGCGCATAGAACTCCCCCGCCACCAGCGCTGACACCTTCGCTCACATGCACACACACACACACGCACACACACACGCGCACACAGGGCAGGCAACGCCACAAGAGGTCTGTTAATCATGCCAGGAGAAGGAAGAACGGAGGTAACGATGTATGCTGCATGCACCACACACCGTACCTGATCGCCCTGCTCCAGGTGCCGCAGAGCAAGCCTCTCGAGGACGTCCGGGAACATGCCCACCTGCCAGCGCCAATTGAGAGGGGGGATAGGGGGATGAGGAGCTCAACGGTGGGGCTGCATGCACAAAACGGGCATGTAGTACGACGTCACAAGCGCTGCACCAAGGTATGCGTAACACGCATACCTTGGTGGTCAGATAGGCGTCAAGGGACTTGGCCTTAGCCGCAGCAAAGTCCCCAGGCGAATACAGCCTGCGCCCCTCCTCCCCTGCCGCTTCCCCCACCCTCCCCGTGTCCCCCTCCGCGCTGCCCTCCCGCCCCCCCACGTCCTCCTCCACGAGCGCCCTCTGAATGTACTCGTCCGCCTGTGGGGGGAGGTTGTAGGGGGGGTGGGGGGGACACGAGGGGTGGGGGGATCATGGCGTCGTCAGACGTGATTGATGAGACCCCGTCAACCACATTCACTCCCGAAACCCCTTCCAATACGCCATGCCATGTTCATCACAGCTCCCCAGTCGTCGCTACTCACCGATCGTGCAACCAAGACGCAGCCGCCGCCCTCTCCCACTCGGATAACGGGCATCTGCATGCTGACGTGGACAGAGCACAGGGGGAGTCAGCATTGCGTCCACTCGAAACAAATTTGGAGGAAAAGGAGGGAGGGAGACGAATCGCAGAAACGAAACGCAGCACTGATACTGACGAGCAGCGCGCCGAGCCATGCGGACGAGCAGCGCCGAGCCACGGGGACGAGCGCACTTACCCCGGGGGAGCGGTGGGCCAGCGGAGCAGCGCCGTCACGGTTCCTGGGGGCGCACATCGGGTGGGGGGAAGAGGGGGAGACGGGGGTGGGCACGGCGGAGGGTCGCTCATGGCGGGTGGCGGCTGCATGCACAGTCGGGACGATCAGACATCACGGGGGTGAGCACGAGGGGACCGCTTTCACGCTTTCCAGCAGCAGCTCTGCGAACCGCAAGGGCCGCAAGGCGCCCAGCGCTTACCAGTGGCTGGGTTTCGCGAGAGTGGGACGGCCAGCGGTACCATGCCCCGGCGATCGGCGGGCGACACGGGCTGCTCGCCTGCGCATTCAGGTCGCGCGAGTCGTGACAATGAATGGGAATGGGAACGAGAGGACGGGCGACGGAGGACGAGCCAAGTGGAGTGGTGAGTAAGCCGCATTGCATGAATTCGAAGTGGAAATGCACTTGGAGAGTCACCGATACGGGGAACGCAAGCAGCGTCAAGGGTGACAATGCGGTATCCAGAGCCACCAAGTCACTCAAGGCGTGCCCGGATTCGCTCACCCTGCGCCTGGAGCACTCGGATCAGCGCGTCCAGCAGCGGCGGAGGATCGATCGCCGCGACATCGCGGAGGAAGGCGGCGTGGTCTGCGCAGAGGACGGGCAGTACAACGCAGTGATGGCGGAAGGAGAGTGCGATGGCGATGATAGAAGGAACATGTAATCCGATCCTAAGAAGCTTAGATTTCAGCCGTGAGCAGCCGGGAGGGACCGGGCATGTCGTAAGGAGAGTGTCATGGCGATGCCTCAAGGGCAATGGACGGTAAGCGAACGACCGTACTTGGGTCACTGTACTTAGGTCGCTACAGGATGTTCGGCGCACTCGCAATGAGAATGTGAGCGTCTGAGAACCCATCCGCACCTTCCGTTGCCACTGATGCTCGACAGTTATGTCTCCTAGTGGCGCCATGGCGGCCATGTCGTCTCACGCCGTCGTCACCGCCTCGTCGCGTTGCGACGACCCATCTGTCTGAGTACCGCGAGCTCGCGGAGAGTGCAACGGCCTTAAATACAGGTACATGTGACGCTGCGATCGGACCGCGGTTAATCTCTGGATTCGAGAGCGATGTTAGAGTAGCCGTTGACGCAATATCGCGAGCTATCCGACCTGTCGCAATGGCTGCCATGGCTGAAATCCTGCTGACTCGTGTATCTAAAACTCGTGGTCGCCGGAAACTGGATAACGGCGGCGCTCGATCGACTTAATTAATCTACAACCTGATAAACGATCGCCTCAAGGAATCTGAAGTACACAGCGAGCCGCGGTACTGACAGGATGGAGGCGGCGAGCAGGGAGCGGACAGTCACTAGCGAATGGCTGGTCAGTGTGCTTGTTCCGACGCAGAAATAAAGGGTGGAAATCTCGGGGACGGAAATGTCAAGGGCGCAATGGTGAGTTTGCGATACTGCAAACTGGCGAAGTGCCTAAACTGTGGTGGTAAGCCACTCGAACAAACAGGAGTGGTCTGCTTCAATGATGTGAGCTCGCAAGAAAACCTCAACTGGAAATCTGTTCAATCTGTTACCGCAGTTTCGTGAGCCACCAAACCTTCCACGAAATCAAGTTAGTAACCTGTATATCCTTTCGCAAATTTTGTATTCGCAGCGCTAATTCCATCCTTCCCCAACACCCTCTCCCCTGCCCTCCCTCCCTCCCTCCATCTTGTCCTTCCCTCACTTGCCCTAATTTCCTCCCAACAGCCTCTTTCTTCCTCCTTTTCCTTCCTCTATAGGACTATCTTCCCTCACCCCTCACTCCACCCTAGACTTTCGCAATGGCGCCTCCCGCCAAGAAGGCTGCGGCCGGGTCCAAGGGAAAGAGGAAGCCGCACAACTTCGTGATCGACTGCACGAAGCCGGTGGAGGACAAGATCATGGAAATCGCGTCGTTCGAGAAGTTTCTTCAGGACCGGATTAAGGTCGACAACAAGGCGGGCGTGCTGGGCGACACGGTGAAGGTCACCAAGGACAAGGCGAAGATCCACGTCACCGTTGATGGGCCTTTCACCAAGAGGTGCGTGTTTTCGACGCCTTTTCGCTTGATTCTGTTTACGATTTTCTGTCATTATCTCAATCTCGACCATTTTGACAACTCGCACCATACCAGCCTGCACGTTTAGTTAGGACCCTTGTTGCATGTTCTGTTACAGAAACCCTAACTCACATCCTCCCTCCCAGACCCCTCTACTCGTCCATCCATCAGCACACTCTATGCTCGGCCATGTTTCGGGTTCGAATTCGATAGTATCGATCTTATAATCTTTCCCAAAACATATCGCGCATCGTGTTGGCGATGTAGCCAGAACCTCATTGAGGAGGACGAGCAGGAGCTTCTTATTGCCCAACCAGCGCAGCTTCGCGATTGTCCGGCAGTGATTAGCGTTACTGGTCGAGTAGCGTATCGTTACCCCCTCAGCGCAGCTTCGCGATTGCAGCAGCCGAAACGGCTATCCATGCGCTAACATAGTAGGTGGTCAACTGAAGGAGCCAATCGAGTTGATCTCTCAGAGCCGCTTTCAGCTTGGGGTGTGGTTTCACAGAACCGTTTTTCTAGATGCCGGAAACCGTTTCTCATTCTTTCGGAGCGTCGCTTCGCAGAGCAGTCCTTTGGGATAGTTAGGGTTTCACGCCGAACAGGTACTCACTGATCTCATCAGCTGCATTTCCACTGCTTGCGCTTGCGCGTGTTGGCTCGGCGCAACATTTGCGCCAAATTCCGGCTCTCGCAACAAGAAGCGGGTTCCTGATAGTTAATTTACCGGAGTGAATCGCATTCCAAGCCTCTCCTACCGCACGCACTTCTAGAAGTCGCACGTTTATCACGCCGGGGATGACAATTGCCAGATACTTCAGGGATGAACTGAATGACTTTGAGGATGAAGCAGTGGTTTCTTCCAGCTGACTCGTCGGCAGCAGGAACCGGGAGGGGGCCGGGGAAAGGGCCAGGGACAGGGCCAGGGAGATTGGAGGATCCGCTCTTGCTAGTTGTCCAGTTATTACCAGGGTTCGACTGATTGCGAACCAACGGTTGGAACGGGATGGAGTGCGATAGTCACTCTAGTAGAAGGGAGGTGAACGCATGACCGTGTGGAGTGGAGCAGCTGCATCCTGGCTAGCTCCCGTATATCGCAAGCTTTCTGCATCGCATGCTCTTGAACGTCGCTTGTGCAGTGTGCGAGACTTGAAGTGCATTGTGTAGCACACGTGCGTTTGGTAACCTTAGATTCATCAGAACGTTCACTCTGAGCCACTATATGTGAAATGCTAAATCATTATCGTCCATTCCTCTTCACACCTTGCCCTCCCGCACTCGTCCCATCCAAATCACCCCCGGTGCAGGTACCTCAAGTACTTGACGAAGAAGTACCTGAAGAAGCACAACGTGCGCGATTGGCTGCGAGTGATCGCGTCCAACAAGGACCGCAACGTGTACGAGCTGCGCTACTTCAACATCGCCGAGAACGAGGCCGATGAGGAGGCTTAAATGGTCCCACATGCACGCCTGTGCTTCACTCGCAGATTCACCTCTCCATCCCTCGCATGCCCCCCCACACTGCTGCCGGACCCACAGGGGTCTGCTGTGCCTCTGCTTGCCTCGCTCCAGCCCCTATTTTCAGGCTGGCAGAAGTCCTTTTCTGCTTTCTTTGTAACAGTTTCATTAGTTCCAGTTTCTCAGGGCTCTCCGAAGCTGTGTCTGGTGAGAAGGAATTGCCTGTAAATTGGGTGGAGAGAAGAAAGCAGCGGGTTGCTGAATGTGCCGACCTGATCACCTTGCGTTCAAAACCTCAAAGCTTACAAACTCAAATTATGCAAAAGCAGAGGTACACATGGTACAGCTCTTTGTGTCCTTATAAACCTTATCAGCCCTTAATGATTGGATTCTTCTTGGAGTGGTAACCGTTCCAAAGTCGAGTGCTGTTTTCAGCGAGTATCACACCAAGCGGGCAGAAGTTAGCCGCCTCCACGTTTGGTGGGTTGGCTTGTTTACGACTTTTCCTAGGTCACTCCTCCTGTTCTCCCGTTCTCAATAGACGACAGTCCCTGCGGTCCCTGCGTCGACCCGCCCTCTCCATCCGTCTCCTCTACCTCGCCCGCACCTTGCTCTCACTCCCTACTTCCGAGCAATTTCGTGTTCAATCTTGTACCGCTCGCCATCTCGCCACGTACCGCTTGTTGAGCAACGCACCTCGTTTCACTGAAATTCCCGTCAAACCGCTAAATTCGCAAGTCTCTTAGCAGTCTTTTTCTCTTTAAGCCGCATATTTCTCAAAGCCGCGGCCAGCATGCCGCTATCCGACGAGCACTGGCGGCGGTTCGGCCCGCTAGCCGCGGGCGCGCTGTTCGGTGCGGCGTGGTGGATATGGGTGGACGCCGTCGTCTGCAATTCCTCCACCGTGCCCTTCCTGCACTACGTCCCAGGTATCGCCTCCCCCTGCTGCGCTACGTCCAAGGTACCGCCTCCCCCTGCCTCACTGCGTCCCAGGTACCGCCTCCCCCTGCTGCGCTACGTCCCAGGTACCGCCTCCCCCTGCCGCACTACGTCCCAGGTACCGCCTCCCCCTGCTGCGCTACGTCCAAGGTACCGCCTCCCCCTGCCTCACTGCGTCCCAGGTACCGCCTCCCCCTGCTGCGCTACGTCCCAGGTACCGCCTCCCCCTGCCGCACTACGTCCCAGGTACCGCCTCCCCCTGCTGCGCTACGTCCCAGGTACCGCCTCCCCCTGCTGCGCTACGTGACTGCGTCCAATTCCACCTTCCCTTTTCCCACCAGCCCCTCTTCCCCCCCTTCCTCTTTTGGCCCCCCGCCCTCCGCGACCCTGGGGTTCGTTACAGACATATTCGCTACAGTGGCGCGATGATGGTGAGGTCTCAGACACTGCGTTACCCACCAGCTCGTCTTTCGTCTCTTCCACTTCTGCTCCCCGCCCTCCGCACCCCTGGGATTCGTTACAGGCATATTCGCAACAGTGGCGGCGATGATGTTCAACGCCGTGCACCGCGACGAGCTGCACGACTACTCGCCCTACGACGATGGCGCCGGCTGCAGGTCCCCTCCTAGCCCCCCCTGCCCTACTCCCCTTGCCTCCTGCGCGCTCCCCACTCCGCTCTCTCTGCACCCTGCCCTCTCTCCCACTCTTCCCCTCCTCTTCTCGTGCCTGTCCTTGCTCCTCCTCCTCCCCCCTTATTCAAGCAACTCTCGCCCCAATCTTGCATCATGCCTCCAGTGCACACCAATTGCAAATTTTCCTCCCCCACGTGACCCCTCCCCCACGCCCCTACCCCTCCCCCGCCCGAGCAGGTCACGCACGTGGCTCTTCCTGGCGTATGTCATCGCCTTTGCATCGCTGGCAGGGGCGGCGGGGATGCTCATAAAGGACGCGTCGCCGCCCAGCACGTCCTCGTGGCCCGGCGCTGCCGGCGTCTTCCAGTGCGCCTTCATCATCGCCAGGTGCGTGCGGGTGTGCTGCCAGGTGTGTGCTGCCAGGTGCGTGTGTGCTGCCAGGTGCGTGTGTGCTGCCAGGTGCGATATTTTGGGCCTGTCATGGGTCTTCCAATGCGCTTTCATCATCGCCAGCTGTGCGGATTCATTATCTGTCTCTCATCTCCCCATCATAAACTCTTCTTCAACCCCCCACCTTTCTGCCTTCTCCATCGCCCCTGTGTCCCCTCCTCCTCTCCCCTGCAGTGGCCTTGTGTACTGGCTCTCACGCTCCTCTGAGTCATCGCCCTCCTACTTCTGACACCATGCTCGTCATAACCTCATCTGCCCATCATAACTACCCACTGTTCTCTCTTCTCTCAAGCAGTGCTATTGCTGCTCGCCCCATGCACTGCTTCTCCCGTCCTCCCACCATCACCTACCACCTAAGCTCCTCCCTTTGGTGCTCCTGGGAAGGCAAATGCCTTGCCTGCTGTTGATGGGATCTGCTTCAGGCTCATCTTATCGTCCTTTTTCGAGGCGCCGCCCTCACTACTTGTACAGATGATGCTGCGTGTGGTTTTATAGCTGCTTGTGCATGTTTACGCTTTGAATCCAAATGCATAAAACAGTTTGATTGCCCGATGGGCTTATGTCAACAAGACTAGGCAAGAAAAAAAGTGCATTGAATGAAACAGTTGGGTACAAGTAGCAAACCCTAGTTGGGGTTGTACCCCATATTGGCTACCCCACTACAGCCTACCAACATATAACAGTTTAACACACCCCCATAGGCAAAGTGGGGGAGAACAAAGGGTCACAAGACCAGTCCAGCAAAGCAAAGCAAAGCAAGCCCAGGGTGGATCACAACGTCACCACACTCCGAGCACAAGCAAAGGCCACAAGGCCAGTTCACATGCACTGCTAGATATAGTACAAGACAAGCAACACAGTGATCAAAACCTAGCAAGCAAGCAACAAGATATATATAAAGTACAGTACAAAGAAAGTCAAGCAGTAAGCAAATGAGGGAATGTGGACACAAGGCCTAAAGAAGTACAGTGCCGCTGATGATCACTAGGCGGGAGCGCCTTGGTGAAGATATCAGCAGTGTTGGCCTTCGAGTCCACGTACACAAGCCGAAGCTGACCCCGCTGCTGCAGCTCTCGAGCAAGAAAGTAGCGAAGAGCAATGTGCTTCGTCCTGTGCTCCAGTCTGTGCTCCTGACACAAGGCAAGGGCCGCCTTGTTGTCGCCGTACAGAACTGGAGGAGAACTAGGCCGCTCTCCCAAGTCAGTCAGCAGGTAGGTGAGCCAGCGTAACTCCTGTGTAGCCATGGCTGTGGCGTAGATCTCAGCCTCACAACTAGAGCTGAGAACAGAAGACGAGCGGGTGGACCGCCACGAGACAGAACCAGAGCCAAGGCTGAAGGTGTAACCCTGCGACGACCGCTGCGTAGCCAAGTCGTCCACCCAAGAAGCGTCCGAGTGACCAGTGAGGACAACTCTGTCGCGTCCTCCAAGCACCAGCCCCATGCCTGATGTACTGCACAAGTAACGCAGCACCCTCTTAGCAGCCTCCCAGTGCTCTCGCCTGTGTCTCCCAGGCGCAACGTAACGAGCAAGGATGCTAAGAGGGTACGCGAGGTCAGGTCGCGTGCAAGTCATCAGGTACATGAGGCAGCCTACAAGCTCTGGGTACGGGCCACTCGGCTCTACGGACTCGTCCGAAGGTGGAGCTGAGAGCGAGTGGCTGGTAGCCAGAGGTGTGGCCTGTGGTGAGGAGAACTGGAAGCCGAAGCGCTGAAGGACCTGCTGCACCATGTGTGACTGAGTCAGGGTAATGGTGCGGCGTGCTCTGTCCCGGGTGATCTGCAAGCCAAGGTAGCTACGCAGCTCACCCAGGTCAGTGCAGGTGTGTCTCTTCTGCAGCTCCGACTTCACACGAGCGAGTGCCTCAGTGTCAGCAGTAGCAAAGACCAAGTCGTCGACGTATACGAGGATGTAGAACGGCGGCAGCGACGTGTCTGTGCGCAGAAACAGCGACGGGTCAGCAGTAGACGGCGCAAACCCAAGAGCCGCAAGTGTAGTCCTCAGTGTGTCGTGTCACTCACGTGGCGCCTGGCGGAGACCGTAGACTGGCCGGCGGAGGCTCCACTGGGTACCAGGAGGAAACGACCCAGTAAAGCCAGGTGGGCGGCGCAGCCAGATCTCCTCGTGCAGGCTGCCCTGCAGGAACGCTGTGCTGAAGTCAAGAGAGTGAAGCTCGTAGTCACGCTGAGCAGCAACGTGCAGCAGAACCCGAAGAGTGGTCATCTTCGGGGTGGGGGAGAAGGTCTGGAAGAAGTCAACCCCCTGACGCTGACTGAAGCCTCTAGCAACGTAACGAGCCTTGAAGACAGGCGGAGAACCTGGCGGCCGCTTCACCCTGAAAATCCACATGCCGTCGACGATGTTCGCCCCAGGAGGGGGAACCTCATCGACGTAAGTGCCTGTGGACTTCCAGGATGCCATCTCTGCGTCCATAGCTGTCTGCCACTGAGAGGAGTAGGGACCCAAGATCGCCTCTGCGTAAGAGCGCGGAGTGGGGATGTCTAGTGCATCCGGGTCTCCCTCAGGGGCAAGCAACCAGGCCACGAGATGAGGTACAGCAGCCGCAAGAGAGTCAAAGTCCTCCTGCCTGTCCTCAAGGACGTCCGTGCCAAGAGCACACTCACCCCCGACGGACGGAGGACAGACAGACTCAGACTCAGCAACAAGACTGGCGGCGTAGTCTAGGCGACAGGCAGCAGCAAAGTCGACAAGCTCAGCGACCAGGGCAGACGCAGCAGAAGACTCAAACGACGGGTCAGTGACAACAGTGGCGAGAAGACGCGTAACAGTAGGGTGGGCAGCACGAACACTGTCAGACTCAGGGTCGGGAACGTCAGGAAGAGAAGACGCAGGAGGAGACGGTAGGGGGACACGCTGTGGACCAGTGGAAGGACGAAGGGCCATAATATGCGTGCCAGGAACAGGAGGAGGACGCGGACGCGCGACACGACGACCAGTGGGACCAGTGCGCGCAGTGCGAGCAGTGCGAGCAGCACGAACAGGCGAGGCAGGACGAGACACAGGCTCACGACGCTCCGTAAGCGAGTCCGGCTGTGCAGTGTAAGGCACAGGAGCAGGGAGGGGGGAGCCAGGCTGGAGGGGAAGGCCAGTGGAAGACGGGAGGGAAAGAACCTGGCGAAGCACCGTGTCAGGCGGCGGCAAAGCCGACGGCGACGGAGGAGCGAAGAACAGGCGCGACGGCGGAGCTCCGCCAGCACCTCCAGCACCCGCAGCACCAGAAGCACCAGGACCAGCACCCTCCGCCGCAGCACCCCCAGAGTCGGCGACGTCAGCACCAGAGGCCCCAGCAGCGTCAGACCTCCCCTCGCCAGCACCTCCAGAACCAGCAGGACCAACACCTCCAGGACCGTCAGCTCCAGTGTCGTCAGCTCCAGCAGCTCCAGCACCTCCAGGAAGAGCACCCCCAGAGCCGGCAGCTCCAACTCCGCTAGGACCGTCAGCTCCAGAGGCCCCAGCTCCAGCAGCTCCAGCCTCAGTGCTCCCAGCCCCGGCAGCTCCAGTACCCCCAGTACGAGCACCTCCAGGACGAGCAGCTCCAGAACCTCCAACTCCAGCGGGACCACGAGGAAGGCGAAAGCGCTAGACGTACCAGTCACGAAGCTGCTGCTGTGTGAGAGGCTCCCGGAGAGACGGCTCAGCACCCCGAACCGGAGCACCCCCAGACGCAGCAACCCCAGGCTCCGTAGGCTCAGTCGCAGCACCCCCAGGCTCAGGACCCCCAGACTCAGCACCCGAAGGCTCAGCGCACCCAGGCCCGGCAGCTCCAACCCCGCTAGTACTGCCAGCTCCAGCAGCTCCAGTCTCAGTGCTCCCAGAACAACCAGCCCCGGCAGCTCCAGTACCTCCAGTACGAGCACCTCCAGGACGAGCAGCTCCAGAACCTCCAACTCCAGCAGGGCCACGAGGACGGCGAAAGCGCCGGACGTACCAGTCACGAAGCTGCTGCTGTGTGAGAGACGGCTCAGCACCCCGAACCGGAGCACCCCCAGACGCAGCAACTCGAGGCTCCGCAGGCTCAGTCGCAGCACCCCCAGGCTCAGTACCCTCAGGCGCAGCACCCCCAGGCTCAGCACCCCCAGACTCGGCACCCCCAGGCTCAGTACACCCAGGCTCCGGACACGCACGCTCAGCACCCCCAGTCGCAGCACCCCCAGGCTCAGCACCCCCAGGCTCCGTACTCTCAGGCACCGTACCCTCAGCTCCAGCACCCTCAGTCCCAGCACCCGCAGCCCCAGCACCCCCAGTGACCTCGACAGGCTCAGTGACGGGAGGAGGGTCTACCTGAGAGACACCTGAAGGAGCAGGACCCTGAGGGGGAAGGGGGTCTACCGGAGGGGGACCAGGAGCGAGGAAAAGCGGCGGGGGAGGGAGGGGGGCAGTGCGGTAGGGGAAGAGACGGTAAAAAGGGACCGACTCGTCAAAGGTGACGTCCTGAGAGGCGAAGACCCGGCGCGAGGTGGGGTGGTAAAACTGCCAGCCAGGCGCGTCAGGGACAAAGCCAAGGAAGACACAGGGGACAGCGCGGGCGGAGAGCTTGTCCGCGGTGGTATCGCGGACAAAGGCACGAGAACCCCAGACCCGGAAACGCGACGCATCGCCAACCTCCCCCGTCCACAGCAGTGTGGGCGAGGTCTCCGGCAAGGAGACACGGGGCCAGAGGTTGAGCTGATGCGCGGCGTACCGGACCGCAAACGGCCACAGAAAATGGGGGGCAGCCACATGGACCATGGAGGTACGAGCGACCTCCATGACCAAGCCAATGCGGCGCTCAGCAATCCCATTCTGCTGCGGAGAGGCCGGAAGCGTGAACGACTGGGTGATGCCGTGCTCCGCACAGTAGGCTGCCAAGAGGTCGGAGGAAAACTCACCACCTCTGTCAGAGTGCAGATGCAGGACGGGAAACTCTGTCCCGAACCGCCGGCGGAGCTGGAGACGAGCAGCGCGGATCCAGGGGATCAAAACAGCAGGGACCTCACCCTTGGTGCGCAAGGGGAAGACCGTGGTGTAACGCGTGTAGTCGTCGACGACCAGCAGGAAGTACCGCTCGTGGTCCTGTCCACGGACGCGGGCTGGGCCCCACACGTCTAGGTGGAGAGTCTGCAAGGGAGCCTCTGTGGGAGGGAACGAGGAGGAGTGAGGAGCGGCGCGCTGCCGCCCCTCGACACAGGGAAGACAGGGAGGAGCAGGCGAGGGTGGGAGGGGAGGGAGA